AAATCGGTTGTAAAATTTGAATAGTTCAAATTAAATACTAAAATGTGGCTTTATTTTTTTTCTAATTAGAAATGCTGATACCACGTTAAATTCACAACTTCCTAAACTAAAGAATTGAGGTATTAAAAAGTTTTTATTTTATTTACCCCATGGTACGGGGTAAATGTAACAAACGGTTCTAAAGTGCAATACAATTATATAGAAAAAACATATGGGGCAATTGTAAAAAAATATTTGGTTCCTCTAAAATTTGATATGCTGTTTATTTATTTATTTCAAAAAATAACAGAGCTACAAAATAATAAAGAAAAAATAAGAAACAAACCCTGTCTAATGCACAAAAGAACTATAAAAATAATAAAAAACATTAACATAATAGGTAAAAATATTACATTTACCCCATTTTTACATTTGCCCCAGTCTACTTTACATTAGTTTTTTTATTAACAGAAATATAGAAGAATTAAAAGATATGTTATAACTTAATTATGAACAAATTTAACGAACAATTCCATCGACTTTTGTTGTTTCCTTTATACATTTTCTAAGTTGTTACGTTAATTTATTATGCAATAAATGACATTTGTCCGGTATAGTAGTTTAATTGTAACCTAAAGTGCAATTAACTGTATTACTAGATCATTGAGGATTACCAGTAGAAATTGCGGAAAAAGTTTTATCACTATAAATTTGATACCAGAACTCGATTTTTTGTTTAATTTTATACCGAATCGCAATATCTCGCATAATTTATACATTATATTTGTGGATCTATTGCATAATAGATGTCAAAACAATATAATCCAATTATAATATTAGATTTTTTTTTTCACAAAAAAACGAGGAACAGGAAGATTTTAAAGGACGTTTGCAATTTCGCGAATCGGGCGACATTCTTTACTGAAAAAAAATTGATTTCAATAAATAAATAAATAGCTACATGCTCGTAGATTCATGAGATGAAGCTTTTATTCATAGATACCTAAAGCTTTATAAGTATAAAGTTAGATAAACGACTAAACTTAAGTTTTCCCGGGTAAATTGCAAAGTTAGAAGTAGGTTAGGATAAGGTAGGGTAAGTTTCCCGTAACATAACCTACCCTATGTCATGTTTCTTGGTTATTTCAAAATTTACCCGGGTAAACCAAAGTTTTATAACAAAATACTAAAATACTCTTCGCATTATATACATACAAAAGCATTATGTAACTGATTATGCATCCTAATGACCGGCTTGATTAATGACATTCTTATTTATATTATTATTATTATTATTTGTCTAAACCATTTTTCCTTGTTATAAACTATTCGAGCAACCTTCACCGTGTATATATTTCGACAAGATACAAGGTTGTCATCTCGGCATAATATCGAATTAATGGCGACTATACACAATTAAATGCGTGCAATTCGGCTTTTCCAAAAAAAAACCGCCACGTTGCCGATTTTCGCGAAACTTCAGTAGATTTAGGGAGATTAGCGCCAATACAGCGTTGCTAAGTTTGCTAAAATTTCGCAGCGTTTGGGGATTCTTATAATAATGACCGGTTATTTCGTCAGGTGTTCGCAGATATCGGCAACCTTAAAGCTCGCATGCCTAACGTGTAATTTTTATCCGCGTGTGCGAAAGGTCGATCCGTTGAACCATTACTAAGGATTTACATAAAATATAAAAATACATACAATTAAAGAGATGTGTTGCAATGCGACCCGTCGACTTCGGCGCGAAAAAATAGGTTAAGGTTGAAAACGTATGTGTTTTTTTTTATATATACACATGTACAATTTAACATTATAAGTTAGTTGAAAATCGATTGAATTTTTTTTGTAGTATTTTGTACGATTTTTCGTCGGTTTTGGCAACGCTGTATTTTAATAATTCCACGATAAATTTTTCGAGTATGTTTTTCTCATCTCTCGAGCAGGATCTTGACATTTTATAATTCCAAATAACCGGGCATTATGTATCTATGCGATTGCTTAATGTAATATTAGAACTCGACGAATGATGTCATTCGATCGATCCTCGTGAAAAATCAATTACCAGCTGAAAACTTCCGCGTTAAAAAAAAAGTTTTCATCATGCTATATGTTTCTCGGAATAAGGAATTATGAAAATTATCGGGTACCTCTATACTTAACGAGAAAAAAAAAATACTTAATAAAAATGCATCCTCTACAGTCTACGCGAATACGGTGAATTATCGATGCTGGATTTTCAGTAGGTACTTTTTAACTTGTTTATAGTGGATTGGAGACGAAGCAGGAAGAAATTCTCGTCGGTCTTATTCAAATAAACAATGCAATAACTCGCCTGCGAGCGGCCTTCGATTTTACATAATATTCCATTTACAACTTCAATATTTGACCAAGGCATATCGACATTAGTGCTCGTTTTTTTTTTCTATATTTCTAATTACCACAAAGGAATTACCATCAACATTGCGCCCATCTTTCAACAACTCCAACAGCTACTATAAAATACGCGAAATTGTTTATTTATAGCTCTAATGAAGCTCTAATTTGCGCCTTTTATTTCCACATTGAAGTTGAAGCTTCTTCGCTGTCGATGAATACTTTTTTTTGCGTTGTTAGTTTAATAGCAGGAACGAATCGAAGATTCTCTCTACCGTTCCTTCGAAGACCGGTCGTTAAAATTTCATTGGCGAAAAAAAATAATTAATAAATAATCAGTAACCAATGTGCACGTACTAATTCGTTTCGAAATGTTCCCCAGAAGGTCGAGCCGTTTCATTGCGTTCATTTTAATCGATCAATTACGAAACGTTGCACTTTTAACACGACATATCTTCTTCTTCTTCGCTACTACAAGTGCATTAAGTACCCGAATGACGTCGATGTGCATCGATGCAATTGTGCTTCAGGATTTTCGCTCGATCGCTCTCAAGGTGGCCGATAACATTTCGTTTTAATGCCATGTTCAAATGTATTATCAGAGGTCCTAGTTGAGGGCTTTTTTTTCGGCGTGTACCATCGATGCTAATTTATTGTTATTTCATTATCGATAACCGCCGGTTGGATTTGGTGGAAATTCCGAAGAGGATTATACCGTGACAGCGATTCTAACGGGCGATGATGTAATTTGCCAGGACCTAGCTCAATGCCCGTCGGGCACAAATTTGTTTTCGATAAATTTTTTTATACTTTTTATACTTAATTTTTTATTTCTTGTACTGACCTTATGATGGGCCATTAAGGCGCTCATTTTCCTCGTTTTTATACGATTCTCTCGACACACTCACAACAATAAACTGGCGAAGATAAAATAGTTTTTCTGTTCGTTTTCCAATTCCATCGGGCGCGAACTGACCCGAGGTTAATTTGTGCTATGTGACATAATTTAATAATCGCCCATCATTCGCCTTCGATCGGTTCGTTATCAAATTGGTATGCCATGCGGGAAATCCAAATTGCCCAGGCGATTGCGAAAAATCCTCCGTGCGGGTTTTTTTTATTATTTTTTTTTCGTATCGAAAGCGCCATTGACACATTTCGACTATGAGCTGTAATTAAATTGATTGTTTCGTAAATACTTTTTCGTAGATTTAGGGATTTTTTTTAGAACGTGTCATAATGGAGAGAGTATAAATGGCTAATGATCAAGCGGAAAAATATTTTTTTTTGTCATTTCCGATCCTAACCTTGCCCAATCTAGAATAGCCAACGGCCAGCGAATAATCCGCTTAATTAAATTCTAAAAGGTTGTTGGGATACTCTACTTGGTATCTGTGTGTGTGTTTTTTTTTTTAATTGAGAGATTAATTAATGTTGTTTAGATAGTTCGAGGAAGGTTTATCGTTATATTATTAATTAGTCGATGGATTCGTTATGCTTTATTATAGTAATTGGATGTCTTTTCCTGCTTCCGATTTTCCCCGTTTAAATCCGATAGAGCAAGGTCAGGGAGATACGACGGCTGTTACCCCTTTATTTCACAGAAATAATTCCTCCCTATACACTCGTTTAAATCCGATAGAGCAAGGTCAGGGAGATACGACGGCTGTTGCGTTATAATCCCGCGATATTTTCGCAGAAACAATTCGAACCTAAAATACAAAGTGCATTGTTCCCGAAGACCCGCACAAGGTTTTCGCTCTGTTCAATTTTCGAAGGTTAATGTTGTAATGGTGGAATATTGCACATGCAAATTCGATACGCATTTGCAATATGTACAAAGCAAAGAATCCGACGATGATGATGAATGATGATGATGCGGACGTGCCGTAATCATACCATTTGCGGGTTTTATTGTCCGATAAATCATCGCGTATCTGGGATGATACTTTGGAATTTTTTAATTGCGATTTTGCATTTGTCTAAACACTAATTCATTGCAAATATTGAAAGAAAATGCAAAATAACAGTTATTTTGTAACAGTCGTTACTGCACCTCTATACCAAAAAAATCGTAACACCTCTATTAAGCTTCTGTCATACGAAATGTCATTAATGTCATTTTCGTTCAATTTTGACATTAATGTATCATCGAACGCATCTTAAATTAGCGAAATAGTAGTAATTTATAGTAAAGTAAAAGAGACTCTGATTAGAGTAGATATAATTGCGCCCAATTTACTCGCGTCCCCTCGGGTTTAATATTTATTCCTTTCGTTACACCTCGAAGATAAGTGAATTGTACGTTGAATTCAGTCGATCTAACACGCCTTCATCCGTGTAGATTACTTTTCGTTTTCACAATTAGCCGGTTACGAAAGGATTATATTCTATTTGCGCGAAATCGTATCTACCGGAGGGGAAGCGGATATGCGACCTTTACGAGCGCGTTTCGCGCGAAAAATCGCTCTACGGCGAATTTTCCTCCACGCTAATCGGTCGAAATAAAATGGCAAATTCAAGTACGAATCGGTAATTAATCGAAAAATGCGTTAATTTTATGCATCCTTTACGAAACGTTTCACGTTAGCATTGGCCGGTGACTTTTTATAGCCTTTATACATTATTTTCTCGGTACATTACAGCTGCGCGTGCCGCTCGAATGCAATTTCCGAGCCAAGCAAAAGGATCTCACGGTGAACATCACCAAAAAGCGGCTGGTCTGCGGCCTCAAAAACCGCCAGCCCATCATCGACGACGATTTCCAGCACGAGATCAAGCTGGAGGAGACCAATTGGGTGATCGAGGACGGGAAATCGTTGCTATTCTCCATCGAAAAAGTACGTTTGGATATATCGAGAACGATTCGTTTATATCCGGATGAATTGTTCGCAGGTGAACAAGATGAATTGGTGGAGTAAATTGGTGAAATCCGATCCGGAGATCAGCACCAAGAAGATCAATCCGGAGCCGTCGAAGCTGAGCGATCTGGACGGCGAGACCCGAGGCATGGTCGAGAAGATGATGTACGATCAGCGACAGAAAGAGATGGGTTTGCCCACCAGCGACGAGCGCAAGAAACAGGACGTCCTCAAGAAATTCATGGAACAACATCCCGAGATGGATTTCTCCAAATGTAAGTTCAACTGATGGTTCGATTTACGTTTCGTTTGTATACGGCGTTGCATATAAAGTTTCCTTTTTTTTTTTTGTATATTAAATCGTTTAATTAGAAAATAACGTTTACATAAAAAATTTAAACAGAACGGCTGTAACGAGAACGACGAGCGATACGATCAATCCTATTACGTACATCGAATAATTAGAGTATGTTGTTATTTTTAACGAAATTTCCTCATTATCGCTAACCGATGCACCTTTGTAGTAATCTTCAATATCTACAACGAATGTATTATCATTATTTAACAATGTAATTTCTAATTACTCTTACCGGCTTGACCTTCCACATCGTTTATATTCAATCTCCCTTTAATTTTAATATCCAATAACTCCTCTAACGATACTTTAGTCTCTTGGGATCCTTCGCCCGGAAACAAATAATCTGAAAGGGCTATTTCGCTGTCCGGTAGAGGTATCAACACCCTTCTAGGCGGCTCGTGAACGCTGCTTATATCTATAAAACACCACCTAATCCAATTTATTCGCTCTATTTAGAATACCGACGTACCTTCGGAATTCTCTCCTTCGATCAACGAATCCCAATGCAACTCTAATCTCGAAAATAAACTCCTCAGAATGTCTTCTTTAACGGCCGTAGAGATTTCCGATACTGTCATTTTAGGTTGCATCCACAAGTTCGAAACCACTTTTCCGATCAACCTGAAGTTCCCTTCACAATCTGATACGCTGTCTTCGGAAAACAAAGCAGCACTCGAACTCTAAAACCCCATACTTTAAAACTTCTAGATACTAAATTGCGAGGTTACCTTACAGTGTTTTGCAATACGGAAACTTGCCAGGGTTTCGAAGCATCACCGGATTCGGCTACATTCTTATCGGATCTGCTCTTTCCTTTCTTTTTGCTCACATTCTCCAAAGTGCTGTCTTTATCTTTGTATTCGCCATCGTAGAGGAACGTAGCGGAATCGAGTACGTTGGATATGTCGTTCAAAATGGCCTTCATATGCTTCTCCAACGGCCAATCGGATTGGTTCTTCGACAGGAATCGCAGCTCGTTTATCTCGAAATCGCATCGGATACTTATCCATTTCTTCGGGGACGTTTTGAGCTCTACGTTTTGCACGTTGCGACTTAATACATCGTAGCTTCTGCTGGAATATCGTTGGGTTTTCGACGATTGATGTACTATCAGTTTATCAGTGCTCGGGCTGCCGAACAAGTACTCGTTGTCGTTCAACGTGGAGTACACGGAATGTAATAATGATTTGATTTTGGTGTTGAACGGAGAGAATACGTCTTCGGGGGATACGACGAATATGCCGAGTACATACATGCCTCCGGGTAGCATCCGGGTGGCCTGGCGCGCGTGGTCGGCCAGCCACCCTTCGTTGAAATCTTCCAAGCTGTTTGGTTTGTTTGGGGTTTTCTGCGATTTTTTATCGTCCTGCGATTGATAAGGAGGCGTTTTGGCGAAGTGTACGACGTAGTCTTTGCTTAAACACGACTGGAAACGTGAATTGTATCGACATATGTTGGGTAGAAAGTTTGAAAGTACACTTTACCTGTCCTAAAATTAATCCTACGGCGTAAATGTTGTCGTTCGCTACGGTGTGGAGGTATTGAAGTAACGCATCGTCTACTAATATAGTTCTTACCATATTTTTGATTATAATAAACGAATTGGTTGTTGGAGAAATTGTTTAACCTAAGAATTAGCTGTCAATAGTGTCGATGTCAAAAAGTTGACTACTTTTGGTCTTTACTAGTACGGCGATTCAGTCATTGGAAATGTGACGTTTACGGTGGTCGGTAAAGCAGATTTCTGTATTCTGTTTTTGATTTTAAATTATTTTTTATCTAATCTAATTTGTGTAATTATTTTCAAGTTATTTGATAAGGTAAGGTAATTTTTTATCAGTTGATAATTAATTCGACTAATTTGTAACGTGAAGTGTTGAAGTATAAAAATGTCTCTTCAATTACAGTCGCCATTTTGATTAATTTACCGGTTAATGAAATCCTTTAACTAAACAACAAAATACGTATTTATTCAGGCCAATTTGCTCTTAAACATCGCTTGGTACGTGTCCAAACCCTTTTGGTTCCCTTCGAAATAATACGGCAAAGCCTTCAACCTGTCCAACCATCGGCTAATTTTCGGGTACTTATTCTCCGCTATCGGTACGAACACGTTCAACGAAGAAATCGTCGCGACCAGCGACAAATCCGCCACGGTGAGGTTTTCTCCTGCCACAAACTCGTCGCGTTGCAGGAGCGTTTCGAGCTGATCGTACACTATTCATACAAAACAATAATTAATAGTAAATAGGGGGTTTTTTAAAGGGGATTTATACTCGCTAACACCGGCGCGATTTTGTCTTTCCCCACCGTTTTCGCGCCGCCGAATATCGATTGGCCTATAGCGAGTAGTTTCGGGAAAGCCGTACCGACGTTGAAGAACATCCGATTGAGCACGGTGCCTCTTGCTTGCGGATCCTTCGGGTACAAATCGCTATCCGGGGCGTATTTCTCGATCTGAAACGAGAACCAATCCTCTCATACATACTCTACCCAACAAGCTGGAGGAATCGAATTCACTCACCAAATACACGTTGATAGCGTGGCTGTCCCACAGCGTGTAGTCCCCATCTTCCAGCGTGGGGACCGTGTGGAAGGGGTTCTTGGTGAGGAAATCGGGCGTCATGTGCTCGCCGGCCATCAGGTTGATCTCCTTGAGGTCCACTTCGATGCCGAGGGCTTTGACGAGAAGGAGGGTGGCCCGGGCGGCGGGGCTCATTGACATGTAGTACACGACGGGGGCCATTTTGATGGGGTGATACTGGCTAGAATCGTTTCGCGTGCCGGTATTTATCGGATCGTTTCTTATCTAGGTGCCTACTCTAATCTTTTAATGAGTATATCGTTATATAAATCGTGCGTGATTAAAGGGGAGGCGGTAATTTAATAATTGCGAGGAGAGTATGTGTAGTTAAATATGTTTCAACCTTGTTGCTTTATTGATTCGTATTGATAAGAAGCTAATAGGAGCACATTTCTAATTGATTATGAGTTTGTACCTCTGTATCAATGGGATTTTTTGTCTTATCGTTGGACCTAAATAGGTTAGTCATTGCAATTACAAATATGTTTGAGTGAATCTAATTTTTCCGAGGATTGTGTGAATGATGTTGCAATATTTTTTATCTGAATTGATTTTTAATCACAAAATTATGTGAGTATAGGCGGTGGAAAGGCAATTTTATTTGAAAAAATGGACTCCTTCGTTTTAGTTATTTCGACACTAATCGAAGGATGTAAGTATTTTTTATGATTTAAATCAAACACGACACATTATATTAACATAATCTTTATATTTATTCTTATTATATATTATTTAATTAAAATATCACTCACACAGTTTTTTTATTATAAGCCATATCATACTTTTTCCATAATTATTATTAACATATATATACACACAATAAAAACTATTTAAGTTTCTAATCGATTGCGTGAGTGCAATAATGGAATTTTTTCGTAAAAAAATACGAACTGATTAGGGCGAGCCTAATGCAGTTCTAATTTTTTACGATTTCTTTTATGTACATAGAATTTTTATAGCGAAATTCATTAAATAGGATAAATCTCCTTGGTGAAAAATCCGTGTAAAGGTGAATCAATACCTACCCAGAGCCCTTGGGTAAATAATGTCAGCTTTACGACTACGAGTAGGTTATAAATAAGGAAAAATTTAATTGCAGGTGATTTATCTTATTTATTGTTAAAAATGTTGCTATTACGTGGAAAGTTGTTCAGCAGAACAATTTTATAGTTTCTCTTTTTTTTTTGGACACTTTTCAACAGATATTTATTGGCAAATTTGATTTCGGTTTAAATATATTAAGGATATTCTTAGACAAATTGAAACACCATTTTTTTCGTAATAATTAAACCGATTTACAACGTTTTCTTCTGACAGTCAACGAATATCACGTAAATTACAAAAATACCTAATGATAAATCTAACCTCGAAATTTGTACTTAGTGTTAATTTATAAATATTAATATAACAAATAATACGATTTACTGTTTTATTTACTGATCTTAAGATTCATAGCCAAGCCTTCGCGTAATTTTTTATTGCTGATTCTTTTTTGCTTTTCTCGAAAAGTGAAAACGAAATAAATCGTCGAATTTCAGATCTAAAAAACGGGTGACTTTTGTTTTCGATAATTCAAGCCTAGGTTTATTATTTTTTTTTAATATTTAAAATCTCCCGCGTACACACTTTAAAATTTCGAACTTACGAAATTTCTTGTTTTACAATCATTTTTTCCGACTTGATGAGATTAGTAATAAATTTATTCGTCATTGAAACAACTCTAAAATTTCTAATAATTTTATGATTTCGTTTGTATTGTCATTACAATGTACTTTATACATACAGTTTTTTTTTTACCTTGGCAGTTTATAGTAAATTTTTTCCAATTTAATTGAGTACGTAGATTGGGGCGTTTTAATAAATTATTACAGAATATCTCAAAAGTCTGCGTATGAACGAATGCGCACCCATCGACATTTTCGAAAATAATACTCCGTTTTTTTTTTGTTATAAATTCATATTCGAGGCTTTTGCTACATTCGGTAAATAAAATAATGTCAAGACGAAAAGAAGAATAATTTACAGTTAATTTGAACCGGTATCATACAAATTATTTACATTTACAATGTAAATCCACTTATATTTTTAATTCTTTACAAATAACATAATGTAACGAATTAAAAATACATTTTTTTTGTAATATCGAACACACGTCAACAGTATTTAAAATTCTCGAATCATTTTATAAAATAAATAAAACATTAAAAAAATTAGCGCAATTTACAATTAAAAAAATCAACAAATATAAAACAGTCTTTCAATGATTTTTTTCCCTCGCGCGAGTAAGCTTAACCATTAAGTTTTCTTTTTTAAGTGTTCACAACCCTTAACTCGTTAAGCACTACGAATTATTTATTTCGCGATATTAGCTATTCGATTTTCCGAAGAAAATTAAATAAACAAAAAAATAAAACTACACTATTAAGCGTTTTTACTATTAAATCACAGATATATAACGATAATTTCTAAAGCACTGGACCGAATGTAACTAAAAAAACAAAAATACAATTTTAAGTAATCGGAATTTTTCATTTTTTTTTCTTGTCACTAACGATTTGTCAGTCATTACTCTCTTGATGAAAATATGATTAAAATGCTTGTTTGTCATGGTCTTAACGATCTATTCCCATAGGTTTCGAATTAAATTATTTAAAACCGAATTTAGTTAATATGTTTGAAATTACATGTAAGTAACTACACATAGAATCGGATATACTAATCGAAAACAGACCTGTCGAATATTCACTTTATAATGATTTTTTTTTGGGTATGATTTTTACTCTATTTTAAATCGTGGACGCTCCACTCAAATATATAAATGCTTATTTTATTAGAAAAAAATAATAATAATTAAATAGCGGAATAGCGGCGATTTATTTTAGCAACATTATAGTTTTACCAGCTTCTAATTTGATGAAACGTTGGAAGATAAAATTTTGACAGTAAAGACATTAAAAGGAAAAAATGACATTTACGATTGTCAATTTAGAGCAAACACACAGGATGATTTAATAAGGGGGTAACGACATTTCGAGGTGGAGGAGGGTTCCATTTTAGTGACGTATGAAAAGTCGCAAACGTCAGTCTGGCGCGAAAATTTAAATTGTATAGTTCATGTAAACGATGAAAGACCAATATCTTTCTCTTCGTTTATAAATAAAAGTCAAATAACACACAACGCACATATAAAAGCAATTATAAATGTTCAAAACACAACCTAGGAACCATTTTTGAATTCAAATTCATTAAAAAGGTTAGCCAACAGTTCTAATGTGACACTTTTGTCACAACTTTTGACACTTTTGTCGCTGTTTGTAGTGTTTTTTGCCAACCTAATTTGACTTCTGCGTTCCCCTTACCTCAGTCCCCCTCTTCTCTAAAGTCCGACCTAATGCCGCTACCCCCTTATTAAGTTATCCTGACTCAAAGTAATGAATTTTCGTTTGACATTAAAAGAAGTAAAAAAAAAATGACATTTACGATTGTCAGTTTAGGGCAATTAACACACGCGGTGTTGCCGGATCGCCAAAATTTCCTATAAGTAAAGGACAAATTTCGTTTGGAAGCACAAAACGCGCAAAAACAAATCGCCGCCATTCCGCGTCGGTTTTTTTTTCCATCGAAAAAAGCAAATAGAATAGAGAGCAAAAATCGAATACCTAATATCGCGAAACCCGATCCGGCGATCACATGCTATGCCGGCCACCGCAGGCGCCGCATTTGACGCCGCACCAATGGCACAACTTCAACGGCGGATACAACCACAGGCACGGCACCAACACCGACAGAAACGTCAAGCAACACCACCGTTTCGTGCAGTTCTCGTCGCCCGAACAATCGCACGGATGTTGGGCGAAATCGCCCTCCTGATCGGCGGCGCAATGATAGTCGATGCATTGGGCGCATTCGATGCACGTGATGCGATTTATCGTCGATCTCACCAGATCGGGCGCGTACTCGCACGCGCCCCTCCGATTCCTCTCTTCGGTGTATAGCTCGTGACAATGACGACATCTGTTCGCATAAATAATTTATTATAAACCACATGTTATAACTATTCATTGTCTTTTACGCGAGAAATTATGATAGCGAAACGGAGGATCGTAACTTTAGATCATATACAGAGAATTATTATCTTTTGAACCAGTAATTTAAGCGTTAGTATACACTGTTGGAAAATTATTCGCGCGTAATAGGGAAATCAATGTTAAATTCTTAGCCTGCTGAAATACAGTCTACCAGTACATTTCAATAGAACGTCGCGATGAATTCTAATAAATTTAATTGTTCTACTGGACTTCACACCGCGCTTTGGCTTGGTTAGATTAAAAATCAAATAATTTCGATGGTTTCGACACTTCGACAGTATCAAAACGGGTTCGGATGGGTGAACGTCGAGTCGATTAAAAAGAAATGAGAATTTTTAAACGATAATTTATTGAAAAAATATCACTAATATTAAAATAGAATTATGTAGATATGTCTTTTTGCCACAATGGCTTGAAAAAGAAAGTAAATTCTAAGAAAATAATAAAAAGAAAACTCCAAAAATAAACTTATTATAAAGATTATTTTAAAACAGAAAATAAAAGAACTCTAAAAAATAGTCCACCGCTTTCTGCTAAACTATAGGCAAACCTGTCATACAGATGTCATCTCATATTACTGAGCTGAGGTGTAATTTTAGCAGAAAATTGAATTATTTTTTCCCTTATTTCAACAAAATTTGTTGCTGTTTCAAAACTGTACCTACCGATACACACATTTTCTTGAAATATCCCCAAAAAACCTATTAAATGTAGTTTCTAAATAATTTTGTACCTCATACCTAACACAAATAACTTTGTACCTCTACAAATCGCGGCGTGCGATCCAGTAGAACAATTAAATTTATTAGAATTCATCGCGACGTTCTATCGAAATCTACACTAGTAGACTGTATTTCAGCCGGCTAAGAATTTAACATTGATTTCCCTATTATGCGAAATTAAATTTCCAACAGTGTATATGATCTAAGATCGTAACAGTCGTGTAGACACCACTACAGAGTCTACTCTAAGTATCAAACGTACCGTATTTGTACTTTGCCCTTGTGCTTGACGGCCTTGTAAGGTAACGGAGGCTGTTGAGGCGGATTCATCTCCGCGCCGATGTTGCATTTCTTCAAGCTCGACGTCGAATCGTCGCGACGCAACGACGCCGGTTTCTGTTGCTCGTCCGACGGGTAATTGTACTCGTGCACGGCCGTCAGTTGAACGTAGGGATAATTCTCGCCGGCTCCTTGACCGCTCTGCGCCTCTGCGAGAAACGGAATTTTATCGATCATCGATATTTATCGATTTTTTTTTTGGGTTACCTTTGGCCGATTTGTTGGGATCGTAGGCGGGCAATCTGGAATCCAACGGTTTGTTATCGCGACCGATGTACGTCACACGGTGCAGGTGTTCCGTACCTTTGGTACTCGAATCGCTCGAGCTTCGAGAATCCTTCGGATCTTGCGGTAGATCTAATGTCTGCGAACACAAATCAACGAGTCTATATGCGTTAAACGGAACATATTATATGGTAGTGTAGAATTCTAATTTATTGTTGAAGTCTACTTTGATAAACCGAATTAATAAGCGAGTCTACTTTCGAGAAATCAAATTAATAAGCGAGTCTACTTGGGGGAAATCAAATTAATATACGAGTCTACATTCGAGTCCCTTACCATAAATACGTCATCGTCGCCAACGTCTTTGGGGTATTTGGGCAGAGGTGATGTAGGAGACGTGTCCGCAATGCCTGAAGAAGAAAAAAAAATCATTTTTTCAATCGATTAACTAATAAAATAACGTAAATTTTGTATAGGAATTTTAAGAAAATATTTTGCTCTCTGCATTACGCAATTTACGGCTAAAAAACCTTAAATGCCATTACTCTAATTAACTAAAAAATTAAGGACACACACACACACACGACTCGACGAGATGGAATTCTAAATATAGAAATCGCCCAGAAGAACGAGAATGGTTTATGTGATATTTCGCATTTTAACGCCTCGCATATATTATGCAATTCTATCGTGTACTCACCGTGTAGAAATCCCGTAGTAGGAAAAGGAAGCATTGAAAAAATCACAAATAGAGCAGATGAGATATAAAAATTAAACCTTAAATAACATTTTGATCGGGACGCACGACAACAACAACAACAACTACTAAATGATAATATCATGTCAATGAAGTCCCCTTACCGTCGAGCAGGTCCTGTATGGCCGTTTTCACGCCCTTATCGAATGCCCTCGCGTCGGCCGCCGCCTGAAACGTCAGACCGTACTTTTTGTCTCCGGTTTTCCAGTGATGAAAAGTCGGCATCACTTTGTTGTAGACGAAGTCCTTTTTTATCGTACAACTCAATACAATCTGAAATATATACATGAAATATTCACATATAAGAAGCTTCGCATCGAACAGATATATTAGGAGAAAAATTAATATCTCAGTAGTACTACGATGTAAAAGGAGTAATAATTTGGTATACACATTTGAGTGTACTAGTTATGTTATTATTGAAGTATTCTAAAGGGTTGAATGGAGATGAGGCAACATTGCAAAAAAATTGCACAACTTGTGCTAAAATTACCGACAATGTGTCGCATTCGACCGCCGTCGAATGGCGGAAATAAACAAAGAGGACGGGCTATATGCCGCCCCCTTTATAGATAGCGCCCGCCCAACCAACCTACGCATAATATTTACCCCAAAAAAACCATATAATGTCGCAACAAAACTCACCGAATTGTCGCTGATCCTCTTCCCGTAGATGAGATAGTCGTGCTTCGGCTTCGACGTTTGATCGGAGGCGGGCGGCGGTTGTTGGCCGGCGGCGGCGGTCGGACGAGGCCGCTTCCGTACCGATACGTTGCTGAGACCGCCGCCGCCCAACGGTACCCAACCGCCGGAGCTGTCGTCGCGGGACATCACCTGAGCGCGGACGCGCACCAAGTAGTTGCCACTAGAATAACGGAAAAAAGAAATCAAAAATTAGAATTTTTTTTAACGGTGCTATATAACTTTATTGGTCATATTTTTACAGTGAGGACTGAGGACCAAAAGTCCGTCGCCCCCCTCACTCCTTTAAGTTTTGAATGGTACGAGCTTTTGTTGCGAAATTTGGGGTTCGAAAATGACAGTTGAAACTTTCAAAATAACAGTTAGGCGCCATTTTGAATCTTTTTTTCTTATGGAAAGGGGGCTCAAGTGACACCTCGTTTTAAAGGTAATTTCATTCTTAAGTCAACCCCTAAATTTGAAAATATTTTAATAGCGCGTATTCACGTGAAGACCTATTTAGTTTTAACCCCCGGGCATATTGATGCATTTAAAAATTAATTCTGAACGTACTATAAAATGTGTCGATTAATTCTTGCTATGGTTTTTTAGTTCTGACATTTATTTGTCAAATAAGTTGATGAAATTGACAATGGCTCGTCTTTTAAACGAAAAAACTGATGTATTTTTACAGGGCTGATAAGGGTGAAATGCACGATTTTTGGAGAGCTATACAAAATTGGCTGTAGTCAAGCTATAGCGACTTGAAATTTTTAATAGAGATAGTCTCATCTTTTCAGTACGATTTTTTTCTTTCAAAAATTTTCAAGAACAAATCGACACAAGGTACAAAAAAATGAAACATCCCTTAACTCTAACACCGCAATAAAATAAACTTTCACCTATCAACATCTTCATCACTATCATCACCGCATTTTTCTACATCGATTCGCTCCATAATTATCGTAAAAAAAAGTACTCGACTTGCTTCCCGTCTTTAGTACTACTAAACACTTTTGTTCACGCTAATTATTTACGCGTACCATTAGTTCGAGCGTAATTAGGCTCAAGCAAACAAATAATAATTGGGAAAAAAATAATTACACGCTACATTAATTATTACTATTGGCAACAAAAACTATGTTCGTACTCTTACATTTTATAATTATAAGTTGGAAGGATATTTTGATAAATTGTGGTGTATAAAATACAGGAAGCGATTAGAAAAAGGATTTAGGGTTGTTTAAATATAATTCTAAAATCGATTATTCATTATTTGTGCTTCGAGAAAATTCGCATTTTAAATAAAATTAGACTATTTTTTCCGATGTCCTAATTTAAGTATTTCATTAAAAGTAAACATCCCCATTGTGCAATATTATAACAAACCTTAGTAAAAAAATATAGGTATAGAATATTTACTACATTAGTCAACTTACTAATTACTACTATGAGTCTGTATCTTCATATCATCAATGGTGGCGGTTTAAAAAAAAATCACCGACGCCCTATATCGAAACAACCAAAACGGGGGGGAAAATTCACCGAATTTCCCACTCGAATTTTCCTAACCAAACCGACCGACGCTTCGCTCTAAACTCCCGTTGGCCTCTCCAAAAACCCGAAACCCATCTTTTCCCTCTCCATCAGCGCTCCTCCCGTCCCCCCCGCGTCGCTCCTTTCGCTCCCCCCGAAAACCCGTAGGGGGGTGGAAAGGGGGCGCACACCGTTGACGTCATACTTCGTCGTCGTGCCCCCCTTCCCCCCCCCCGCGCTCAACGATGCACTCCACGTGATGGGACCGAATGGAATATAGGTAACTAGGTGTTAGGTTCGTTGGCCGCCCGTTTTATCAATATTTGATAACGCAGGAATTCTATTGGTTTTTTTTTGGGGTAGTTTAATAAAATTTTTAACGACTTATGAGGAATATACAACTCGGGGAACACCCCTCGTATACGGTATGCGAATGGTAGATACACCTTGCTCCATTTCCGATTGCAACATGGTCATTTCTATGAGTGGAACAAAGAAAGATTATTAAATTGACAGCTGTCAGAGTGAAAAGTTGCAATGACACAAACGTCACTCTTTCCTTTTCGTTTGTAAGTGTCTAATGGAAGTTGTCTTTATCGCACCTATGACCTATATAGGTATAACCTATGTTGGGATCAAAAATGGAACAACCTGTATAAGAGAAATTCATAATCCCTGCTCGGTTTTAGAGCGGGTTTCGGTGTGGGAGTGCGATATGCATATTGGACTGTTAATAATCCGGCTTTTTTTCTCTACCTTTAGGAGAAACAAATTTTCGAATATCCGAACTAGTAACGCATATACCTACGCCCGTTTGGAATGGCTTTGATCGAAACCTGTGAAGTTAACCGAGCGCGAATTAATTTCCTATCCGGTGACGGAATATTCGCCTATAAAGAACCCAAAATCCACCCCTTCTTTCGCTCTAATCTACACTAAGCCTTCGCGTTAGACGGTATAATATGTGGAAATTTGCCAAAATGTACAGGGTGTTCTTAAACATCGTGTACATCCGAAAGAGGGTGATTCCTTGGTTTATTTTATGACTAAAAGTTCATATAAACGTGGGTCCGCAAACGCTTCGTTATCGATCTACAGGGTGTTGAAATTTCAAGATTTTTTTTGTTTTGTTTGAAGGAATCACCCCCTTTCGGATGTACACGATGTTTAGGAACACCCTGTATATTTCTTACACCAACGATATTATCTATCAAATCAGAATCTGTAGATATTCAGTTTTAGCGACTTTTTAAAGGTTGTTTTTATACGAGTACATTCTATTAAAGTGTACAATCTGATTGCAATATTTAATTCTAAATTGCATCACCCAAATTTGAAGAAGAAAAAAAAAGAAGAAAATTGGACGGTTCGTAGACGATTTAACGTAATTAAGACAGAGTCGATAAAATCAACAAATAGAACATCGACGAGTGCGATTTTTCCACCTCAAAGAACATTTATTTTGTAAATCGTCGATGAAACGGAAGTTTATTTTTTGATGTATTTTCGGCAGAAATCCGCTTCCTGCGGCGCCCGAACGGAGCCCAAATAATAATAACCGAAACCGCAAATCATTGAAAAATCCTCAGTGAATTCTTCCTGCATGTAGAGCCCTTTTCACTGCACTTTATAATTACATTCCCGTCGAATTTTATCCCAAAATCGAAGCTACTTACGCGAAATTTCGAAACCAAAGTTAACAATTACTCATCAACCGCGCGAATCCAGAATTTGTTTCGTGAAGAAAACGAGGATAAGATGAGAAAAGAAGAATACGAACAAACAAATCGGTTAGACCAAAAAACATTTTCGCTTTCATAAAATCGATTTCCTCGTCCTCGTCGAAACGAAACTTTATTATTAATGTATGCGTCGTTCTTTTCATCATTTCCCTTTGTTTGTCCCCGCTATATTACTCCATTCAATTATATTTTATTGTACGTGGGCGCGCGCGAAACGTTCATTCACCAGATTTTCCAAACGCGCGCCTTTTTTCGCCAGCATTTCCAACAGCGCTTCGAAATTTCGCAACGGGAAAATCTCGATTTAACGATCGCGAAAATATCGCTAGTTAGATACAGAAGATGCTGTTAAACGAGCCAGAAAAAAACCTACTATTAGACTTATTCTGTTGTATACACAATAATTGGAGTACTTCAATTACCACACCTGATCTAATAAAGGTCAATGTGCAATTTTTAAATAATTAAAAACATGTATTAAATTTGTGCTCGTTCCAATTTCGACACGGCTGTAGCAAAGTAGGTAAATTGAACGGAAAATTGAATGTAGAATATTCATTTCCATACAACGGGAAATTGCCGTGCGAATTCGAAAACAATTCAATGACTAATCGTTACTCGTTTCCAACGATTCCACTTTCGTTTCCCATTGTTCCGATTTTAATTGTTTCTCGCAATAAAAACATAACGGGACATCCTTTATATTTCCCAAGCACTAAGCTATTTCTCAAATATCAATTTTCTTCCCAGGTGGAAAAGCATCAATCCCTGTACGATTTAATCAAATTTATTCATAACTACTGGTACATTTACCCGCATAACTGACCCGTACAAGACCATCGACAATAAAAAAAATTAATCACTCCGATTACATCTCGCATATTTCCGGGCAAAATACAGGAAAATCGGGTCGCCGTTCGCATGACGTCAGCGCGGAAAATTCAACGGGAAACCCATCGAAGGGGGTCACGTCTGACGTCATAGCGGCCCCGAAATAAAGGGGGGGCACCCCCCCCCGCCTGCCGTTGACCCAGTTAAAGGTATGAATGGCCTAGCTGCAGGACGACAACCCCGAAATGCGAAAATGTAGGTCGAACGAGCGGACCCCGGGACGCGATATGGGGGCCTCTCTATATTTAGCTCGATGAGGATTTTCATTGTGGAAAACCGAACCGGGAAAACTCGATTGGGGGGGGAGGGGGGAAGAGAGGGAGAGCCTTCTCGTTTCATTCAACAAATTCCTATATACTCCGCTACTTTTTTTAATCTACATATATCAGGATAAGGATAATTTCATACACTTAATTGCTACGAAAAATAAAAACATAAATCAAAGTAAGTTGTAGACAATGTATGTAATATAAGGGTATATTAGAGATTTTATCGAAGACTCGGCAACGTCGCTTAATAAAAAAAAAACCTCCTCTAGCACATAGCGAAGTAGGCCATGTGCTCCCGAATGGAGAGTTCGAAAACGATGACGTCGGCGATGACGCGCGAGGGTAGACCGCCCCCTCATTGGCCGATATCGCCGATAGGCGGGGCCACAATTCAGCGGCGGAGCGGGTGGGGGTTTATCGCAATTGAAGTATTATACAGTACAGTACACCAAAGTGACCCAGTTCGGGGAAAGCATGAATGGGTCGACAACGGAAAAGGGTATCAACCCCTCTCGGTGGTGGAAGAGGCCCCGAATTTGGGTCACGGTGTGGAGCTATACCGCGAATCGGCTGGATTTACCTATTTATAGCTCCGGGTCGACGAAGGGAAAGGCGCTCCCCGGCGATGTGAATGGGTGCCCCCCCTGCACCGGGGGGGAGAAGGACGGAGACGGGGGACTCGGTTTCTCGCTCCGGCATATATATATATCGAAGTCGATTCATCTTTCGAATTTCGGACGGGAATTCGAACGGCGTTTTGCAACGCTAAGCTGGATTCGGTTAAAGTGGATTAAAAGGAACCGGAATTACATGAGGGGGGAGAGCGGGGGGGAGCTTCCGGTGAAGAATATTAAATACAGAATTATGTTGCGGTTCCTGTTTTACCTTTACCGAACACGAAAAATAATTGCAAACACAGAAAAATAGGTAAATGCGAGTTGCATTCAATTGACTTTGGAAAGACTATACAGGTTGCTAAGACAACTTACATTAGACACTTACAATGGAAAAGGAACGAGTGACATTTGTGTCAATTGCAACTTTTCACTCTGACAGCTGTCATTTTAATAATCTCTCTTTGTTCCACTCACAAAAATGACAAGCAAGGTGTATAACAGGCCCTTACCCTGTTTACATAAACAGCCATATTTGACGTTTATTTGTAAAACACTTCTATTCAGACACTTTTTATTGCCTATTTTGATAAATAGTGACCCTAATTCTTCCCAAAAAATGGTCAAATAAAAAATATGATTTTATAAATTCATAAAATCAGCAAGTTCTTAGCGTGCATTCCATTGACTGTGTAAATACTATACCAGGCCTTTGACACATTACTTACACAGCCATAATATTTGACATTTTGTGTGAAAAACTTCTATCTTCTACTACTTTATTGCCTCTTTTGATAAACAATGAGAAACACACTTCAAATTGAGTAGACTTCATATAAGATATTCGGGCTGCATTGAATTTTCTTTGGAAAGACTATATGATGAGGGCCCCTCTTATACCCAAAACAGTCCCATTTGTATCGATCGGCGTCGATCGAGCGCGCCGCTGATTTCATGAAAAGACCTCTACTATACGGATAACCGGTCGGTAAAATATGAAAAAAAAAATAAAGGCAATAATTGTTGGCTTAATCAGATACGGTTTCCTGTTTGGAATTATTTACTACTTCCTGCGCCGAGCGAAACGCACCAGGCTCGACATGGAAAAAAAAACACGTCGATTACGGCCAAGAAATGCGCTCTTTATTCCCTTCTTTTTTTTTCTTCTTCTTCTTCTTCTTCATTTCATTCAATTATTAATCTCCATCGGAGGTTTCCTATGCATCTTTATACCATCGTCGTTTCCTTTGAGATTAGATTTTTTTTTGTTTTCATTATTTTATTCCGATATAACTGGATATTCGATGTTTGCGAGAATAACGACCACAAATCAATCTATTTTACTTAATTAATTTACTTAATTAAAGTGTACATTTTTAAGGGTTTTATTTATTTATTGTTTATTATTATTTAGGTCTATTATTGAAGATTATACAGGTTGCTCCATTTTTGATTGCAATATAGGTTGTACAGGCCATGGGTGCGATAAAGACAACTTCCATTAGACACTTATAAAGGAAAAAGAAAGAGTGACAAGTGACTGATTTGTGTCATTGCAACTTTTCACTCTGACAACTGTCATTTTATTAATCTTTCTTTGTTCAACCCATGGAGACGACCATATTGCGGTCTGAATTAAAGTAATGGGTATCTAATAAAAAACAATACTAACAAATTAATTGCAAATTTGCATTTATGTACCAATTTTAATACAAAATAATTAGTAAAGATAAAGCACCGAAAGAAACCCAAATCGCAGACTCCTTGGATAATAACAACGAAATACAGGGTGTCCCAATAAAAAATTGCCCATTTAATTTAATCATCCTAATGCAGATTTATAAAATTTATACTTTATGATGGTGTATTTCAGTTTGCAATATTGTCATTTCTATAATTTGAACAAAGAAAAATTAATAAAATGACAGTTGACAGAGTGAAAAGTTGCAAAGATACAATATCACTCTCTCTTTTTCCTTTATAAAAGTGTCTTTAAATGAATCAACCTGTATAGTATATAAAAATTATAAGCTGGATTAAATGGGCTACTTTTCATTGGGACATCCTGTATATAAAGTCAAAAAATGCACCATCAATAAGGCACACAGGTACAATTATTATACGAACAACAATTAGACTTATTAGAAAGCATATGTTGCGATAACGAGTAAATAAATAACGAAATTAGTAAATAAATAATTCGAAATCCGCGGCCTACTCGGATATTTAAAACGCGCCAGTAGACAGGTAGAAAGGCGGATTGGCCATTAAGTTCATTCACAAAGTGTATATACGGGGGATAGGGAAAAAATAAGGCGTGGGCGTGCGACCTGTACCGAAATATTAATACGGATTCGATTTATATAGAACACACGCGAAAATAAAGCGACGCCGGAACGATTTAAATCGCCGCCGAACGCGAACCAGAGCCGCCTCTATCTTATGAATGAAAAATGGAAACCATTGATTATTCCCACTATGAATGATACTCGCGGTGCTCGTGCGACGGAAAGTGTGCGGATAAAGTCGAGCGGAAAACGCACAATTCGCGATTCGCCACAATTCCGGCTAATCGAAGGGCGATTAGAGCGAATATCCCGTCGAATAACTCGCGTTTGAATTATATCATGGCGGACGTTCTACCCTATTCGGGGGGGTGTACCTGCAGGGTGAGAATTTCTACTTACTCATCAGTTCTTGTATCGGTCATGGTTCGTCTTGTGGATTATCCTACTATTGGAAGTCCATTTTTCTAACCACCGCATTTTTGTACCACATCAAAACCAACTTATCAACACGGGAATAACCATCACAGACCATATACCCTTCGAAACTATACGGACTTCTGGACGTTTCACGCAGATGACTCAAGGTCAAACCGTTTTTCTGGTACCGCTTCGCTCGCCCAGAGGGCCTTCTGTCATTAGAAAGTGTCGCACGTTGCCAAATCGAATTCTTCTTTTTTTTTATTACTTCTCAACTCGGCAACATTGCTTCAACGGGTAATTTTTTTTTGAAACAAATAAAAAAACATATCAACGGACTTTAAGGCATAAATAATTCTTAGTGCAATTAATTGAATGTAACATTAACAGATTTTATTTATAAACGATTATCGAAGTTGAGCTGAGTAACGGTTAAGTAACAGGCAACATTCGAGGACGATTCGAATGTTCGCGCTTGTTCAAATTTATCGATTTATTTTCAAACCAATTATGAAGTATCGAATTAATAAATACGTTTTACCGCACGAATATCGTGTGAATTGTACACAAGTAAATGTAAGTATTAATTAAATAATTTAGATTTATAAATAAAATAGTCTTAGGTAGGCAACCATTTTAACACATTTTTGAAGTAAGATGTAACATTTCACCTGTAATACGATATCTTGTCTACCCGAGTTCCTCATGTCCTGGTACTTATTCGATTCCAGCCCAACAAATACATAAATTACAGTTGATTGATTGATTGATTGATTGAAAAAATTATCCCAATTTATGACAAACGTCAAGCGTCCATATTCAAAAAATGTCCCGTCCCTAAACCCCAATCGTGTAGCCACGAACCATGTTCGAAACGCGTCCGAACGAACCCGACAATCCTTTCAGGACCATGGGCTTCGTCGTCGACAAGATCTCCGAGGACTCCTTCTACGAGAACCTGCTGCTCGGGCTGCCCAAGGCGCTCGAGCGCTCCCCCTACGTGGCCAACCTGCAACTGCGCCGCGCGCCGGGCCTGCGCCCGCCCGACATCCGCCACTGGGAGCAAACCAACGGCGCCAACCTGCCCGACGGCCTGCGCGCCTTCTACAACTCCACCAACGGCTTCCTCTACACCTACGAGTTCTCCTATCCCGACGAGCAGGGGCCCGTGCGAACGGGAAAAATCGAGGTGAATCCCTTGAACGAGCTGGTGCGAATCTACGGCTACGAGACGAAGAGCGCCGCCTCGATCGAACGCAACGGCGATAAGCGCAAGCTCAATCTCTCCAAAGAGAGCAAAGTGTTCGAATTGAGTACTGTAGACGATAACGCTAAAGTGGCACTCGTGTACGCGCACCACTACGAACCACCCACTATATGGCTGTACACCAACAAGAACATGACCTTCCACTACATCACCCACGATTTCGCGGTGTACTTGCGCATGTGCCTGGCGCATTTGGGAGCGCCCTGTTGGCAGTACGTGGCCTCGAAGGAGGGATTGCCCGAATGGGCGCGGGAGATTTTCACGTTGCTGGCGCCCGGGGTGCTCGAAGAGGAGAGGAACCTCGTGGAGATGCCGGCGTTCGACGTGGAAACCAACAGGATCGATCCCGCCATATTTTTGAACAGCTCGCCGAGTTCCACGACGCTCTTTCACACTCTGCAACAGTCTAAATCCAAAGAGAAGAAGATTAGAACCGTGGCGAAGAAGATATCTAATAGTAGAGTTAATAAAAATGTTAAATAGATGGTGTTTTATTTACCTGACGTGCTCTTCTATTACTGCCTGAAATAATCGATAGTTGAGTATACAACGATATATTTTTTAATGTTGTTAACAAATAAATATATGTACTTAAATAAGGGCAATATGTCTTTTTTTAAATGGTATTAGAAAATTGACAATTCATCGAATTGACCAGAATGCTAATAATTACGTATTTATAACAAAAAATTGTCATGTATTAAGCCGAACGAATCAGACGAGATCTAATTTTAAAAAATTGACCAAATAATTGATATGAACTAATTCGAATAGGCTACAAATCAATCCTCTTCGACTTTCAATTCCTCCTGCATACAATGAAACTCTTTAATTTTATCCAATAATTGTTTCCTGAGCTTTACGGCAGTACTCCTCAGATCCTTGCTCCTCTGTATAATACCCTCCGCTTTAATAAGCGCCTTCTTCTGCTCTTGCGGGTCGATCAACCACCTATAAACTCCCGATTAAACCACAATATTTCGTATATCACTCATATTATTCACCTGAAATACAAATCCGACCAAATCACGATGCTAACGGGCGCCACGCTGGGCCACACGGGCGATTTGTTGGGCTCGTAAGCGGGATTCAACAACCGAGTGAGCACGTCCGGTCGATTTAAATACGACCACAGGCTGGTGGTTCTCTTGGGCAACTCGATCAGCGATCGTTCGCGCTCCGAATCGCCCAAGAACGTGCCGAATTGGCTGAAATACGAGTGCTCGAACAGCGTCACCAGCATGTCGGTTTTGAATTCGAAACTGCCGGGGAACTGGTAGCACAGCTGTTGCAAACAATCCAAGAATATCAGGAAAGTCGGTTGGATTCCTTTGGTTCGGGCGGTTGCGAAGCAGAACCGTTGGTGCCTCGTGCGAAACGGATGCCCGGCTTGTAGCCATTCGCGTTCGATTAAAGCTTGCAAACCTACAAAACAGATTATTAGATACTTCATTTTCTATTCGTTAAATATTACCTCTGACAGTTCTACAATCGGGGTTTAGTATCACTTGAGCTAACGATGTTACTATTAGGGTGCTATCCTGTCCGTTAGCTCCGTGTACTAGTACAGAAGCGCCATCTTTATCTAAACATTGAGCTACTAGGCAAGCTGCATTTAAAGCGTTTTGAACGTGATTCAACCAGTTGATGCTTTTCGATAGCCATTTGTCGGAGTTCGTATCGAGACAAGTTTCGATAAATTTCGACAGGTGTTCTAAAACAGACCCGTCGCATTTCGATATCTTATCTAAAGGTTTGTAAACCTTCTTCCACTGGTTGTAGTAGGACTCCGGTTCGGTGCCGCCTCCCTTGTTTTTGCAGTAATTAACGTAATTCGAGCTCCTCGTATCGATTATGTAGCCTTTCTTGTAGGGCCCCAGTACGGAATTTAGGATCTTTTCGTCGGCTTTGCATCTTCTGTTGGAGTTGTTTAACATCGGTTGGCTGCTTCGAAGTAAAACTGTACCGTTATCGTGCCTTAAAATAATAATTTAGTACTACATCGAAAAAAAGTGACTTAACATAGTACCTGTAACTTAGTATAGGGAATCGACCGCCTTCTCTGAAATTAGCAGAGGCTACAATAGTCTCATCGTCTATACTTTTAGGCACTATTAGAGTGCTGCCGTAACTATTACACACTCCGAAATTTCTATTTATATGGGACACTCTCCATTCATCGCTACCTATCAGTTTGGTGTATTCGATTTCTAAATCGAACAGAGTATGCCCGTCTTCGAGGATGTTGTACATGGGCCGGTAGAAAAACGGATACAACAATTCGGGTTTCTCCAAATTCGACAGACGTTGGAGGGATAAATAGACGTTGTTGAAATCTTCAGGATGGGCTATGTCTAATTGAATGATTCTGAAGTCTTTGCATTTTAAGAATATGGACCCGCCGCTTTGGGATGAATTGTTGTTGGCCGTTCGTTTTTCTACGGAATCTATGCATTGGTGTAACAGCTGGAATAGTGAATGTTGTGGAGAAGTGTTTGGGGAAATTGGGGAAAATCGCTTACCCAGACTTCTTGCACGTCCTCGTTTCTCGATGATACTATCAAATGGTGCCCCGTTATGCACAGCCTGCCTTCTATGGGATCGGAAAAGGGGCTGTGACATATTACCCCGTCTAATTTAGGCGTTTTTATCATTTCGGCGAATTCCATCGCCCATAAACGTATTCATTACATGTTTTTATACATTTGGTTGATTTGTTTGATTGAAAACTGAAAACGTCAACAATTATTGACAAATGACAGATCTTCTTCTTTTTCTTCGTGTCGCTTATTGACAGATATGGCAGAAAACATTTCTTCTTTTTGTAACAATGAGTATATGATTTTTCCAAAATATTCAAAATCGATGTTTACAGATTAATTATGCAAAATTCGAAGAAAATTACGATGTTTAGATTATAATATTTCACTTAATGTGGCTAGGTTCCGTTTCAGAAATAAACAAGCGGTGTATTTATCGATTAAGAAAATCGATCGGCATCAATTGGAAAAATATGTTTCGTTTTTAAGTAGGATATAATTTTTTATAGGTATTGATATTAACTTTGCGCACTTTACGGCTCTGTTTTGAAATGCGTGCGTCGTTCTTGAAACGAAACATACTTTATTTCTAATTCAGACTAAAAAACAACAATGAAAAGTAACACCGGAAGTCGTTCGAGTTATTTTTAAGGCGAGAATATAATCGGAAAGAGTAAATATTGATATTCGTAGATAAAGAATATAATGATTTGTATGTTCTACTTTCACAGATAAACTCAACAATTTCTCTATTGATAAAAATAATTGTGTGAAACCGTAATTTTCACGAAGCGATCAATCTAACAAAAAAAATAGCATTTTTTTCATTACACAACACACAACGAACTAGACAAGGAAAAGGTAAATAAACACAATCGAATTCGCCTCGTGCAGCCATATTCCCACCCACCTTAAGGCCCATTTTCCTTTCAAAAACCCCCATCCGTCCGAGATTTATTACCATTTCATCATCAAAACACGATACCACCTACAGGAGAAAGAAAGAGAGAACGAGCGAATCGTTCGAATCGTACACTCGGTGCAACCCGCTCACCCGTTCCGAGCAGAACCGTCCAACGCAGTAAACGCAGTTTGACACCCGCCACGTTGCCGGTACCGCTATTATTTCTCCGAAAAAGGGAAAGTTGATTTATAACGACACGAACTCTGCGCCTCTTACTGATGCGTCTTTTACTTGACAGTTGTAGTAAATAGCGTTTGTGTTGTTTGAATAATAATCGTTAACTGTCAAAGTGAAATGAGTTAGAAATATGACAGATAAGTATGGTGTATTACGCGGGTGTTTAGGTTTATGAATTATAGAGGAGCGGATGTGGCAACGTCGCGGCGTATGAACCGCGCGGTGTATACGCACCGTAGCCTTGAATTCCGTTTCATTCATAAATTTTCTTTCGCATCGTTCGACGCGACTTCGGCTCGCCAGAAAGAAAACCTCGTCAAACCCAACTCGGATCGCGTCCAGTTAACCAAAAAAACCCGAACGGGCCGGACCGACGATCGCCAGTGCTATGCCCGCAAGCGGACCTCCGAACGGCCCGTTTCTCGGTTGTATAACGATTGGGAGAAGCCTCAGCGTTGGTGCATATCGCGTGTGTCCCGTGCGGCGTGTCCCGATGTCACAATAATCGGGCCCATTCATTCGGATTTCGCCCGCTCCGAGCGCAATCATGGCTGACGATTTCAAAGGTGTCGTTCGGATAGAAGAACGCCTCAAAATCAAAATAGGTGAGCGTCGTGGGCGAGGGGCTGGCGCGCGTAGGCGTGCAGGTGGCGATTTTCGGGGCTCCGCGGGCCCCGCTGGTCCGATTTTTTGTCGTGTTATTAATCGGTTGTTTACAGGCGAGGTGAAGAATTTACCGGAAAGGCACGGCTCGGCTACTCAAAGGGATGTTTATTGCACGTTGACTTTGGACCAGGAGGAGATCTTCAGGACGTGTACTGTTTACCAAACGCTAAGGTAACTCGATTTTTGTTGTGTTATATCCATTTTGCGTGGTTTTCTTGATCGTTTTTGACCGGAAATAAGTAGGCTTAATTCGTAGAAATTTACAATTTAGCGAAAAATTCGAAAAAAAAACCCACATTTCGGAATAGTAAAATACGTGATTTTTTTTTCGTTTATCCCATTAAGCGTGGCGCTCGTTGTTGACCTTTCTATTGAGCGTTCATTAAAAATTAAAAACCAGTCGTAAGTTTTTATGAATGAAATTCTATAAATAGCGATTTTAAATTACGTTCGATTATGATTTATTATTATTATTTTTTTTTTTCGTCGAATGCATCGATTCCGATTGTATTGCTGCTATTGTTTCCCCACACACAAACACATCCTTTAGCGATTTTTCTGTACATTATACATAAATTAGAATCCTAACGAGAAATTTCTGCGACCGCAAATGGCGCGACACTCCTTCGTGTGTCTCTTACATTTTTGTTACCTTATACATTTACAGGAAGGTAAAACCCCACTATATATAAAACCCATTCAGTATTCAGCGAGTTGCCCAAATAAAGCACCAGGTGCCCCTGTGAAAACCCCAATCGACCGCTTCCTCAGGAAACCCAAAGCCCACTTTTGCGCTTTTTCGCAACCGTTTACTTACAAACAAACGTCCTTCGCTCGTTTCGTTCGAGTATGATTCACGAAAAAAACGTTCTTACCTTCATGATTCAATATCCCCATTTTCTTACTTCATATACAAAGCGTTACTCATTTACACACCGAATAACCGCACACCCTCTAACTCAAAGGCCATTTTCACACAAACTAATCCATTTTTTTCGTTTCATCAGTCCGTTCTTCGGCGAGGAGTTCCAGTTCGAAGTGCCGCGAAACTTCCGCTTCGTATCGGTGTACGTGATGGACAAGGACAGGCACACCAAGCAGGACAAGGTGCTGGGCAAGGTGGCCATCAAACGGGAGGAATTGTCCTCCTACAACAACAAGGAGCATTGGTTCGCCATTAGGGCCGTCGACGCCGATTCCGAGGTCCAAGGCAAGGCGAACATCGACATCAAATTCGACGAGGGCGATGGACACAAACGAAGGCTGCTAGTACAAGTAAGGATAAATATGCATTCCGTAATCCTGTAATTTATTATACACCTTGCTCCATTTCCGATTGCGACATGGTCATTTCTATGAGTGGAACAAAGAAAGATTATTAAATTGACAGATGACAGAGTGAAAAGTTGCAATGACACAAATGTCACTCTTTCTTTTTCCTTCGTAAGTGTCTAATGGAAGTTGTCTTTATCGCTCCCACGGCCTATATAACCTATGTTGCGATCAAAAATGGAGCAACCTGTATGCTGGATCATGGATGGTGATGGACAGCTTGGGGATATTGGAGAGTATAAGAGATTATACTCTGTGTTATAATCCTTCAAGTTTATACGATTCAATTGAGCTAAAGTTGCGCATTTGCGATGATATTGATGCACTATAACCCTTAATAATCTTTGATGATACCTTGATAACCTATTATAATCCTTAATAATCCTTGCTAATGCCTTTGTAAGTCTTCATAATCCTTGATAATGCCATTGTAAACATTGCTAATGCCTTTATAATCCTTGCTAATGCCATTGTAAACCTTGCTAATGCCTTTATAATCCTTGATAATGCCATAAACCTTGCTAATGTCTTTATAAGCCTTGCTAATGCCTTTATAGTCCTTGATAATGCCATAAACCTTGCTAATGCCATTATAATCCTTGCTAATGCCATTGTAAACATTGCTAATGCCTTTATAAACCTTGCTAATGCCTTTATAATCCTTAATAATGCCATAAACCTTGCTAATGCCTTTAAAATCCTTGATAATGCCATAAACGTTGCTACTGCTTTTATAATCCTTTCTAATCCCATTGTAAACCTTGCTAATGCCATTGTAAACCTTGCTAATGCCATTATAATCCTTGCTAATGCCATTGTAAACATTGCTAATGCCTTTATAATCCTTAATAATGCCATAAACGTTGCTACTGCTTTTATAATCCTTTCTAATCCCATTGTAAACCTTGCTAATGCCATTGTAAACCTTGCTAATGCTTTTATAATCCTTTCTAATGCCTTTGTAAACCTTGCTAATGCCTTTGTAAGCCTTGCTAATGCCTTTATAATCCCGGACAAGCCTCGTAGATAAGATGTACCTACATGGCGTGCGATATACAAAACCTATACACGTGCAATACATATTCCAGGTGGTGGAATGCCTGGACCTGACGCAGAAGAACGGCTCCTGCGATCCGTACGCCTCGGTGTGCGTGCGCTACGCCAACGGCAAAACGGTGACGAAGCGCACGAGGGTGCGCAAAAAAACGACGAGTCCTCGATTCGACGACGTGTTCGCGTTCGCGAGCGCCGTCGACGGTTCGAAAGAGACGACGGGCGTCGGTTTGGAAGGCGGCGCCTGCGACGCCGACATCTGCGAATTGACGGTGTCGATGTGGCACGACGCGCCCGCCCTCAGCGAGGACGTCTTCCTCGGCGAGGTGCGCGTCGCCCTGCGTGGGGCCCAACAGCAGAACTTCGCGCAGGCCAACGCTTGGTAAATAGAAAATTCCTTTTTGTTGTTTTTTTCATCTTTAATAGTAAATATTTGTAAAATGGTAAGAGTAGAACGGTAACGGTTATTTTGTAACAGTCGTTACTGCACCTCTATACCAAAAAGTTGATTCCCATCTCTATTAATCTTCTGTCATACGAAATGTCATTAATGTCGATATCAACGATTTTTTTTTTGTTTATGTATCATCGAACAACAAAAATGTACTTTATCGTAGAGTATAGATTGATGGAGTAGATTAGATTAGAGAAGGATGAGTAGGAGTTTTCGGTGCGGAATTTCGATAAAATGAATACATTTTGCAATAATCTAGTCATCTTATGCGCGAAGAAATCGCACGTGTGCGCCTACCTTAATACAGCCACATTACTAATTATCACGGCCCTTTATTTCTAACGTCTGGAATCTCCCTATACTTATGTATTAGAGAATGTGTCCCGTTATTTGAGGACTTTTTGAGATCCACTTTTGGGTCGCAAAGTGGCGAACGATCGGAGGACCAAATTATCTCAACCAATCAGCGTCGCGTTAGATATAAATCGAGGTTGTGTGAAATGACAGTTCGAGCTGTCAAAACTACAAAAATTATTTTTTGACATTTCGAGGAGAAAATGGGGAAATACATTAACCAAAGATACGTAATTACAACAAAATCATCGCTGATTTAAGTATATTTTTATATTTTCTATCTATTTTTAGTTTGAATATAACCTTAATGTTAATTCTATAGATTCGTACGCAAAAACCGTGGTCCTTTACAAAATCGCCTCACAGCGGCCGTTTTAGGAACCCTATTTTATCCTGAAATAATAGAACACTTTTTCGTCCTATGTTTCCAGACCTTAGAAATATAGGACTGTGCTAATTATTAACCGATTTGGAGAAATCCGAAAGCGCCTAACCGGAGTATTATAAATGTTTTCAAAACAATCGCTCGTTTGTTACTCGTTTATAATTTTTTTCTTTCGTTGTTTATTCTCGGGTGAGAAAAATAATGCGAATTGAAAAGAACAATTAGCCGTTTTTAAATTTGTATTCGCGCATCGGCGCGTTATCCAAACAATATGAGAAAGGCCGCAACGCCGCATTAATAATTCATTAATTTAATATAATTTTATGACCGATTGTGGTGTATAAGCGACGTGTATATAGTACATACAGTACGGTTAATTAGGTGAAATTATTTGGTGATTAGAACGCTCTCTCTCCGGCATAATTTCCCAAATCGCTTCGAACGATGAGTAATCGTTCCTCGGGAATCGCCATTTCCTCGGTTCGAAACGAAATTACACTAAAAAAATGATTTGTTTAGTGATTCGTTTCTCATTGAGCTCCATTAATCGCATATGTGTTTAGGCGGAAACTAAAAATCTAACGAAAAAAAAAGGTGTGTGTGTGTATATTTTATCGACTGCACTATCTAGAAATAGCTTAGCGTATATATTGCTTAACCTACTTTAACCTCAGCCCGCGAGAAAAGAAAACGCCGAAAGACAATGCGCTTTGGTTCTCCCATTTGTTTCCCATCGTACAAAACGGAGAAACTTTTTTTTTCATTTATTTATTTTAATCGTGCGATTTTTCCTCCGACGACATTTTCTCCCTTTTGTTCGAACAATTTTCTGTTGCGTACGATTTTTCCCACTCGATTTCGTTCGTTCTAGATATTAATGGGCGGAGGTTTCGCAAGGTACACGATAACACTACTTTGTGCAAATAACTTGGGATTATGGGAGTGATGGGAACCATTCAAAACGCTTCAGAATCATGTAGAACTATCTAGAACCATTTAAATTGTTCTAGAACTATTTAGAACGGTTCTACATTGAACAAATAAGAGAAACTAGACGTGCTGGAGTATTGTAATTGTATTTATTGTGGTTCATTCGGATTCAGATTCATTCAGAACGCTCTAGAATCCTTTAGAACTGTCTAGAACCATTCAGAGCGCTCTAGAATCATGCAGAACTCTCCAGAATCATTCAGAACGCTCTAGAATCCTTTAGAACTGTCTAGAACCATTCAGAGCGCTCTAGAATCATGCAGAACTCTCCAGAATCATTCAGAACTCTGTAGAGGCCTTTAAAACTGTCTAGAGCCATTCAGAACGCTCTAGAATCCTTTAGAACTCTCCGGAACCATTCAGAACGCTCCAGAATCCTTTAGAACTGTCTAGAACCGTTTAGATAGCTCTAGAATCGTTTAGAACGGTCCTACATCGAACAAACGAAAGAAACCAGACGTGCTGGAGTATCGTAATAATATTTATTGTGTGTGTGTTTTTTTTAAGGTATTATCTTCAACCGAGACCGGCGAAGAACCAACCGATACATTCGAGGCCGCCCGGCACGCGATTGTCCAAAGACAGCCCGTTGGGCTCCTCGTTGGGGTCTCTGAGGCTCCACGTTCAATACGCCGAAGACCGGGTGTTCCCCGCCAAGGTGTACGAAGACTTAAAAAACCTGTTGTTAGAAAGTACAAACATACAGGTAAGTCGATGGGACAAGTTCTTCGAAGGAATCGAGTTGAGAATTGTTGTTTCCTTCCAGCCTGTTACCTTCACGTCCGTGTACGTTCTGGGCGAGATCGTCAACAAAATGGACATCGCCCAACCTTTAGTTAGGATATATTTGCATTACGAAAAAATCGTGCCGGTTATTAAGGCCTTGGCTAACGTAGAAATATCGAAAGTAACGTAAGTACTATTATCTCACCTTCTATTGGCTAATTCCAGTGACGTCGCTACTCGGCGAGTGCTCTCATTGGCTCGTAAATCGATTGAAAGGCACCGCGATTATCCAAATCGTTATGGATGATTATGTTTCTAGGGATCCGACGACGATATTTAGAGGGAACACGCTCGTTTCGAAGATGATGGACGAGACGATGAAACTGGTCGGGCTCCAGTATTTGCACAAAACCCTCAGGCCCACTTTAGAGCTGATCCTGAACGAGAAGAAACCCTGCGAGATCGACCAAACTCGCGTCAAGGACGCCAACACGGTGGCCAACAATTTGACCAATTTAAAGGTAAATACGGATTTATTTAATTTCTATAGTTGGCCGTGACGTCACTATGCCAGCGAGAGCTCTCATTGGCTGGTGTAAAGCCGTCAAACGGAAATCGAACGACGCGATTGGCTGTGAATATTTTGACGTTTGACATATTGACGTTTTGATTTCCAGCATTACATACAAAAAATCTTCGAGGCCATAACGCAGAGCGCCGTCCATTGTCCGGCGTTGATGTGCCAGATATTCTACAATTTAAAGGAGTGCGCCATGAAGCATTTCCCCGACGACAAGGGCGTCCGGTATTCGGTGATATCGGGCTTCATTTTCTTGAGGTTTTTCGCGCCCGCCATCTTGGGACCCAAACTCTTCGATCTCACATCGCAACCTTTAGTGAGTCTAACGATATGAATTCTTGCTGTTTTATACGTAAAAATTTTTTCGTAGGATAACCAAACCGGTAGAACGTTAACGTTAATATCGAAAACCATCCAGTCGCTGGGTAACGTAGTTAGTTGTAGATCGACGCAGCAAATGTGCAAAGAGGAATACATGGAGGGACTGTACAAGGAATTCTACACGGAGAAACACAAGACGGCCGTCAGGCAGTTTTTGGAAATTATTTCGGCCAGTTCTTCCGGCCAACAGGTCATTGAAAACGATACGCCCGTTACGCTGAAAGAAGGGTAAGTGAACCGCTATTTTCGGGAAATTTCTACAGTTGTGCGCATGCGCCAACAAACCACTGCCTTGTTGCCAGATTGTCTAAATTGAAATCTGACTTTTATGCTGTCATTTAACATATTAAATTTAACTTTGTATCTCGTTGAATGGATGCTGCAGGGTTATAGCCAGGTATGAACGTTACTTAGACCGGTACCGTTTACATTATTTAACGCTAAATTTACTTTTTTTTATTTTTAGGGATATCAAAAAAATCACGACCACTACGTTTTTGAAGAAAGAGCTCAAATTCAGGTATTTCAAACTCACCACGCACGATCTCAGCTATTCGAAGAAACGAGGTAAATACCTATTAGGAGATATTGGTCCTATTGAATATACACCAATTTACACATCCCTGTATAAATATTAGTGCAAATTTGTATGCAATATGATCTACGAGGGTAGGGTGAAAAGTTCATGTTCTAGAGCAATCTAGAACGCTCCAGAATCATTTAAAACTGTCTAGAACTTAAGATATTGGCTTAATAATAAGAATAATGTAATATTTCAACTGAAAAAACGCGGACTTTGCCGAGAACTATTCCCCTTATCCTTGTATATGGGTGAAACAAAGACAACTTACAAACGGTCTCATATAAAGGAAAAAGAAAGATACAGTTGGTCGATTACAACTTTCTCGCTCCAACCCACTGTTGTTTCAATCGTCCCTCTTTGTTCAACTCATAGAATTGACCATATCGCAGGCAAATTTGCACTTACCCGTAGGTTTGTTCGTAGGCAAAGTGTCCCGTATACCGTTACACAACATTTTGGCGGTGGAAAAACTGGCCGAGTCGTCGTTCAACCAGAAATACATGTTCCAAATCGTCCAACCGAACAAGAAATTGTACTTCCAAGCGGCGAATTGCGTCGAAGAGAAAGAATGGGTGGATTTGCTGACGAAAATCTGCCAAACCAACGCCAATCGATTGCAGAAATACCACCCGTGCGCCTTCATCAACAACCAATGGCGCTGGTGAGTGTAGTACCACTAACCTCATTCGATTAAACCAAATCGATATACAATCGATATTGCAGCTGTAAATCCCCGAACGAATTGGCGCCCGGTTGCAGCGAAGTGTCGCAAATCGACAACAACTACCGGTTGAACTTGGACCCGGAACGCGATCTGCAGCGCGTCCAATCGCTGATCGTCGCCCACAGCGAGCAATTCCAGTACCACATCGCCTACTACAAGTCGAAATCGGCCGAGCTGCGCGACGTGCTCGAGCGACTGTGGGACGCCGCCGTCGAAATCGATCGGAAGCACAGCGTGTACAAACGGACGGCGGCGCGCGCCACCAAAGTGGGAAGCTTGTAAGGATCCCCTTTTATTTATCTATTAGTTTTAAAGCGTATTGGCTGGATACTAATGTGGTTAGAGGCCGAGCTACTGTCTGAAGTCGGTCTAGTGACTGCTGAAGACAAGCAGATGTCTTTAGACGATCTGGTCTTTAACCAATCTGATGTCTTTAGCCAATTTGAACATCGGACAAGCTGGTCTGATGCCAATCTGGTCTTTAGACAATCTGGTCTTAGGATAATCTAGTGCCAAAGTGGGAAGCTTGTAAGGATCCCCTTTTATTTAGTCATCATATTTTTGAAGCGCATTGGCTGGATACTAATCCGGTTAGAGGTCAAGTTAGTGTCTGAAGTCGATCTAGTGACTGGTGAAGACAAACAGGTGTCTTTAGACGATCTGGTCTAATGTCTTTAGCTAATTTGAACTCCGGACAAGCTGGTCTGATGCCAATCTGATCTTTAGACAAGTCTTTAGCCATAATAGTGCCTTCAGGACAATCTAATCTTAGGTCTGTCTAGTGTCTTTAACCTACTAGTGTCCTTACCCAAATTCCAGACGAATCAAGTCTTTAGCCAATCTGGTCTTAGGATGATCTAGTTTCTTTAGCCAATACAGTGCCTTCAGGACAATTTAGTTTGTCTAGTGTCCTTACCCAAATTGGTCTTCAGCCAATATAGTGCCTTCAGGACAATCTAGTTTGTCTAGTGTCCTTACCCAAATTGGTCTTCAGCCAATATAGTGCCTACAGGACAATCTAGTTTGTCTAGTGTCCTTACCCAAATTGGTCTTCAGCCAATACAGTGCCTTCAGGACAATTTAGTTTGTCTAGTGTCCTTACCCAAATTGGTCTTCAGCCAATATAGTGCCTTCAGGACAATCTAGTTTGTCTAGTGTCCTTACCCAAATTGGTCTTCAGCCAATATAGTGCCTTCAGGACAATCTAGTTTGTCTAGTGTCCTTACCCAAATTGGTCTTCAGCCAATATAGTGCCTACAGGACAATCTAGTTTGTCTAGTGTCCTTACCCAAATTGGTCTTCAACCAATCCAGTCGTACGCTATGGATATTTTAAGTCCTCCCCGTTAAATTTAAAAGTGTATAGAATATCGAACAAGGGGAATTTTGTTTTTGTTTGCAGGGCAGCGCCGATCGGGGACGACAATTACCTGTTGGCGTCCCGTTTGAACGTGAGAAGGTGCGTCTCGAGCGAACCGACGTCGTGTCCTTGACGCATACGGATCGTACGTTAACGTTAACGGACGTAATTCGGTAAGGGAATAAAGGGCGATGCGTTAATGATGCGATATCCGAATTTTCGAAGACTGCTGTTAAGATTTTTTTTTATTTCGTAAGGTTTATAGGAAATTGTATTTTTTTTCTGTTTGTTTGTTTGCGTTTTGCATACCGGTGCGTAAAATACGATAGGTTTCGCCTCTTGTGAAAATGTTTTGTTATTTAAATGTATATGGATCTTGTTATTGTACGGAAAACCGTCGAAAAAGAAACGAAATGTATGTAGGACAAAGACATGCTCTGTACATATTTTTTTATTATATATATTATATATAGTAGGTTTACTATTAGATGTGGAAAAATTGATTCAAAAATATTTTTACTATATGATCTAATAAGTACATCTTTGCGTATTTTAAAAGAAATGATGAAATTGTAACTTCGCATTTTACATTAAGACAATCATAATAACCCTCGTTTAGGTTGTTGTAAATTAAATATATCGAAGCAACCGCCGCGGATACGGGCCGATTTTAAATTTTCCAAGTGCCTTATATTTTTTTTTGTATTTTTAAACGATTAGAATCTCTTGTATATTTATTTATTTATTTCGTGAGTTATGAATGATTTAAACGGGCCTATCGCGGTTGTTTGAGTAGTACAAATTCGATGTGAAAACACAACAGGGTACGGATAAATTGGATAAGCAATACGATTTTGAGGGAGATGTAAATATTATATATTTTTGGACCAGACTATGTAAATATGTAGGTGTAATAATTCAGAAATTTTATTCCTCTATTGAAATATAGCGGAGAAAATAAATATTAATTAGTACTCGATTTCAATAAAACTATCATTGTGATTATTTGATTGATTTCATTCGGATATCTAAATGTTACTTTCGTGCTCCCAATAATTGTAAAATTGGGGAAGATCAATTTTTCTATGTATCCGTAATTTTAGAGTAATGTATATTTTTATTTGCACTGATTTTATAGATTTTTTTTTATTTAATGTAATTGTTTTGTTCTAATTAACTTATTAACTTTTTTTGTAAATTTTTGTGTAATATTAATGTTGTTTTTAAAAAACAAAGTTTCAAATATAAATATTTTCAGAAAAAACTACTTGTTTCTAATATGGAGTTGGGAAATTTCTATATATTTATACTTGCCAAATGCATACAACAAATTCAAATAATTTTTAATATACAGAGGCAAAATGTTGATTCAGAGTAGAGTGGAATTGTGTAGGATATATTTAGAATAAAGTGAATGAAGTTCTGCAACCACCATAACACATTTCACTTTAAACTTGTGATTAAAGAGAAACGAAGCTAGCAACAAATTAAAAAAACAAATACTCGCTCTAATCGCGATAAAAGTACAATTCGGAGACACGACCGTTATCAAATTATTATTATTCTTATCTTAAAACACATGCAGATATCAGATTTGCACCGATAGCAACCGCAGTTTTCGAATAGGAAAAAAACAATTATCTGTTCAGTCGAACGGCGGTTGCTACAATGTCGAGTTTCTTTAGCAACTTATTTGCTACGAAGAAATCCCAATCGAACAACAACAACAACAACAATGGAGTGTACAATCAACAAATAAGCGAATACGAAACAGCGGACATTCCCAAACCAATGTCGAGGCGATTCTCCTTATCTAAAAGTGGAAGAATAAAAGAGAAAAATAGAATGAAAGTCAATATCACCGAGCACTTCGCAGGTAACCCTGAGAACGGCAACAAGACCGAAACGTCTGATAAGACTGGATGAATATGTGATTATAACTGTTACTTATTTTTATATTATTATTACGCTAAGTATGTGAGGATAATAAATTAGATTCGTATCTAAAATTTAGTAATATTATGCGCCATAATATCGATAAAAATCGATATTTCCTCGTTCAATTTTCGCGAAATTGGAAAAATTTGCGTCATTAGTTGATTCATCTTCGACGTTAATTCTTTTAACGAACGCATTATCCGACTAACCGGATTTAATATGCACATAATTAGCGATAGTTCGAAAGGCGAAAGAGTGATAAATAAACGGAGAATTCAGAGTAGTTAAGCCTCGGCCTTCTGAGGTCAAGGTACAGTATTTTTTTTTCTCAGAAACTCAAGAAAGAACACAATTATACATTTACAATTCGGGTGACTCAAACTCGGGTCTCGGGAAGTCGAATTGTTTATTAAATTTTTTTTCGACCGTAATTAAATTCGAGTTTCTGCGGAGCGCCTTCTAATTATAATGTAATTGCCGTAGGAGTTTGTTTGTTACCAAAATTAATTCGACGAGGATTCGATTAATTAATAGCAATTTCGTGAAAAATATTAGATAAGTTAAGAACATTGAAGAGATTCGTTTTGAAGTTATAAGAATACAAATGTTGTTTAACCAGGTCATTTAAGCAACAATTTAATTGCCTGTATATATTTAATGTACTAATTAGGTTTTTACTATCGTTACTTCCGATAAGAAGTATCAATTTAACCCAAACATGCTATTTTTATAATTCATTCCAAGTACATATACACATCCTGCGTTAATTCGATTTATTATTCATACCAATTACTCCGGGATATTAATTGGCTATGCACTACAAGCGGAATTAGTCACATAGAAAACTAATTCACAATTACCGAGTAAAATAAAAAATATCCCTGTAAAGGAGTTTCGCAATCGTTCGGGATTCCCTAAAGAATTCCCCGCGCGTTTAGGTTTTCCTTCGTAAATATTCTATAAAAGCCAATTTCGAGACGTCCTCTCCGTCCAGTTCTCATCTCGACGACTCGAAGAAACCACTCGACCGAAATAATGGCATACAAATTTTATGCGAGAACGAGCATAATCGTTTTAACATTAATTTTCTGCGAAATAAGCGGTTTGCCTTACAACCACGAAAACATCCATGACGGGTATTTTAATGTCGAAGGTGAGTGGATTGTTGTTTTGTTAAACGGAAAACTAATAAAATTGGCGATTTGTATGCAAAAACGCCATTCGTAGAGTTACAATAGTTCATAGAAATCGATTTTCCAAGTTTATAAGTTTTCCTGTATTGTAATAGAATGCACTAAGACGTGTAATAATCGATTGGTACTCGAAGTAAATGTTTTGTGGGATTTTTATTATAGCGAAAAAACCTTTTGTTCACGCAGAAACCCACGGACACGGAGACTTCCAAGGACCTGTAGGTAAGTTGATTCACTCGATTATCCATCCGATTTTGCATGCAATGAAAAATTCAGGTTTCAATCGACACCACGGTAGGGGCCTGTGGGGGCACGGCTTGCCCTTTCTAACCCACCGACATCCCAGTTTGGGTAAGTAAACTAACCCACCTACAAATATTTCTATTTTCCAACGGGTTACAACTGAGAAATATTCTTTTACAGAGCACCATCACCATCACTTCGACCCCTTCAAGCATTCCCCCGAATGGCATCGGAACCACCCGGAATTCGGGCACCACCATTGCGATCACCATCACGACACCTGGAACCACCATAACCCTCAAGATGTAACACCCCATAACAATAATGATGTTAAACCGGTTTCTGAGGTTAGTTTGGATACAACAACATCGACTCAGTACCCACCGATCGATGTTAGATCGGGTGAATGAATCGATACCCCGTTTGTAATTGTGTAAATAAACTTTTATACCTTATAATCGAAGGGATTATATTTTAATTCTTCCTAAAACTCCTCAATATGGGGTAAATGTTGTTCAAGGCTTCTTTGATGTCCTCTCGGCATTTCGCACCGGTGAATACTAATTTACCGTTAACAAACACTAGTATCACCAATCGAGGTTTAATCATCCTGTATATAAGTGCTGGAAATAGTTCCGGTTCGTAGCTGAAATTCGTTGCAAAATTAACAAATAAAATAATAGAATCTTATCCGATTCTTACCTGCTAAACTGTCCGTGCATCATATTCAAATTTTCTAGTTTTATCGGAAACCTCAAGTCGCAGGTCGCTACTAAATTTTGTATTTTGAAATTACAGAATTTTATCTGCAACAAACTCATATAAAACCCATTAATAGGCAACTAAAACAACTCACGTTGTAGCCTAATTTCTGTATAATTCTGGCGTATTTCTTCGAAGCCAGCAACCCGTCGTGTTCGTTTTTCGCTCCGGTGCAAACGATTTTCCCCGAACGGAAAATCAGAGCGGTCGTTCGGGGTTCCCTTAATCTCATCACGACACCGTGGAACCTGGACGGGTTGTATTCGGAATTCCTGGTTCGTGCGTTGATCGTCTGTAAATCTAGCGTCATTTGAAGGTCCACAGTGGAAACGCAATTACTGTAAATAGAAGATTTACTCGATTTGAAATGCACGTTCGTGAAATCTCACTTACTGCAACGTTACATTCGTAAGGGGTTCTCCTACGGCTGATCCCGGAATGGTAACCGTCATAAGAGATTTATTCGGTTTTATCATTGGAACCTGTGGAATAATAATTAAGTTGTATTTTTAATAAATTGAAATAGCAAAAATGGTTACTTGAGATGTAGAAGGAGAATTCCAATCGGGAATAGGTACAGCTGGTGGAGCTTTCAGAGGATTGTTTAGCATTGCTTTTAAATGCACATCTGTTTGTTGTTTAGGTTCCATAATAAAGTGTTTAAAACCTATGTTATATAAATATAATGTTTGTAATAATTAAATAAAGCATTAAATAGCTAAGGTTTATCGAATTTCATAAAAATGTTCGTGATAACTTAACCTCAAAAAATTCATATTGACATATACTGTCATATGTCATAACAAAACAAGATGTATGTCAATAAAATTTATTTACTGTTTATGCAGTCGGAAGTCATAACAAGCAAGAGACCATCAATGCAATTAAACTATTTGTTGCAATTAAAAATTTAAAAATAAACGCATTTTTCTTGTTTTTATCTATTTAAGAGGAATAAGAAGCACTGCACGAAGCGTGATTGGTTTTAACCTACGATAACATTACAAACATATCATTATAGGAACATTAACATATCATTTTGTTTGTAAATGTTGGAAGATTAATTTTGTTATAAATATAAATGAACATCTAGGCGTATTAAGTTTGTATATAAAATGCATACGAGTATTTCCACCAAAGTTTTATCGAAGAAGGCATTACTTAGGTTTGTTTGAGGGACGTGCTCCGAACTTTCTACTACCTACACCCAGAGCAGCGAGTAAGTAAATTTTTAACGAGTGTAGTGATTTTATCAATTAAAAAGTATCGCGAAGTTTTCGGAATTCAAAACAATGCATTATAATTGTTTTCGCAAAACTTCTAATCACAGTTCGCTTTCGTTATTGAAATCGAACGGAGAGTTCGGAGCAGGTTCTTCGGAACAGACCTACCGTTAACAAATCGGCGGGAAAAACGACATTTGCGCGAAATGTCAACAACGGCACTAATTTCAATTTTTTCCATCTAATCCAGGAACTTCGATAAATTGCGTAAAATCGCCACCGCCGAAATGTCGGGGTAAGTACTCGCCCTCGCCCCCCATCACCTCCACTAACCCACATCCAATTTTAGCGTACAAGTAGCCACCAAAACGGGCGAGAAAGTCACCATCGAAATAACATTAGACAAAGCGAAACTGAACGGCACCAACGCGGCCCCGCTGGACAGAGGCGACGAGGCCCCCTCAAAAAGACACCAGGAATTCCAGTACCTCGACCACATCCGCCGCATCATCTCCGACGGCAACAAACGCTGCGACCGCACCGGCGTCGGCACCTACTCCATATTCGGCGCCCAAATGCGCTACGACCTCCGCCACTCGTTCCCCCTGTTAACCACCAAGCGCGTCTTCTGGCGCGGCGTCGTCGAGGAGCTCCTGTGGTTCATCAAAGGCAGCACGAACGCCCTCGAGCTGCGCGACAAGAACGTCCACATCTGGGACGCCAACGGCACCCGCGAGTTCCTCGATTCGGTCGGGCTGAAGGACCGCGAAGAGGGCGACCTGGGGCCCGTCTACGGCTTCCAGTGGCGCCACTTCGGCGCCCAGTACAAGGGCATGCGGGCGGATTACGCGAACCAAGGCATCGATCAGCTGGCTCACGTTATTAATACCATTAAAACGAGACCGACTGATAGGAGGATGATCATGTGCGCTTGGAATCCGTTGGATATACCGGAGATGGCGCTGCCTCCTTGTCATTGTTTGGTGCAATTTTTCGTGGCCGAAGACGAGCTGTCTTGTCAGCTCTACCAGAGGTCCGCCGATATGGGACTCGGGGTGCCTTTTAACATAGCCAGTTACGCTTTACTCACTTATATGATTGCCCATGTTACAGGTCTGAAAGTAAGTCGAATGTAGCGCTTAAATATCCTCTAAAACTCGTAATAGATTGATACCAAAATGGCTGTATTACTTCAAAGCAACAGCCATGCGATCAGTTTCGAGCAGTGTAACAAATGGCTGTATTACCTCGAAGTAACAGTTAATCGATCAGTTACAAGTTTTATACTGGCTGTATTACCTAATTGATCAGTTACTAGATATTATGAAGGCTGTATTATTTCCAAGTTAAATGATCAGTTACAATATTTATACTGCTTCTATTACTTCGAAGTAAGAGTTCATTGCATCGCAAAATAAATAAACTCACTAATTAATTAGTATAAATTCTTATCATTTTTATGTATTAGTAATTAATTGATAATATTTATTTATACGCAAATGTTATTGGTATCACGGTATCTGTTGGTGTTTGAGTTCATGTAGGAAAATTTCTTGTGTTTTTAGCCTGCGGAATTCATTCATACGTTGGGGGACAGTCACGTTTATTTGAATCACGTGGACGTGCTGAAAGAGCAACTGAGGCGCGAGCCGAGGGCTTTTCCTAAGCTGGTGATAAAGAGGAAAGTGGAGAATATCGAAGATTTTACGATGGACGATTTCGAATTGGTCGGATACAATCCCCATCCGAAGTTGAGCATGCCTATGGCTTTGTAAATATTTTTTTTAATTATAATTAAAATATTTGATGTAATTTTATAAATTTTAATAAAGAATTATTTAGGTTTATTTGTGTTTTGTTTTGCGAATAGTTTACATAAATGCCCCATTCAAATAAGCACCATTAGTAGCACCTCTACATTAAAAAATATTCAACAAAAATTGAAAAATAGTCGATTTATACTCTTAAAATCTACATTTTCGTGCAATTAAGTAAGTTAAAAAGAACTGTCATATGTGTCAAATATGTCAAATAATTTTTCAAATTTACCACTGACAATGCCCCAAAGCCTCCTTGATTCAATTACACCATACCCCACGAGATGGAATTAATAAGTTCTTTCCCGCCTTACGTGGGACGCTATGATATAAAGTAGTACTAGAAAGAAGTACAATACTATAGTACTTCATTCAATATAGTAAATTGCGCATTTAAGGCGCAACAATAGCTCACTCATCATCGCATCATCGTTCGAAAAACAACAACATTTCGACATAGACGAAACAATTCCATCATCGCAGATGAAGAACGCCAATAAAGAAAAGACCGAAATGAAAAAAAAAGGGTATTGTAAAAGATTTCGCTCTCTTCGAAATCGGGTCAATTGAAAATGACTGGTCGTTTCGACGGAATACCGATTTCGGAAAAAACGGCTACCAATTGACATTTTAAACTTGGAGGAATTCACATCGTTAATGAATTACTAGATGGAATGGTTAATTAATTTAACACGAGCGCTCGAAAGGAAACCGATTATGTAAAAAAAAAATTGGTATCGATACATAATACAAGTGCCCGGTTATTTGCTAAGTTTTTCTCCAAAAAAAAAAACAATATAATAGCAGTAGGCGATGAGTGTGGGTGCAGCCGATTTTATACAGGGTGGGCGAAATTTAATTTACGCGCGAATAATAAATCGAAAATTTCTCGCTTCGAATTAGCGGTTAATTGCCCGAAAATGAATGAAAGCGATCCGATATCGAAAGGTCATCTGTAATTATTTCCTTATTACAAGATCATAGAAGCTGTTGCTTCATTAAATTTTGCCTAATATGTTACACTATAAGGATATAAATTGGGTGCAATTACGCTAATTACTCACTTTACTATAGTACTAAATCATGTATTAATATGTATTCGAAATTAATCTATAATATCTTCTAAATTAGATAACCCAATTACTTTGAAAGGTTACCGAATTGTTAAGATCTTTAAAAAGGCTTCCAAAGTTTATTATATTTAATTACGTTATTAGACAATATTTTGAACAAAAAAATATTTTAGTGAATGAAATTAACAAAAAAATAATCCACATTTACCAACCGTATTTCTTGCGTATATATTATTAGAGTAAACGTTAACAAATATAAGATTCCGATGCACGATGGGGATTGAATGGGACTTGCTCAATAAAATTACTAATGTTTCTTCAAAGACTTTAGGCCATTTTCTCTCGAAGACCACCAAGCTGGTGATTTCTTCAATTTCTCGCAATTTCTTCACTCGCAAAACGGTCGAATTACAATTGGTTTTGCACGAGTACTTATCTAAATAAAGCGCTGTTGGGAAATGGGCTCTTGACTAAAAATAAAAGGTTTTTTTTTGTAGTTTTTGGGGAAAATTTTTGAAATTTTTTTAAATAAATTAAGCAATTTTGTATTGGGATAATTTAATCCGTGTTTGTGGGGTTATTTTTTAATTACAAATGTGTAAATTTTTCTACTAACAGTAGATAATTTTTTTAACTGGGTTATTTTATCGCTGTGTATAGTTTATTATGATGTAATAAAGCCCGTATTCTATTCTATTTCAATTCTACTGGTTCAATTGAAATTTCAGTAACTTTATAATTAATTGTTTATAAATATTACGAAGCAAAAATGATAATTTTTCATTCTAAACTGATGAAAAAATTAAATATTAGTAATTTAGTAAATTAAAACACCCTGTATCTCATGTATTGTACACAAATTTTTCCCGATATTACCGCTTTATTGTCGTTCAATCGAAATACTTGCAGCATTATTATATTATTAATTACTAATATAATATTATCTCCAATCTTTTTCTAAGCAGGGAAAGCTGACATTTTGTTAAACCGCAATCTATAAAATTATCAAGTTGGCGCACGACCATTTTTTCCAAAAATTTACTCGCCAATTTCCAACATTTAACACCCAATAAAATGATTATTAATCGTTTAAAAAAAATCGAAACGAAACCCATAAAATGTTTATTGCGCACTTCTACATGTGCAACATCCAACCGAGCATCATCCGAGATGATTGATCGATAATCGCCCGAGTAATTCTAATAACCCGGGCGGTTAATTAGATGCCTATATGTAATGTATAACTAGAACGATTTCAAGGCAAATGTTATTACCTTATAGTAATAGTAATAGGCGAGTAGGCGTTGCGGTGTGTGCCAAGAAAGAAATGAAAGACTGAAGAGGGGCAGGGGAAAGGCCGAAACGCGTCGGGGGGGGGGGAGCTAATGGGACGATGTTCTTCGGAGGAAAGGATGAAATATCCTCTTCGGGTAGGGTGAAGTTGGGCAATTTTTTATCGAGAATGTGCAAGGATGTTCTGATCGATGTATACGTCAATATTTGTATCATCTCCTGCTATATAAAAGCTTCAAATTCAAATGGAACGATAATAGAAGATTACCAGTGACAGAGTGTGATGGTTTTTGAGTTTGTTAGAAATCAAAATATTACGGTAATCATGAAGGTAGGTACTTTTTTTTAATTGTTTTTGAATTGTCGATTTTCGGTTAAAAAGAATTTATTTTTGGGTTTACAGTTAAAATAAAACTCGAATTTATATTAGTTAGAATTTACAAAATTAACTAAATTAAATAAATTTTGATTTTTTGAATGAAAAAAAATCATCACATTTTTCTTGCTTTTTTATTAATTATTATAGTTGCAATTAATTCGTATTTATGTACTTAATTCATACAAAGGTTGCAAATTTTGTTACAAATTTACTACCTTGCATGACTTTGTATGCAATTTTGATCCTATTTACCAATTAATTAATATTCGAGAATCAATAAAAAACCTGAATATAGTAAATATATGAAAAACAAAATACCCTTTTAGGATTTTAATAGTTTCTTCTCGCCTTCATCTCGATCTCAATTTTATATACTAAGAAACAAATTAAGCGTTTGATAATCATTTATTAGCCATTAAACGCGCGTTTTCATCGGGTTATTAAATTACCAATGTTCCCATTAAACTTGTAATCTGCCTATATTTGGAGCGCGTTATGCAAAAGTGCATTCTTCTAATGCATCAAATTGCATTCTACCGCTTGCGAGCGATATAATTCGAATTATTAAAAGGTAATTAAATCGAGGATGTTCATCTCATTAAGCGTAATTAATTGCCATCGTTACAAATTCGTCGATTAATTGAAAATTTACGATGTATCTACTAAATGAAACGTTTACCTCACCATCAAGTAACCTCTCTAGTTTTTCACACAAATCACAGCCCTATTTTTCTAAGGTTTGGAATCTCCCTATGCTTATGCATTAGAGAATGTGTTCAGTTATTTGAGGACTTTTTGAGCCTCATTTTTGCGCCGCAAGGTGGCTAACGATCGAAGGACTAACTTATCTCAGCCAATCAGCGTCGCGCTAGATATAAATCGAGGTTGTGTGAAATGACAGTTCGAGCTGTCAAAACTTGAAAAATTATTTTTGACATTTCGATGAGAAAATGGAGAAATACATTAACCGAAGATACGTGAGGCATGATGTTTACAACAAAATCATCGCTGATTTAAGTATATTTTTATATTTTCTATCTATTTTTAGTTTGAATATAACCTTTCTTAATGCTAATTCTACATAATTCGTACGCAAAAAACCGTGGTCCTTTACAACATCGCCTCCTAGCGACCGTTTTAGGAACCCCGTTTTATCCTCGAATAACTGGACACTTTTTCAACCGATGTTTCCAGACCTTACAAATATAGTACCACAAATACACACAAAAAAAACATGATTTTCTAATCGCCATTTCAATCCGCCAGATAGCGCTCGCCATCTCGACACTCCTGTGTCTAGTACTAGCCGAACCGCCGGCTCCCAACTCCCAGTACCTACCATCGAACACCTACGGTACTCCCAACAAACAATCCAGCACTCCCGCCAGTACCTACGGAGCCCCGGCCCAAACCGAAGCCATCCTCAGGCCCAACAACGCTTACGGACCCCCCAGCAACACCTACGGCCCCCCTAGCAACACTTATGGTCCTCCTAGCAACACTTATGGTCCTCCTAGCAACACCTATGGCCCCCCTAGCGACACCTACGGGCCCCCAGGCGGCGGGTACCCGGGCAGACGGGACGACGACCAATCGGTGAGTCCCATCAATTGACAGCTTGTCATTGGTGATATTGACAGTTCCCATTGCTGCCAACCGCGCCTGTTTTTAATTCCAGGAACCGGCCAACTATCAATTCTCCTACCGCGTGGAGGATCCCCCTTCGGGCAACGATTTCGGGCACGAGGAGCAACGCCAAGGCGACGTTGCCAAAGGTAAGTATTTCGTGCTGTTGCCGGACGGGCGGTTGCAGACTGTCGAGTACACGGCCGACTTGGATGGTTACAAGCCGAAGATAACCTACGAGCAAGTGGGCGGGTACCCGTCGGGGGGCCCTACGGGGTACCCTGCTAGCAACAACGGTTACCAATATTAGATTGCTGGATCGGTTTCGGATTAGATTTGTATCGGACGCGTTAAGGCGGTCGTGACGTCACGCTGGTTTATTGGTAGATGTATTATATGCGAAAAATGTTGTGACGTCGCGGTTGGATTAGCGCGGATTTTTGTATATACATTTTACTTGGATAGCTCTTTTTGTATGTAATTTTGAAAAATTGAAATTTTGTATAGTTAGGTAATGAAAATGCCGATTTTGTATTTATTTACTATAGAATAATATTTGTGTTTGTATTTATTTTGCCATATGTAATAATATTGTAGTTTGTAGGAGATGAATTTTTATATACGCGAAAACAAATAAAATATTTTGCAAGATATCGATTTTTTTTTTTCATCTAGATATACAGGGTGATTCGATTTCTAGAGAGTTATAAGAGAAAAAAATTAATCCTCAAACTTTGAACTACTCGATTACCAGCACGTTTCGTTAATTACCTGATTATTATGTCTATAAATTTTACACCAATTGTCAATTTACGAAAATTAGAAAAACGTATGTTTTCAGAAAATAAAATCTTTATTCGATTAACCGGCATATAACTTATAATTATACTCATACTTGTTAAAATAATTCAATAAAAAAAATCCTCCAATGTTATACTACTTGTAGTAACATGTTCAGATTACAATTTTCGCATTCCAAAGTGCATACAATACGCTTATAATACAAGCAGAAAATATCAAATTCGTTCAGTTCTAACAGAAATTAACCGATATGAAAACCCATCCAATATTGTTGTTTCTATTACAAATCACCATAGGATTTACCTGGAAATTCAAACAAAACCCTTACGCAGATCTATCATTCGTAAGTACAGTTTCAATTACACACCCATAACCCCTCTAAACCCCTCTAAACCCCTCTAAACCCCTCTAAACCCCTCTAAACCCCTCTAAACCCCTCTAAACCCCTCTAAACCCCTCTAAACCCCTCTAAACCCCTCTAAACCCCTCTAAACCCCTCTAAACCCCTCTAAACCCCTCTAAACACCCATAACCACCCTAATTATTAACTAACAGGAAGAAAAAGTCGCCCACGACGGCTACCCATTGGAAACCTACCAGATAGAAACCAAAGACAACTACCTCCTAGCCCTGTACAGGATCCCCCGCGGTCGATTGGACCCCCTCGAAAGACCTCCGAAGCGAAGGAGGAAGCAGAACCGGGCGAAGAGACGGCGCGAACCGGTGCTCATCCTGCACGGTTTGGGCTCCGCCCCGGCCATGTACGTGCTCCAAGGCCCCGGCAGAGCACTGGCCTACAATCTGGTCGATTCGGGCTTCGATGTGTGGCTGTTGAGCAACCGAGGTTGCGGCCGATCGGACAGGCACAGGTTCTTGGACATCGATGTGGACAGGAAGTTCTGGGATTTCAGGTAGGATTACATCGGTGATAATAGAGTAAGATGTAATAGATCGAAGATAGAATAGCCTAAAGGCAAAATTGTTCAAATGCAAAATAGTTTAAAGATAGAATCGCCAAAGACAAAATCGTTCAAATGCAAAATAGTTCAAAGACAGAATCGCCAAAGACAAAATCGTTCAAATGCAAAATAGTTCAAAGACAAAATCGCCAAAGACAAAATCGTTCAAATGCAAAATAGTTCAAAGACAGAATCGACAAAGACAAAATCGTTCAAATGCAAAATAGTTTAAAGATAGAATAGCCTAAAGGCAAAATCGTTCAAATGCAAAATAGTTCAAAGACAGAATCGCCAAAGACAAAATCGTTCAAATGCAAAATAGTTCAAAGACAGAATCGCCAAAGACAAAATCGTTCAAATGCAAAATAGTTCAAAGACAGAATCGCCAAAGACAAAATCGTTCAAATGCAAAATAGTTCAAAGACAGAATCGCCAAAGACAAAATCGTTCAAATGCAAAATAGTTCAAAGACAGAATCGCCAAAGACAAAATCGTTCAAATGCAAAATAGTTCAAAGACAGAATCGCCAAAGACAAAATCGTTCAAATGCAAAATAGTTCAAAGATAAAATCGCCAAAGACAAAATCGTTCAAATGCAAAACAGTTTAAAGATAGAATCGCCAAAGACAAAATCGTTCAAATGCAAAATAGTTCAAAGACAGAATCGCCAAAGACAAAAACGTTCAAATGCAAAATAGTTCAAAGACAGAATTGCCAAAGACAAAATCGTTCAAATGCAAAATAGTTCAAAGACAGAATCGCCAAAGACAAAATCGTTCAAATGCAAAATAGTTCAAAGACAGAATCGACAAAGACAAAATCGTTCAAATGCAAAATATACTGCTCCACAAAAGTTAAGGAAGTTCACAAATATTGAGGTTAATTGAAAAGTTGCGGGTTTTTTGATCGCCAAATTTAGTGTGAGTTGTAGAGGAAAGAGCAAAAAATCCACTCGGATAAGAGAGAAAACATTTAATTTCGCATATTTGAAAACTTGGTGATCGAAAAGTCTGTAACTTTTCAAATAATCGCAATATTTGCGAACTTCCTTAACTTTTGTGGAGCAGTTTAGATTAAAGACAAAATAGCCCAAAGACAAAATCTCCCAAAGACAAAACATCCTCAAACCAAAAACAGCTCAAAAGAGAGAAGAACATACATGTCGCTCCATTTTTGATTGCAATATAGGTTATATTTGCCATGGGTGCGATAAAGACAACTTCCATTAGACACTTACAAAGGAAAAAGAAAGAGTGACATTTGTGTCATTACAACTTTTCACTCTGACAACTGTCATTTTAATAACCTTTCTTTGTTCCACTCATACAAATGACCGTATTGCAATCGAAAAGAGAGCAAGGTGTATTGTGACAGTTCGCGAAATAAATCGTAGAAAAACTTCAGTAGGCTACTATTAATAATATTTTTGACAGTTTTCACGAAATAGCCATCTACGATCTGCCGCCCGCCGTGGATTTCGTGGCGAATAAAACCGATCGGAAGCTTACATTGCTCGGGCATTCTCAAGGTAACACGATTATGGTGATTTTCCTGGCGGAAAAACCCGAGTACAACGACAAAGTGAAATTGGGCGTGATCTACGCACCCTCGGTTAAAATATACTTGGATATGGTTTTGGCGACACCGGTGATTTACGCATCGGAATTACTCACGGTTGGTATGGATTGTAGTTTAAATAATTTTATAGTCCGTTCGCCATCATAGAGAGGAGATAAATGTAACAAAAAATGCCTGCTTTGTATGTAGGGTGTATAACAATAGGCAACCCTTTTCTAACCCTTAGATAAAGTGGCCTGAAAATAGTCTTACAACAGTCTTACTTTTGGGAAATTATAGAGGTATTTAAGGGATAAAATATAATTAAAAATTGCTGGTAAAAAATTCATTTATATCTGAATCGGTACCCTGTATATTCACATCACTTCTTATTTATTTGTTGAATTTACTGCTTCAAAAATGTTTTAGTGACAACTCCTGATAGCGAACGGACTATAGAACTTATTTTCTGCTTAAAATCTAGACTGTGTAGGCTTTGTATGTTTTAAATCTTTTTTTTTTAACTTTTTCTAGAATATATCGTATTTATTCGGAATGTACGAGGTGTTTCCGCAAAGTTTCGTGGCCCCTTTGAGAGATTTGTGCAAAGAACAAACGTATTTTTTGGAACTTTGTTATCACATCCTCAGCGCTATAGGTAGTGCCCCTTCGAAATTATTGGACTTGGTAATTTTTATGAATATTTTTACATTTTATTTTTTTTATATTAATTTTTTTATAAGGATTTAATACCGACTATTATTGGTGCTGCTTCTGGAAGGGCTTCGCTCCTGCAACTGACGCATTACATGCAAATAATTAGAACGAGTGAGTGTGGTTTGGGATAAAAAAGAAGAAAAATTTGGGAAATTATATTTTTTTTTTAGATTATTTCGGACAATTCGATCACGGGCCGAAAAAAAACATGAAAATTTACGGAAATTCCACTCCCCCCGCCTATGATCTTAACAAAATCAGCGCTCCCATGGCGGTTTATTACGCCCCAAAAGACGAATTGGCTACAATACAGGTATATAAAATATACAGGTTGCCCCATTTTTGATCACAACATAGGTTATATAAGCAATGGGTGCGATAAAGACAACTACCATTAGACACTTACAAAGGAACAGGAAAAAGTGACATTTGTGTCAATGCAACTTTTCACTCTGACAGCTGTCATTTTAATAATTTCTCTTTGTTCCACTCATAGAAATGGCCATGTTGCAATCGGAAATGGAGCAAGGTGTATTCAAAATTACCAGAAAAATATATAATTTTATAATTTATTTATACAGGGCGCCTTGGATACAATAAAACTTCTACCGAATGTTATTCATCAGGAACTAGTCGATTATGAATATTTCAATCATATCGATTTTCTTTTCGCAAAAAACGCCACTGAATTAGTTTATGTAAATACTATTAACCTCATCAAGTCGTTTGATGAAAAATTTGCAAATAATTCGATTAATTAATTATTTTTTTATGTATTTTATGTGTTTTTTAGGATGTTCTACAACAGGAATTATAAATATATTAAATTTATTATCAAAAAAGCAACATAAATTCATAAATAGCAAATAACAAAAATAAAAACAAACAATTCAGTCTATTTATAAACCTACACTTAACAATCTAATATTGCACACAAAATATTGCACAATTATGCACAAATAATTAAAAAACAATATAACAACAAAATTACATCAAAAAACATAACAAAAACATTGCTCCTCATCCAACAAATTTTGGAAAAATAAATTACACGAAAAAAATGCAAAATATCTATAGTAAGATACCCAACTTTTTCCACTGCTGAAATCAAGCGACCTTTTCATAGCTCACTTTGGCATGATAACCGGTATCATCGGCGTAATATTCGACTTTTTGCCTCCTGCCGTCCGGCAAAAGGACCTCGTAACTTCCTTCGGCGCTCCTGCCGCTCCTTTTTTCCTGGTGCCCGAAATCGCCGCCTCCTTGATTGTCCTTAATGCGGTAGCCGAACGCGTATTTGGCTGCATACTGTAACTGTAAAAGGCCATTTTTATTATTCGAAAAAAAGTATATTTAAATATTCCTCATTAAATTATGAATTGTTTAATAGTATTTGAAAAAATGTACTGTTAGTAGTTATTGAGAATAGGGGAATTGATGTCAGGTGTATTTTGAAGAGAAGAAATTCGGTTTTATTATCTTCTTTACTTTCCATTGAAGTATTGAAAGGTGATGATGAAAAGTATAAATACAGTTAGGCATATGCAGGAACTTTTAGTTCATAGATGACCTGATCAGAATGCATATAAATATTATTATTAACATATTACTAGTGAGTTTTGTGTAAAGTGTTTAAAATTATTTGGTGTATTTTTATAGTATTTTTTTTTATAATAATTTAATGTTTTGTAAATTAATAAAAAATAATTTTCTTGTTGTGTTTTAATCAATTTAATTTCTAATATAGCCGAAAAATACGTAAGTAAATAATAATTGAACAAAATTTGTTAATAAATAGTCGAATTTTTAATTTAATCATTTTGAAACTAGAAAAATATTAACCTAAATATTTCTTTTTTATACTAAAATATAGAACAATGATATTCAAACAGGACAAAAAAATATGTAATAAATAAAAATAAATAAAATTATGTACTTGAAATAGCAATTTCTTTAATTTTTTGCTTAAACTTGCATCGGTTTTACGAGATAACTGGATAATAATGGCTATTTAATAACAGGATGTGTAGGAATAACCTACCGGGTTAAGTATAACCCACATTGTCTAGAAATGCCCATTTTACTTTCACTGTGAAAGTTCGCAAGATTAAATTTAAAATGTTGTTTCCCAGTCGATACAACAAAAAAATCAGTTCTTCTATTATTGAATTTCAAAAATCTTATCGTAAATCAATTAAATTGATTTCCTTAAATAATTTTATACAAAATTTTGATTCAATAATGGCTTGTAAAATCGCTTTTACATTATACAAAACGAAAATTACACTGTAAAGTCACGATTCTAATTATTGTATAATTAATAAGAAAAAAAATGATCACGATCAAAAAAAAAGTTTAATTTTATTTTCTTTTTTATCCTTACACAATTTTTTATTGATTGATTAATCGATAACAAATTGATTTTACTTTCCTTTTTATTTGACAAACTTGTGTGCAAACATTCTCTCGAATAAATAAATAAATAAATAAATAAATAATTAATTAATTAATCGAATAAATTAATTTAAAATTCCATGTTCAACTTTTGCATAGCCTTCTTAACTTTTTTAAGAATTTCTGTTACATGAGGTACGGGGGGAGTACGATTTCTTCTATTATTATTTCTCCTCCAATATTTATGGGGTTTTTTGAATTTTTTGTGATGATAAGGAGGTTTCTGATGATTATTGACAATCACCAGCGGTTTACAAACAACCTCCATCGGTTTCTGATGATTATGATGATGACTATGATGATAAGGGGACGAAAATGTGTATTTTCTATCATCGAATTTATCTATAGAATCGTCATAATGATGCACAACAGCATTGTTATCATCACGATTATAATCATTATGATAATCACTATTTTCATTATGATAATTATGATGATAATTATAATAATTATTTTTATCATCATCAAAATTCGTACCGTAAGAACTACGCAACTTCTCCGATTTCGGTTTATCATCATCAATTTTCAACACCAAACTCGTCACGTTATCATCATCATCATAATATTCATAATATTCAACATACTCAAAACCATTACTAACTTTTCCCTTATCAGTACTATTATCATCATCATCATAATACTCGTAATACTCCTCGTATGCATCATCAAAACTAAAATTACTGTTACGTTTCACCCTGTAAATTAACCCGTTTTTACTTACGTCATCGTATTCATCATAACTTTCATCGCGTTGCTTCGATTTCTGATCGAGCAGGACCTGCCGGTAGGCCTTCTGGGTCTCCTGCACGTCCTTATCATCGCCGGTCTTCTGCCCGACGTGCCGGTTCGGAGCCTTCCTGCCGCCCATGATGGCGTTGTTGTGCTGCTGCACCTGCTGCAGCAGGATCCTCTCGGCCTGCAGCTGGGCGGCGGCCTGATGGAGATGATTGGGCGCGTAGTGTTCGATTTTTCCGGCCGTAGTGTCCCGTTCGGGCGGCCTTTGGACGATCTTGGGCTGCTGCTGCGCCAGCAATTGCTTCTGCAGCGGCTTCACCTCGACGATTTTCACGTTCTTGTAGCGTTTCTCCGGTAGAATGGTGTTGGTGATGAATTCCGGTAGGTTGGTAGGCTTGGTGCCTGATATGGTGACTTCGTGAACCTTCGAAACTTCCCTTTCGGGTACAGGTGTTGGATAAACTGGTTTTATATTACTAACGTATTGCTGCAAGTTTTCTCGTACCAACCCTAAAGGTTGCGGCAGGTTTTCCGGACCTAACAATTCCTGCGCCGGCCTTTCGGTAACCTTTTGCACGTACCTCAGGCTTCCCGGCGAAGTTTCCTCCACTCTCGAACCTTCTTTAGGCGGTATAGATTGTCCGTCGATCACCAATCGCAGCGGCTGTGGAGCCTGAAGCGCCTGAGCTGCGTGCGGAGCCTGAGTAGAATGGATTACCTGAGGAATCCGTGGAGCCTGAGAAACTTCGGCAGCCTGAGGAGCCTGTAAGACGTAACCGAGAGATTCGGGTGAGGCGTGTTGCAGCTGTTTCTGCACGTTCTCCAGTATAGCCCGCTGCGCCTGCTCGATAGCCTTGTGTTGGGCTTCGACGTGAGCTCTAGCAGCTTCCTGCGCCCTCTCCAGGGCGTTCTGCACCTGGAACGAAGAAGAGGCTTCCAGCTGTTTCTGGATCCTTTCGAAGGCTTCTTTGGTGATCACCCGGCCGTTTTGGGGAATCTGGAAGGCTACAGAAGGGTCTTCGGAAGGTTCCGCTTGTACTTTTGGAGGAGGACTTGGTGCTTTGGACTGGAAAGGTTGAGGACCTTGTACGGTGGGATAGACTTTTCCCGGATCCTGCAGGATCCTTTTGAGTTGGTCGATTTGGAAGTGTGGGTTCCTGTTGAGGAGGTCCTGCAGGGAATTGGATTGGACCAATTGGGCCGGTTCGATTACTATCGATCTGGTTTTGATCTGTTTGTTGGACTGGGTTTGTTTGAGTTTGTACACTTTTTCCAGTATCCTGGGATCCAGGTAAATTATGTGGCTGGACAGTTTGTCCGATTTGGAAGTTTCTTGGATCGTTTTGGACACTTTCGAGCCCGATTTTTTGGATTTCTGCGAGTCGAGAACCAACGGTACGTATTCCTTGTGGTTCCTGTTGGTACCGATTCTTCTATTTGACGGTGAAAACGCCTGCCAATCGTACGATCCAGAAAATTTCTCTTGATCCAAAGGAAAATCTCCAGATTTCTCGGCCTGCTTCGATCTCATTAATTTCCCCGTTTCCTGTACATCGATTTTCTGTTGTTCTGCGTACCTTTGCTTCAAATAATCCTGCTGCTGCGGCAGGAATTTGTATTGTTTTTCTGGAGTTTCTTCCACGATATCTGGATCCTCTTCCAGAACTTTCTTTGGGTGTAAAATCGCTGTTTCCGTCACTATGGCAACGTTGCACAATAGGAATATTACCTGGAAATTTAAACGATTAGGTTTCGAACAGTCCGGAACTGTTCCGAACCAATATTGAACTGTCCGGAACCATTTAGAACTGTTCACAACCGTTCCCAACCATATTAGGAGTGTCCAGAACCGTTCTGAACTGTCTTAAATCCAATTAGAATGCTTCAGAACAATTTAGAACTGTCCAGAACAATTTCGAACAGTTCTAAATCGTTTTGAACCGGTTCTAAACCAATTTCTGAGCGATTCTAAACGGTAAAATTCTTCGACTTACCGTGTAAAATTCCATATTTTATTTATGACACACAACAAATAACTCTTATCATTTGGCACATGAACAATTGAAGAAATATATAAAAAAAATCGAGGATGCTGTGACACCGGTTCAGAATCGGAGTTGGCACTGAAAGAAATTCGTTCGATCGCTTTCATTTCTATGCCTTCTGCGATTTTGAATAATCGCTCTTTCTAAATCGTCGCGTCTTTGTCTTACTCTATGAGCATCGCGTGGAGGAGAAAGAGAGAGGGCGCGTGTGATGGGGAAAGAATTTATCTTGCTATTTTCACTTCTCGTTTGAGAAAGGTCGAGGATTCTCGGACGATTTGAATGGGATTTTTTTATTGTTTTATTAATTTTATGTTGCCTTTTTTTTTCATTGTTAATTTTTAAGTGATAAAATGTACAGGGTGTTTTTGTTTTTTGCAGAGAAATGTTTTGTTTGCAAAATAAGTTTTGAAAGGTTTGAAGATAATTGCTTTTGTTGTTTTGCAGTAAAATTTGTGTTTCCTCTTCAAAAAACTCGAAATCACTCGAAAACTACTCGATTTTTGAAAATTTTTCATTCTTAAAAAATTGCAGAGAAATGTTTTTTGCATTACTATCTTTATTCGTTTTAGAGATAATTGTAGAGAAAAAAATTCACAAATATTATACAATAAGACAATAACTTGTTAATTATACTAATTAATTAATTAATTCTTCCTTTCTTCCGGATTTTTTTCGAACAATTAAACACGTAAATTAACTCGCCAAACTGCTACAGAAAAAAATTGACTTTCATATCTTTTGTAATTCATCAAAATTATTTCCATATAAAACGTGCAATTAAATTATTAGATTTTTATTTCGTGATTTTTTCACAACACTTTTTTCTTATTGTATAAACAACAATTATTTTTGCAAGTTGATTGAACGTTAGAAAAAGAACTTAATTAGATCAATTGAATGGAATAAACTGGAGGATTTTATTAAAATTACTTGATTTCTAATTAGAATATTAATTCAAAAAAAGTAAAAGTTTTTTTCGAATTTTTTCAATTTAATACAAATGAACGCGCGCCATATGTTGAATAAAATAAATTTTGTAATTTTTATCTTCATTATCCCTTTCATTCTATCTTCCAGATTATGTTATACTTAGAAATTATTTAAATTTGTTAATTTATTTATTTCTTTTTTGCATATATGTATTTATGGAGAAAATGTTAAAAAGTCTTTGAACTTGAAAAATTGTATTTTTAATTGCAAATGTTACAAAAAATAATTCACGTTATTTTTTCATGTTTTTATTATGTAAATTACAACGCTGACTCGATTAATATCGTTAGTAAAAAATACATGAATTAATACAATAAAAACTTAAATAAAACACAAAAATATTAATTAAATAATAGATTCAAAACAGAGCAAAAAAAATCACAGAACAAATGTGAAAAAATAACTGTTACAGAACAACAAATCAATAAACGAGTCCTTAAATAATTATGAAAAAAAAAATAATAATTTATAGAAAATTAATAAATAATCAACTTAAAATCTAAGACTCCAAAATTTCCCGAAATTTATCCAATTGAGGTATCGTTGCTACGGTAACCAAACATATACAATATATAATTCAATCAATTTAACACGATTGTGACGTCACTATGAGAATAAAAATCTATTACTTTATTGAGATAAATCTTCGTGACGTCACCGCCGTATTACCTCGAACATTGTTTACATAAGGAAATAATTATACATACAAAAGTAAATATTATATGGCAAGTTTATCTCACGATTTAATCGATTAGAAGAAATCGATTATTTCTCGACGGGCCGGCCGAATTCGTCGATTTCCAAAGACGGTACCATCGGCGGCCGGAACCCGTACTCCATTTTCACGGTTTTCTCGTTGAAATTCGACCGGGCCGTCCGGAATTTCCCCAAAATTTTCACCGGATTGTCCGATTTCGGCGGCAACAGCCCCTGGTGGTACCCGTCGTCGCAGTTCCTCCCGCCCGGGGGCAAGTACCCCTTGTTCAAAGCGGGTTCCTCCTTCGGGGGTAAATAACCATTGCTTTGAGGAGCGTACGAATATGGATTAGGGTAATGGTACCCTTGCTCGTCGGCGGTACCCTTATTGGTACCATCATTAGAAGCGATTAGATAAGGTTGTTTTTCTTGGTAGTTAATGTGTTGGTACCCTTGCTGGATATTTTGAATTACATCCGCGTAATTGGCTTGCTGGTAGTGGGTACCGATGTTTCCGTAATTGGTACCCTGGTACTTAACCACCCCTAATGTATAATAAGGCTTTTCTATATATTTAGTAGGCAATTGCACGTGGTACGGCCTCGGTACTTCCACTTTAATGTAATAAGGTTGCGGTACGGGTACCTCTACTTTCACGGGATACGGTACCGGTACCTTTTTTTCGATTATCCTATCGATCGGTACCTTTTTTTCGACTATTCTATCGACCGGTACCGCGTAGGGTACTTGAACTTGCACCGGATAGGGCCGGTCGATGTACTGCGGTACGTGTACCTTTTTCTCGACGATCCTGTCGACGTGTACCGGGTACGGTTGTGGTACCGGTACCTGAACCTGCACTGGGTACGGCCTGTCAACGTACTTGGTCACTTGAACCGGTACATGTACGGGTTTCTCGACGATTTTCTCCACGGGGTACGGTTGTGGTACCGGTACAGGTTTCTCCACTATTTCCGTGATGTGAACCGGTTTTTCGATAACTTTTTCCACCGTTACCGGTACCGCTAACTGCTTGATCACCGGATAGGGTACCTTGATCGGATAACCTTGATTAGGTAATTCCTTATGGGATACTTGGTTGTGGTAGATTTGGTGTTGGTAGACTTGTTGGGGTACTTCCTTATAGAGCGATTCCTTGGGTGGCGGGTAATGGTACCCTTGATCGGCTTGCAGGAAATTGTTTTGGACAGCTTGATGGGGAAGTTGCTGTCCGGGGAAGTACAGCAGCGTCTTTCCCAGCTCTATATCCTCGTTGATTTTTTGTTCAATGACGGTACCGTTGTTCTGTTGTTCCTGAGAGATCGGGTACTCGTACTTGCCCAAATAATACGGTACCGTTTTCTGCAGTTCAACTTGCACGTTCTGTTTGTTCAAATTATCTAATTGTTCAGTAACAACGGTGGAGTCCAAGTAAGTGGTATCAGAAGGTCTGGGGGTCACCACAATAGTGGGCGTGGGTTCGGCGGATTGGATGGTACCAGGAGTACTGGACACAATTTGCTCATCAGTATATTGTTCAGTAGACGAATAATGTACTTTGTTTTCATCGATTTCGGCCGCAATTATGGGTTGGGTACCCAAGCTAGGTTCCGTGGATTCCGTCCCTTGAAAATCAGTAATAGTACTACCTGCAGTAGTAACAGTTACTTGGTAATTGGACACAGAATTATTGATATCCAATACATCTTGACCTGTGACCAAGTTTTGTGTGGTGTCGATTAGTTTATTCGGTCTACGACCATTGAGCCTCAAGCCGAATTGCTGATGATCGCAGTCCGGCAATTTTCGCTCCTGCTGGATATCGGGTTGCTGCAGAAGCAACTGCTGGTGCAACGGAGCAACAGTAGGCTGTGGAAAAACCAACTTGGTTTGCTCCTGTTCGGTTTTGACCTGCTGCCGGTCCAAAATAGCGAGGTCAGGTTGCTGCAGAAGCAACTGCTTGGGCTGCTGATTGACCTCGAACGAAGAATAGACATTAGGCTGTGGAAAGATCAATTTTTGTACGGGCTGCGGGACGTGTTGCAGGACGATCTGGTGCTGTTGCTGCGGCAGCAAAATCTGCTGCGGTTGCTGCTGTTGGTAGGTGTTTTGTTGCTCTTTGAAGGGATCGTAGTTAATTTGGGCGTCTTGTTTGGGCTGTTGGAGGTAAATTTGCTGGCTTGGTGCTGGTGAAGCAGCTGCAGCGCCGTTTTTGTTCAATGGTCCAATATCGGGTAGGTCTTGCAGTTGAGGTAAGTTCTTCTAAAAAGTAAAAAAATGCCAAATTAAAATTGATGTTTGCTTTGAAGTATAGTGTAGATTAAGGTAGGTTAGAGTAGGTTAGGGTAAGTTAGGGTAAGTTAGGGTAGGTTAGGGTGAGTTAGGGTAAGTTAGGGTTTACTGGGTTAGGATAGAATGATAGAAAAAAAGATCCGTTTGTCCTACTTCTTTGTTTCTAAGTTGCTGAACTGCTTCGTGGTCCAAGGCAAATCTGACAGATGATTTACTGTGAGTACCGGCATTGCTGTATTCTACTGCGGGATGGTAACCCCAGTCATCTGCGAAATACTGCACGTCCGATTTGGAATTTTTATTTTCGACAAAATACCTAAAAAGTTCAGTTTTTAATATACAGGTTGCTCCATTTTTGATCGCAACATAGGTTATAAAGGTCATGGGTGCGATAAAGACAACTTCCATTTGACACTTACAAAGGAAAAGGAAAGAGTGACATTTGTGTCATTGCAACTTTTCACTCTGACAGCTGTCATTTTAATAGTCTTTCTTTGTTCCACTCATAGAAATGACCATGTTGCAATCGGAAATGGAGCAAGGTGTAAATTAGTTTTTTAATACATCAAAAAAAAATTAAGTAGTTAATTACCTTCCAGATGCGTAAATGCCGTCTCTTTGTTCTTGTTTTCCCTGATGTCCGCCATTTTCTCCTACTATATCGTATCCGTACTCATATTTTGGAGGACTCTGTATATTATTTAAAAAGCGATCGTGTAAAGTGTTTAAAATACTCGATGTATCTCGAAAACTACTTGATTTTCGAAAAAAATGTATTCTTCGAAAATTGTAGAGAATAGTTTTTTCTACAAACTGAGCTTTGTAAGATATTTCTTACGCAATTAGTTTTCGAGATAATTACAATTTTTGAAGGATAAAAAGTAATTTACCTGATTTTCCGCCTTTCCTTGCGATTTTTCCACAAACCCAGGTGGCTTGATCGTGTGACAATAGGAAAACAGCAATATAAACGTTAATATTGAGACCTGAAAAAGAAAAACCATTAACTTTTTTCGAAAAAACGCCAGTAAAGTTTCCAAAAAAAGGATTAAAACGAATTTTTACCGTAAATACAAAATAATTCCATCGAATTTAATGGCATTTTAATTTAAATCTTAGTCAGTCATGCCTGTGAAATCGGAAATAACTCGAAATCTTCCAATCGAATTAATCGAATTTTTTAATCGATATCTCTCGATATTAATTAGAGCTGAAACATTGTTATCTTTTTTTCAGTAAAATGTTTTTTTTGAAAAAATTTGTAGGAGTATCAAGTAGGCGTTGTTAGGATAATTGTAAATTTGTTTATTTCATTAATTAACAAAATTTAATTAATACCATCAAGTTTTTTCTAAAAAAATTAATCAAATAAGGGCATTTCTACACCTTGCTCCATTTCCGATTGCAACATGGTCATTTCTATGAGTGGAACAAAGAAAGAATATTGAAATGACAGCTGTCAGAGTGAAAAGTTGCAATGACACAAACGTCACTCTTTCCTTTTCCTTTGTAAGTGTCTAATTGAAGTTGTCTTTATCGCACCCGCAGGAGAAAAATGGAGCAACCTGTATATTGATTAATTCTCGAGATAAAATCGATAATAGAATATCGATTTTCGATGCCAAGGCCTACTGACTAATACGAGCAAACTCAAAACAAACAAACTGAAAGTGAATTTTAGAATCGAAAGTTCCCAAACTAGTTCATGGCGAAAAAAATACAAAATAAATGTCCGTACGATAAAAAACATATATGTACCAGATAAACTAGCCGAGAGACACTTATCCAATGGATAAATGTTCCGATAACATTCATAAATAACGCTCGACCACTCCTAATTAGAAATTCGCCATATTTATTCGCTTGTTATTTATTATATGACAAAAAGCGCCTGCTTGATACATATTAGATTTCAAACTGGATCAATACCGTATTTAAATTTCGATTTAAACTCGTTATTGCGTAATTGATTTTTGAGAATTTTCGTTTGAAATAAATACGAATGTGGATTGTTTTGACCTAGTTACTATCTACGAACGAATTATCTAGGATCGGTAATTGACTAATTATTATTTCTAATTTGTTAATTTATTGATAAAATCGATGAATTTGTAATAATCCAGTAGGCTTGGATATTATCTCGAAAAATTAATTGAAATAGAAACTTACAATTTAAGCTGGTAGAAAAAAGGTTTCTCTATGATTTTTGGAGAATTGAAAATTTTTGAAAATGGTCTAGTTTTCGAGATATTTCGAGTTTTTGTATTCAGTGCGATTCGATGGAAAATCGCAACTATCTCGAAAACTAACTGACATACAAAAAATTAATAAAACCTTTTTTGTAGGAAAAACAATTCTTTACAACTTTTAAAGAATCAAAAATTTTCGAAAATCGACTATTTTTCGAGATATATCGAGTTTTTGTATTTAGCGCGATTCGATGTAAAATCGCAATTATCTCGAAAACTAATTGAGATACAAAAAACCAACAAACTTCTTTTTGTAGAAAAAACTATTCTTTACAACTTTTAAAGAAACTAAAATTTTCGAAAATCGACTATTTTTCGAGATATATCGAGTTTTTTTCAACGAATCCCATAAAATCTAACAATTTTGATACAATTTAACCAGACTAACGTGTAATAATCTCGAACACTTTCTATTTCAAATTGAATCTAATCAAACAAAATCATCTGAATAAAATGTTCGCAAGGTGAAGGTTGAAATGAATTGTATTCATGTCATTAATTACATTAAAAAATAATAAATTAGTCTTTATAAAAGTGAAATGTAATGAAAAAAAAAATAAATAAATTACTCTCAAGATTATACGAGTAAAAAATTAAATAAAATGATAGGGGGGTTGATTCATTAAATATTTCTAAATATATTTCCAATAATCAGTTAAAAAAATTACTACTAAAAACATAAAAAAAATAAATATTACTCTGAAAAAAGGATAGATTGCCCCTTAAAAAATCCCTTAAAACCCCCTTAAAAATTACTCAAAAACCCTTAATTTTTAAAAAACCAATTACTCACCTGCATTCTCAAAATGCACCTTGCACACTAAAAAAGTGCAGTCACACAAAAAAACCTCCTGATGAATGAACGTCTATTGAATGAACTCTGTGAATATTTTACTAATTTTCGAAACACTTATCGCCCTGTATATATATCAGAGCTGGCTATGTATGTGCGTACAGGTCTCGGTGGGCCGTGGAACTGATGAGATACGGCACAGCCAGCTTGATCTCTTTTAGAAATGTATCAGAACGTCTTGTGTGTATCAGAAAAATGTTCGTTTACGCAACGGCCTTTCACCTGATTTGGGCCCAGCCCAAAGTCACTCGCACTCGAATTTACATTAATTATATATCGGGCGAGATAATTTTTACAAAATTGGAAAATTTACAAAAATGCAAAATTATTTACTAAAAAAATTGAAAAAATTAGTAGCCATGTTTTTATTAATTTTTTTCGTTATTTTTATTTACTTTAATTTGACTAAAAAATTAAATAAATGTATCGAGATATTGTTTAGCAATTTTTTTGTTATTTTTTAAATAATTTTTCCTTGTTTTTACTCATTTTGTAGTCCTTTATTTTTAATGTTATAGATGCCTACATTCAAGCGAAAAATTACCTAATAAAAAAATAGGAAAAGGAAAATTTTTGAAAATCCACTCTGTATAAAAATAAACTATCCGGATTTTCGACCTTCAAAAGTGAAAAGTTCGAAAAGTTCGAATGAAACTTGTACTAGAAAGGGCATTAAACTCTCTATGATGTCAATATAACTGTTCCTGAAGTAACGTAAATACTACTAAAATCTTCTCAAATCTTCTCTAATCTTCTTCTTCGATATTTAAGTAATAATTATAAAATATTTCCTATATTTTCATAGACTTAAAATAATAATATATCGTGTTTACTGCTCTAGGATTTTTTTGTCTAATAATAGCCGAGGGGTGTTTTAATAAAAAAATAGAAATATCTCGAAAAATGAGCGATTTTCAAAAAAATTTCATTCTACAAAAATTGTAGGGAAATGTTTTTTCTATTACACGAAATAAACGAAATGTTTTTATCTCAATTAGTTATCAAGATAATCGCGATTTTTCATCTAATAAGAATAAAACTAATAATTTCGACAGAATCCTTACAAAAACTTGAAATATCTCTAAAACTACTCGATTTCCAAAAATTTTCGATACTCCAAAAATCATAGAGAAATATTTTATCTACAACATGAAACAAACCAGATTTTTCTATCTTCATTAGTTTTCGAGTTCCTTAGGAAAAACGGTAGTATAGCGTTGAAAATTTCGAAGAAATCCTCTCTCGAACGAATTTCGATATTGATGAATTTATCAATTAAAAAAATCAACCAAACCAGTTCTGTCGCAAAATCGAAAGGAAAGAAAAACTTTCACTCTTAATTGCCCGAGAAAATTTTACGTTTAATATTAGATCAGATGTGATTTCATTGAAAGTAAACGAAATATTATATGTGCACATCTAAACGATTCGAAAAAAATATATACAGGGCGTTGAACTAATAAAAAACACAGGCAACAAACAACGAACGCCCTGTGTGTAAATCAATTGGGAAATTCGGTAAATTGCATCGAGTATACATTGAATGTTTTAAAGTCGAAATATCCTGCAATTTGAGCGATTTTCGGAAATTTTCCATTCTTCAAAAATCGTAGAGAAATATTTTTTGTACAAAATAATTCAAAGCGAATTTTTCTATCTAGATTAGTTCTCGAGATAATCGCGATTTTTCCACAAAATCAACAAGAATTTTCCCATTTTTACAACAGAATTAACCAAATTAACTCGCTATTTCTGATATTAAAAGCGTATCGGTTAAATAATAAACGACACACCCATCGAAATCTCTATAATAATCAGATTGTTAGGTAAGTTCGCCAAAATATTAAACACTAACAATTATAAAAAAAACCTTTTTGCATTTATTTTTTATCCGTAATATTATAATTAAAGCGTTTATGTAACAACTAATTTGTTACTTTTTAACAGGTGGAGTCGAAAAATTATCCATTATACCGGATGTCCCAGCGAAAACTAGATTTAGTGACTTTTTCGTAAATACAGCGTTGCCAAGTAGAGTAAAAATTACTAGACTTTTCCTAAAAGTGCACTAGATTTTTTTAACAAGAAAACCACATTTTGTATAAAACTTTTTACTATCATATTTGTATTACAACCTGTATAAACTTAACAACTTTTATGCTTAGATATAAATTTTTAGGGCATCATACGCAGGGCCCCGTCGATTCTGATCACCTCCCCGTTCATCATGGGATTTTCGATGACGCTCTGCACCAACTGCGCAAACTCCTCGGGGTGTCCCAGGCGCTGCGGAAACGGCACGGACTTCGCCAGGAAGGACTTCACCTTGTCGGGTAACGCGTCCAATAGGGGAGTCCTGAACAAACCTGTAGGAGGTTCTGAGTTAGATAACTACAACGTTAAAGGCCAGAACCTTACCCGGTGCAATCGTAACCACTCGTATCCCTTGACTAGATAGGTCTCTAGCTATGGGTAAGGTCATTCCCACGATGGCCCCTTTACTGGCCGAATAGGCCGCTTGGCCCGTTTGGCCTTCGTAGGCTGCTACACTAGCAGTATTTACGACGACTCCTCTACAACCGTCCTTGTCCGGTTCGTTTTCACCTATTAATCCAACCGATAGCCGGATTACGTTGAATGTACCGATGGTGTTTACCTACAAAATTCGAAAATTAGAAAGAATTTTAACAAATTTATTAAAATAGATAAATGTACCTTTAAAACCTTAGTGAAATCGTCCAAGGAATGCGCAGTCTTCTTATTAAAATTATAAGTCTTGAAAGCCACCCCGATACCCGCACAATTCACCACATTATCCAGCCTGCCGAATTTCTCCTTGACCAGCCCCAGGGCTTCTTTCACGTCGTTTTCGCTGGATACATCGCAGGGGGCGAACAGGGCCCTTTCGGGGCCGAAATTCTCCGCCATATGCTTGCCCTTCGAGGAAGGCAAATCGCATATCAACACCCTGGAGCCCTGTTGAATTAGCCTTTCTACGGTGGCCTTGCCCAGGCCCGAGGCCCCGCCGGTTACTAGGCTTACTGCGATCTGGAATTTTGAGGTTTTTTGTCGGTGGGATTTTGTGGTTATGAGACGCTTACCTTACTGCTTAAATTCGACATTGTTTGGTAGAGTTATTTTTGGCTAAATTATCACGAATGGGCGAATTTGACAAGCTGGAACTGGTGTTTTTTAGCTGAATAATGTTATCATAAATTTAAAAAACAGCTTGGAAATTATAATAATCTTATGTCAAATGTCAAGGTCAAGAAAATTCTTCTTTTTTTTTTTCAAATTGTAAAAAAATTACAAAAGTATCTTTGTGTATTCAGAAACGCATTATTTCTATTTATTCATGTATAAATTAATTTAAAATTATTTATATGTACGAGATTCCTTCTGAAAGCGTATTAGATTTTAAAAATGTACTAGAATTTATGAAATGTACTAGATGTGCCGACCCGTCGACATTAATGACATTTGACAGCAAGTTGACATAAAAAGTCGTTACGTTACGAATTCAAGAACAATTAAAAGAAACTTTCAGCAAATAAAGAATACAGTTTAATTCGAAAGGAAAATGTCCCACCGAGCGGCTTCGAGCGATAATAAAAGAACAGAAACGCAACCGAAACGCCCGAGCTCTACCAACACCAAAGAAACTGCTGGCCGGGCGAATGGAGAAAAACGAGTGTGGTCTTTGAACAGTTTCGATATCGGCCGGCCTTTGGGCAAAGGGAAATTCGGTAACGTCTATTTGGCTCGAGAGAAAACCTCCAAGTTCGTCGTAGCCCTCAAAGTTCTGTTCAAAAGGGCCGTAAAAGAGAACAAGATCGAACATCAAGTCACCCGAGAGATCGAAATCCAATGCAGCTTGAAGCACCCGAACATACTCAGGATGTTCGGCTACTTTCACGACGAATCTAGGATATATATGATACTCGAATATGCTCCTAAAGGTAATTAAACACGAAAACATTAAGCTTTAACTTTTACTATTAAAAAACAGCTCCGATTGGCTGGTAATAACACTGAGTAAAAAATCTGGAATGCGATTGGGCAGACTCAGTGACGTCACTATAGATACAACACAACCTTTAGCTATATTTTACATTACAGGTGCAGTTTATGCAAAGTTACTATCGAGCCCGAATAAGAGATTCTCAGAAGAGACTGCGGGGGCTTACATAGGGCAAGTGGCGGATGCCCTTCAATACTGCCATTCGAGGAATATCATCCACAGGGATATTAAGCCGGAAAACTTGTTGCTAGGAGTAAACGAAGAGATTAAAATAGCGGATTTTGGCTGGTCTGTGCGAAATCAATCAGATAGAAGGACCACTTTATGTGGAACTTTGGATTATTTATCGCCCGAGATGATTTTAGGTAATGGTTTTTAGGTGCTTAAAGATTAATTTTGACATCCCCTTTTTTTGGTATTCAGGCGAAACCTACGATGAGAAAGTTGATTTGTGGAGCCTGGGCGTTCTGTGCTTTGAATTCCTGGTGGGAAAACCCCCTTTCGAAACGTCGAATTCCAATAATTTGTGCAAGAACATTAGCGAAGGGGAGTTCAAGATACCCCCGTACGTTTCCGATGATGCTAAAGATTTGATCAGAAGATTACTCGTGACCGAGTCGAAGTACAGAATAGCCTTGAACTCTGTGCTCAAACATCCTTGGATTTTGAAACATAGAGCTGGTAAAGTTTAATGGTGATTTGTGATTTGTTTTCTAGTTATGTCTTATTGACTGTGTCTCATTTAGTAAGTATTCAATGATTTTGTAATAATGAAACTTTTAGGACTTACTCTGTATATATAAAAGCATTTTTGATTTGAAAAAATTTTACTATGGGAAATGCTTAACGATTGTTGACATAATTTTATGTAAAAATGTTTGTATATTTTAGATTAATATGTATCTTATGCTAATTTAGCTGGTTTAATTTTAATTATTTACATGGGAAAGTGAATTTAGTCTGTTTATTAAATTATTAATTTATCGGTTTAAAAAAAATCAAACAAAATGTTTGTATTATATATAGTTGTTTTTATTGCTTTTTCCACTTAAATATAATCAATTAAAACATAAATATATATTTGGTGAAAATAATACTCTAAATATGTAAATGCAATTAGGAATTCAACATATTTTATGTACACTTTTATTACACTGGTATGTAATGTAAAAAAAAACCTTTTAAAAATCAATTATCGTGTAAAAAGTGTATTAAAAAAGTTTCAAACTCTAAATAATTACTCTATCGTCTTTATTTTGGTTTGAAAAAAAAATATATCACTAAAACTCACACAATCCCAAAAGGTTTACAAGAAAAATAATCTTCTTGTGACAAGAAACGATATCATTGCAATAATTAACCACATCACGATTTTCCACAGTGTATCCCTAAAAAAATAATAAAAATAAGCTATTAATTGAATGCAAAATGAGTTCACTAACTTGCTATTCGACTGATTCAAATTCTCCCTAACACCCGCATCATTCGAACTAACACCTTCCGTTTCCCCATCGACTATCCTCCTTCTAACTTCACCGGTTTCATTTGATTGTCTTTCTTCACCGCTAGCCTCTACATTCCTCTGCGGCTCCTTCTTATTCGCATCTTCCTCAGCCTTAAACGATCATTAAATTCACAATAATTAATTTCCAACATTTATTCTACCTTCAAAGCGATCTGTTTGATTAAACTGGACTCTTCCTTCGTTAATTCCGGCCCCTCCTGGCCCGTGCTCAGTTTCTCCGATATCCTCCCGCAAGTCGAACACACCCAATTCTTGGACTTCTTCGCCAGGATTTGCCTTTCTTCGGGCGTGTAGTCCAAGGATCCTATTGTACCAGCCGCGGGCGTCGGCATGAAGGCTATGAGAGCCAGAAGGGCTGTTCGAATGGACCAGGAGGGCTGCCAGCTTTCCGGATGATGCCCGGATATGGACAGGCAGATTTTTTTGTTCACTTCGAACCTTCCATTCGGCTTGAATTTACAATACACAATCGTTATTTTCTGTTCTATTAAACAAAAGTAGTGATGTACATACCGTTAAAAGGATGATGTTAGGGGGTTGCATGGGATATTGCGATGGTAATAAAATTCTACCGTGATAATAGCCGTTTTCGAAATCGCTACCGGGGGGCCCTCGCACGGTGAAATGCCATTCAAATAGGTTGTCTTCCAAAGGGCAAGCGTAATATTCTTCGGTGGGATTGGCCAGTTCGATGGCTTCTCTCATGAGCCGCTTGACGCCTGGAAATTGCTTGTTTAGAGGATTCTTGGGTATTTAATTCGTTTTGTTAAAGACGAATTGAATAAATGATTCACTCACCTGGGCTTTTGAGGTTATATTTACTTTCCAGAGACATTGTTAAAGTTGTATTTACAGAAATTTGCTAGTAATTACGCAACAGATACTAACAGGGCAGCTTTATCGCTAGTAATAATCGGTTGTTACCCATAAATACTGGAAATAACCGATACTTATCGCATTGTTTTATAAATAAATCAGCTGATTTTTAATTGTCATATTGACAAATGTCAAAGTTTTTATCGTGTGGTGACAGAAGTGGCCTTTACCGAATGAGCTATGTATTTCATTAAAAACTTGTAAAGTAAGCATAGAAATTTGACAACACAGTGGAATTTAGACTGTAAATAGTGTCATTTTAGACAGTTGACAGGTGCTGGAAAATGACAAATTTGCGTTAGAACATTGGGGGCCTTTTTTCCAGATGCTGTAGAAGCTTATTTACAAGACAGTATTGTATTTAGGAAATAAATTTTTACATATAAATATTGTTTTTTTTTAAATAAATAAATGAAACGTTTGAAGGATTTTACATAAAAAGGCATTTCCTTTTGAGATTTCTGAAAAATTGAAAACGATGACGAAATTTTGGTTGCCTACCTACTAGTGTCCATAAATCGATTTTCCATCGATAAATGTAATTCTGGTTGTCTAACTATTGTATTAGTAAGGCGCGAGTATTAAGTATCAGGAGTAAACCTCCTCACCATAGACCTATTAACTATGGACGCGGTTTAGACAAAGAGGTAGTGTTGTCGATGAATGAGAGAGATGCAGCTAGTTTGGACAAATGGTAATGAGAGATTGGACAATGCATTAGCCAATAGTAAGAAAGAAAAAGACCACGTGAGTTACGTTTTTCAGAAATGCAAGGTAGTTGGGGTAGAGGAGGGTAGATTATGGTAGAATAGGGTTGAGGATTTATAATTTTTTTACCGAGCAAAATGCATTTTTCAGCTGAGCCTAAATTCCCACACATTTGCAAATACAGTTCTTATTTTGTATTGTTATTTGGAACCTCCTACCTATTAGCCTGTACAGATTTCGCAATTTAAGACCTAGCTGTTTTCTCTTGTAAAAAATATGTTTCTTCCAGGTCATTCTTCTGTCCAAGTGAATACCAAGATAAAAACAATATTTAAATATTAAGCGTATAAATAATTTAACAGATTAATCGCCTTTTTCCACACACCCTGTATATATTTTATATATTTTTTGGTCCCGCCTACTTTTAGCCCAAACTAGCTCCATCTCTCACGGACCTCTCTCTCTATCATTGGGAACGCTGAATAACCTCAAAATAACGATAGTGCCGCGTCCATACTTAATAGGTCTATGCTCCTCACACATTCTGTTCTCCTAATACGAAATTTCTAATTCGCAAATATTTAACGTGAAATTTTCGAATGATCGACAAAATTTTTCTTCCGATTTTTACAAATTGCGTTGAAAAAGTTTTGCGTTTTTTTTTTCAATAAACTCGACAAAACTTTTAACATTTTTTTTATCATTTCTGCTATAAAGTATTAATAATAATGCCCAAAATGATAAATTTCTCTTGAAAATGTGTTTTGAAAAACGACGATAGAATCTTTATTAATGCATCAGGATTCATCCAGGACTTTCCGTAGAAGTACCTCTCTCCATATAATAAATATCTCCTGTTACTAGACTTCCTTGCATATTCTCCTTGCCTAATATCCGAAATTAATCAATGGAGATCTACGAAAACTTGTGCTCAAATCTCGAAATAAAACGTGAATTTGAAATTTCGTATTAGGAGAACAGAATGTGCGAGGAGGTTTACTTATGACGCTTATTAATCGCGCTCCTGCTCGATTACAAATACATACAAAGGCAACCATTTAATCGAATTTCGGTAATACTGGTTGCCTATCTATTGTATTAGTAAAGCGCGAGTAATAAGTATCAGGAGTAAACCTCTTCACACATTCTGCTCTCCTAATACGAATTCTTAAATTCACGTTTTATCGTGAGATTTTCATACGTTTGACACAAACTACTCGAACTCCTAATATTTGTTTCTCCCGATCTTTTTGCTTTAATAGCTCCAGATTTTTACAAATTGCGTTGAAAAAGTTTTGCGTTTTTTTAATGAACGAAAAATACTAAGAATTCTAAAATCAGGATTAAGGATGTCATAAAAATTTTTTAATATTTAATATCTCAAAAAATATAAAGAATATATTTTATAGATTCATATTATATCTCAAAATTAAGTAAAAATTGAGATTTGTACACCGAAAAATCGGGCTTATTTGCTTAAATTGGATTACCAAATCTCAATGCCCCTCTTAAATAAACAATGAAATTCGATAAGTACTTCCACCAGTATATTATAATTCCAACGAAGCGAAAAATATAAAAATCATCTTATACAAAATATATATTTTTTATAGCAAAAAAATAAATATAAATTTCATACACCTATAGATACATGTAATTTTGCAATCAATGCATTGCAATCAATTCGAATTTAATATTAAATCGTAATCGGGCATTCCCGCCCTGTAAGATTGCAAATATTTAATGTGATAGTCGGAATGCAGCAAACTTTTCTTCACCACCGTATCCTCAGTCATGTGATTGCGCCATTCCATCTATAAACACAATTAATAATTCACCAAATTGTGCATAAACTAGTAATTAAATTAGATAGAAACTCTCTAGAAGCCTTGTACATACCAATTTCTTGTATCTGTCCCTTCTGAGCAAATGCTGGTAGCCGAAAACCTTGAGATTATCGGCCCTTTCGCACCAAGGCCATATCATGAGATCTAGCATGCCTAGCTTGCTGCCGCCGAAATAGGGGGTTCCCCGGTCTGCGAGTTCCCTTTCGAACACCGATAGACCTTGGGCGATGACATCATCATCGTTCATGTTCATTCTACCGATGTTTATAGTCAACCTGTACATGGCGTTAACCACCTAGAAGTGTACGAATTAATTAATTTGTATATAAAAAGTATGCGAATAATGTACTTTATTGAATTGTTCGATTAGAATTCTGTCTTTCGCTTTCTGCAGCGGATCTTTCGGGTACAAAGGGTGTTGGTGGTATCTTTCTTCCAAGTAATCGACGATGATCAGATCATCGGTGAGGATCTCCTCGTTTTCCACTTCGAGGGCGGGGATTTTTCCTTCGGGCACCTTTTCGTAGAGCCAGTCCGGTTTGTTGGCTATATTTATGTTCACTACCTCGTATCTAAAAAAATTGTGATCGTAAAAAAAATCGAAAAAAAAGAATTGCCGAAACCAGGGATCGAACCAGGGACCTTTAGATCTTCAGTCTAACGCTCTCCCAACTGAGCTATTTCGGCTATGAATTGATAGTTTTGAAACACCTTTAATAGTGAAATGAATTAAATTGGAACTTACTGGATCTTTTTCGCGTCTAACACAAGAATTATCCTTTGGGAATACGGGCAAAAGCGATTGCTGTATAATCGAATTTTGTGGCCTTTTATAGGCGGAGGTTGCTTCGAACCTAAAAAAAATATCCATTATTACCATTAATAGTTGAAAATTTTTATGATTTCCCAATTTTTTTGGGAAAATTTATTGATATTCGCTAATAATATATGAGATAAAATATAAACGCTAAAAATAGTCCGGAATGAGGTCAACAACATGAAGAAATTAATTATTTATAAGTTTTATGTGTTCTATCCGCAACTATGAGGTAATCGATGCTAAAATAAACGTGATAGATAAAATACACTATTTACCTTTCGTTAGCGGATTCATATGAATCAAATAAAACAGCTTTAGATATGTCTAAAATGCACGAATTTCAACCAAAAATTGCATAACGATTAATTGAATTATTATCTACACATAATTGTAAAATTTTACTGGTTTGTTTATACCCCACATTAATTAAATCACGTATTTTTACATCCATCACGTATTCAGCAACACCAAATAAGTACACAATAAAATTATTAATATTTACACAACAGATTTACAGTCGCTTTTTAAGGATATGGGTTTGGTGCAAGGCAACAATGCAACAATGCAACAAACAAAAAACAACAATAAATAATTGACATACATTTTTATCGAGAAACTTACCTCTTGTTAAGTGTGAACTATTCATGATCGCCGAATTAAGGCCGGAAAACTATCGATTTGATGTCGTATCGATCGTCTCGAAGAAATTATGAAGAAACATTAAACACTAACGAAATTCAAAATATCAATGAACAGACGTCAAATGCACCAGCTGATTTTATTTACGCCGCACTCGCGCCATCTACACTAATTTTATGTAACACCAATGACAGGTGACAGAGTTTTCTTGATTGTAACTTAAAATAGTTGTATTCTAGTTAAACTAGAAGAATTTGGTGACATAATCTCGAGGCCCTGTGGCGCAACGGATAACGCGTCTGACTACGGATCAGAAGATTCCAGGTTCGAATCCTGGCAGGGTCGTTTACTTTTTTTTTTTTGCCTTTAGTATTTTAATTTGACGTTCAATTCCGCATAAAAATTTTGCTTTTCTGGAAAGGTCTGGTAACAGCGTATGCTTATGCATTATAGAATGTGTCCCGTTATTTGAGGACTTTTTGAGCTTCACTTTTGCGCCGCACCGTGGCGAACGATCGGAAGACCAAATTATCTCAGCCAATCAGCGTCGCGCTACATATAAATCGCGGTTGTGTGAAATGACAGTTCGAACTGTCAAAACTTGAAAAATTATTTTTTGACATTTCGAGGAGAAAATGGAGAAATACATTAACCGAAGACACGTGAGGCATGATGTTTACAACAAAATCATGGCTGATTTAAGTATATTTTTATTATTTGTATCTATTTTTAGTTTGAATAAAACCTATCCCAATGCCAATTCTACATAATTCTTACGCAAAAAACCGTGGTCCTTTACAACATCGCCTCCAAGCGACCGTTTTAGTAACCCCGTTTTATCCTCAAATAACGGGACACTTTTTCAACCCATGTTTCCAGAACTTAGAAATATAGGACCGTAGACAAGAGCGATTATATTCCCAATAAAATCGAATGAATTCAGCCCGTTGCGGAGTAAATCATCGGGTCGGGACCGGAGTGAAAATTCGAGAAAATATATAGGGGTGGAAAAATCATGTATCAATACATTATTACGTCATTATGCGGCGCGTGTCGTTTGACAGGCATACGTTTCACGCACGATTTCACCGCTATACGCGGACAAGATTTCTCTTCCCTATTTTCCCTTCGATTCGCCTTCCTCGCGTATCCCGCTGATGTACTCTCGCCAGTGGTGTGGAATCAAAAGCGCGTGACTCACTATAGAAAAAATTTGCTATTTTATCTTTTCGTAAATTATATTATTGTCGAGATAAACACACTGTTGAACACACCTTTTTATCTTAAACTTTAATTTTAAGTACAAAAGAGCACATTTCTAGTAACGACTTAAAAACGAACGAACATAGAACAACTTATCATTTACAGAACTAAAGAAAACGTCAACTGTCAAATATGTCAACGTTTGACTGTATACAACACTGAATGCAGTGCTATAAGTTCGAGAACACCCTGTATAGTTGATAAAAAATCGATCACTATGATTGACTATAGGTTCAATGGTTCAATTTTAATATAAACCTTGCTCCATTTCCGATTGCAACATGGTCATTTCAATGAGTGGAACAAAGTAAGATTATTAAAATGACAGTTGTCAGAGTGAAAAGTTGCAATGACACAAATGTCACTTTTCCTTTTCCTTTGTAATTGTCTAATGGTAGTTGTCTTTATCGCACCCATGGCCTATATAACCTATGTTGCGATCAAAAATGTGCATAAAAATATTGTTCATTAACAATTTTCTCGCAAGCGATAAACATCACGGAAAAAATCATTTTTCATCGGCATATGCACACCCGGAAAATTTATACGGTTTTTTGTGTGTGTGTGTGTGTACACGAATCGAGCGTGTTAGATAATAAAAATCACGTGTTTCGCTTAGGGCAAATCGCTCTACAAAAGAGTGGTTAATGATGCAAAATTGACTTTTAAGGCATTAGTCACGCCTCGTCCTGTCGCATCCATAAGTTATCCTTTTGAAATCGAGGCAGGGGAGAAGCGATGGAAAGGATGGAATAAGTGCCCTCTGACAGAACATACATAAACAAGAAGGGACATCGCCGTGAGAATTTCGTAGACGTTGTAGAGCGCATCCTGAGAGCACTGAGTGGTACTAAATGGTAACGGAAACTGTAATTTGTAATGGTTGTTGCATAGTAAAAAGGGGCTAGTATAAACGCAGTCGTGTAATACTGGTTTTCTATTCGACTTTTTTCTTTTTCTTGTTCGTATTATCCAATTTCTTGTAAAACTTGTACAATTTATTATACTATTATAATTTATAATAATAATTATATAAAATGTATAAGAATTTTATGTAATTATTAAATATAGACACATAGTATAAAAAATTGTACAAGTTTTACAAGAAATTGGATAATATCGAAAATAATTACTTTCACAAATAAATTAACGACAAAAACGTTTCATTTTAAAAATATATATTTAAAAAACATACAAATTTGCGGATTTAAAATTAGATATTAATTAATTCAATATAATTTAATACCTACATATATAAACATAAATATAATACACTTAAATAGTACAATATTAAAATAGTTCATCATAATTTTAAATGTAAACCTACGTATTATGAATAATAATTTAGACTTTAAAGTACTTTGGCCTATTAACAATACAATAAATAATTCACAAACCTTTCTCTGAGAAATCCAGTCATTTTATATCGGTGGTCGGTAGCTCGCCAAACCCAATAGAACTATCTCCATTTTCTGTAACAAAAAAATAAGCAGTTAATATGATAAAAATGATATTTGATGAAATTATGTACGAATGTTAATTATATTTACCTTGAAAAGAAAGCATGACACAGCAATCTTGTCTGATTTCAGACCTTCCGATGATTGGAAATCTGCTTTGGAAAAATGGCGATCGACGCTGCTACAATTTCTAAGTCTTGTAGCAATAGAATGGTAGAATCACGTTAACAATACACAAATTATTCATTTATAAAACTCACAGCAAATACCAAAGCACTTTGTATAATCGATAACTAACAATAGTTGGAAGAAATATTTATTCGGTTGTATTTCAAAATTTCAAAACTCTTCGAACTTCACGTGTTCAAAAATCGTTAATAATGATCTACGGCATGTTGCGTGGGTTGCTTGCGCTGTTTCTCAAATAAACGATCGCCGCGCCAACTACACGCATCGAGTAAAACTAAATTGAACGTCGAAAATTTCTCATAAGGCTGTCCTGGGCCTGTGCCCTCTGCGGCGGGGCTCCCTCTGGTGTCGAAAACGGGCGGTTTTGAGTTTAAAAGCGCAAGGATTCGCGTGGAAATGAAATGAATTAATAAAACTTTAATACTAGCTATATTTTTTATATAATTATTACACAACATTTATACATCTTAAATTAGATCGACATTTTTGTGTGTTGTTTGTTCCAACGCTTTATTTTTTTTATCGACATTTAAATTGTATATGACTAGATTTTACACATTATATCTATGATATATTTTTTTTTTGTTGCGAATATTAGTTATTTCCTCTAATTTTTTTTTGGATTTTTTTGTAGGTTCCTAGTAAAGCCCTACTATACATTCATCTATCAATAATAGTTTTATACAATCTTCTTTTATACAAAATAATATAATTACATACTTTTTCGTAATAATACAAAAAAAACGAATGGGAATGCTAAAACGTGGTCAAATGTTCCTCACGATAATGTACACTTATAATAAAACAAAATCATAAATTAAAAACACTTCCTATTTACCAATACATTAAAAATCGAAAACACCTACATAAAAATGTTATATCACAGACTACCGAATGTACGGTTGTTTGCCTTTTTATACACATTTTCCTCGAACTAAACTTCCATTCCGCAATACATATTTACACCCGAAAACAAGAAACATTGCACTGGTAACTACACTACAAAAAAGGGTAGCCATTTGACTAGCAACGGGCCAGGAAAAATACTGTTTCGACAACTACACCAGCTCATCATCAGACGCCGTACTGGGCCCATTCTTACGGGGGGGAATCCCCGCCATTACATGGCCAACTTCTTCGTCCAGTCCGGTCCCGACGACGAGCCCGAAGCCGGTCATGCGTAGTGCGGATACGAGCCGAGCGGGGGCGCTCCCAGATGGGGCCCCGTGTGATGGCCGATCGAATGCGTTCCTGCCGCTATGTTAGAGTACAAATTCGCACTCGGATTGCTCCAGTACGAACCCGGCGATGGGAAAATCGAAGCTGCAACAAAACATCCATACAAAACAACATTATAGACATAGATGTATGGAGGTTTATGGGCGAGTTTTAGGATCCAGTAGCTTCATTACTCAGTTTCATTGCTCGGTTTAAGAAAGCATCTGCATTCGCAATGGACATTCATTGTTCAGTATTCAAGGAATCAGTAGCTTCATTGACCACTTTCATTACTCAGTTTCATTGCTCGTTTTAAGAGAGCATCTGCATTCGCAAGGGACATTCATTGTTCAGTATTCAAGGAATCAGTAGCTTCATTGACCACTTTCATTACTCAGTTTCATTGCTCGTTTTAAGAGAACATCTGCATTCGCAAGGGACATTCATTGTTCAGTATTCAAGGAATCAGTAGCTTCATTGACCACATTCATTACTCAGTTTCATTGCTCGTTTTAAGAAAGCATCTGCATTCGCAAGGGACTTTCATTATTCAGTATTGAAGGAATCAGTAGCTTCATTGACCACCTTCATTACTCAGTTTCATTGCTCGTTTTAAGAGAGCATCTGCATTCGCAAGGGACTTTCATTATTCAGTATTCAAGGAATCAGTAGCTTCATTGACCACTTTCATTACTCAGTTTCATTGCTCGTTTTAAGAAAGCATCTGCATTCGCAAGGGACTTTCATTATTCAGTATTGAAGGAATCAGTAGCTTCATTGACCACTTTCATTACTCAGTTTCATTGCTCGTTTTAAGAAAGCATCTGCATTCGCAAGGGATATTCATTATTCAGTATTGAAGGAATCAGTAGCTTAATTGACCACTTTCATTACTCAGTTTCATTGCTCGTTTTAAGAGAGCATCTGCATTCGCAAGGGATATTCATTATTCAGTATTGAAGGAATCAGTAGCTTCATTGACCACCTTCATTACTCAGTTTCATTGCTCGTTTTAAGAAAGCATCTGCATTCGCAAGGGATATTCATTATTCAGTATTGAAGGAATCAGTAGCTTCATTGACCACTTTCATTACTCAGTTTCATTGCTCATTTTAAGAGAGCATCTGCATTCGCAAGGGATATTCATTATTCAGTATTGAAGGAATCAGTAGCTTCATTGACCACTTTCATTACTCAGTTTCATTGCTCGGTTTAAGAGAGCATCTGCATTCGCAAGGGACTTTCATTGTTCAGTATTCAAAGAATCAGTAGCTTCATTGCTCAGCTTCTTTTAACAGCTTCGTTATTCATTTTTATAAGAGCACTTGCATCCTATAAAGAACATTATTTAGTAGACTGTGAATGGTACCATCAGCATAATTAAATCACAATGTACCAGCCCAGGTATGCATCCTATAATCCCTTTGGAGTAAACAGAGGTGCAACGGGTAATTGATATTTTATAGAGTAATATAGTGAGTCCCGTGAGGGCGATTCGTAGCCGATAAATCCCCCCCGGTTCGGAAAAAGAAACCAGACCTAACGACCGTAGAGTGTACAAAATATCCATTATCGCTGAAGAGGGACCGCAATGAAATCTACATTTCGGTTCAGACGTCGCAAGGGTAGTTTGTTAACAATATCCTTATTTGGGAGGGGCCGATTAAATGACGGGTAATATCCCCCGAAGCTCCGCGTTAGGGGCGAAACAATGCACAATCAAGGCATTACGTCATTATCGGGGTTGCGAGTGTTATTAGCGCTCTAAAAGGGGTTAGTGTTAACTACCGAACGAAAAATTCGTATACTCATTATTATTCATTAATCTATTCAGATAATTACTATGTGCTTAAATTACCGTGAATTAAATCGTAATTTTATATATATATTCGTTCATTCGATTTTTTTTGCATCCCTTTATAGGGTGTGGAAACTTTTGTCTTTAACTCTCAAATATTTCCACTTTTGTAAAGTAAAGTTTTATTGCAAAAGGTTGTTTATTGTTAAATTGCAAAAGGTTTTATGCAATTCTATGAGTTCACCCCTTTCTCTTTCCTTCCTCTATGAGACCAATGGAAGTTAATGAGTTTTTATTGCACCCATATAGCTTATACAACTTTGCAGTTATCTGCAATTTCCAAATATTTCCACTTTTGTAAAGTAAATATGGGTAAGTACAAATGCTTCTAGGCTGGTTCTATTGCAAAAGGTTGTTTATTGTTAAATTGCAAAAGGTTTTATGCAATTCTATGAGTTCACCCCTTTCTCTTTCCTTCCTCTATGAGACCAATGGAAGTTAATGAGTTTTTATTGCACCCGTATAGCTTATACAACTTTGCAGTTATCTGCAATTTCCAAATATTTCCACTTTTGTAAAGTAAATATGGGTAAGTACAAATGCTTTTAGGCTGGTTCTATTGCAAAAGGTTGTTTATTGTTAAATTGCAAAAGGTTTTATGCAATTCTATGAGTTCACCCTTTCTCTTTCCTTCCTCTATGAGACCAATGGAAGTTAGTGAGTTTTTATTGCACCCATATAGCTTATACAACTTTGCAGTTATCTGCAATTTCTAAATATTTCCACTTTTGTAAAGTAAATATGGGTAAGTACAAATGCTTTTATAGGCTGGTTTTATTGCAAAAGGTTGTTTATTGTTAAATTGCAAAAGGTTTTATGCAATTCTAAGAGTTCACCCTTTCTCTATGAGACCAATGGAATTAATAAGTTTTTATTGCACCCATTTGGCATGGGGTATGTATGGGAGTGCATATACATGGGGGGAGCTCATCTTCGTGGGGCTTTTGTCTTCGCCCAACCGCCGTAATGACGACAACTAACACATCGCCTTTCTATACAGAACGGGATTTATGGACCGGCGGCTCTTCTAATGCAATTCATTTGAGCTGTCATCGCGAATAGGCAGTTTGGGGATAATTTATATCGACAGTGTTCCATTTTAATGCGTCGCTACAGTCGACAGAATCGACGACAAATTCGACGAAAACTCGAATCGTTCTTGCTTTCTTTCATTATTATAAACGGGGTGTCCCAAAAATACAGCTTCGTTGCATTCCTGAGGTGTTAAAGGCCTATACAAAGTGGAGGATTCTTATCTATAAAGCGATGCTTTAGGACGCACTGTATATATCAAATCTTTATATAGAGTGTCCAGGAATTGGTAAACAAAGTGGATGATTCTTCTGTATGTATATAAGCGAGGCTTTGGGACAACCTGTAAATATCAAATCTTTATACAGAGTGTCCAGGAATTGGTAAGCAAAGTCGAGGATTCTTCTGCATGTAGCGACGCTTTAGGACACCCGGTAAATATCAAATCTTTATACAGAGTGTCTAGGAAATGGCACGATATATCATGCACAAAAGCTTTTTACTCGTATCTGCTTCGGTTCGATTTATATAAGAATCTTCTTATTGGAGTCCCCTGAGCGATAAATATTTAGGAATTGTCGTTTAATTTCGTCGCTTGTAGAGCTGAACAAATACGAAAGCGAAACGGCTCGTCACACTTTGTCATCCGCAATTTAGCATAAGGATTTTCCAATACAAACAGAGAGAAAAGGGGACGCGGATTTCCCTAATTTTCGTCCTGCTTGTATCGATTTCACATATCAACAAACATAACTGCACCGTTTCTATACAGGGTGTTAATTAATAAGTGCGACTTGAGGGGGTGATTCTGCATGAAAAAGTAATGAAATTTTGCTTGGTGTTGAAGTTTCTTCTTATAAAAACTCGAAGATTTATTTATTTCTCTGAAACCAGACGAGATATTCAAATGAAATTTGGTGGGTTTTGAGAGGTAACTATTACGCATTTTTTGACATAGAATTAAAAATTTTATGTTCATCATTGGCGCGCGTACGGGTAAAAATAATTTTTTTTTGAAGAAAAAAATTATATTGGTACGCCACTGAGGGTTTTTTATTAAAAATTCAATTATGAATAAATTCCTCGTTCAATTTGTGACAAAAAAACTCTCTTGTGTTTTTCTCGTACGAGCCTCTGTTTTCGAGTAAAAAAATCAAACATCTTGAAGTGTATTTTTCATTTCCTCAATACACTTTAATCTAGTAACGAAGAAACTTTAACACCCCGTATCTCGAAAACGAAACATTTACAGACAAATTTTTATATAGCAAAATATCATTATTTTTTCAAGCAGAATCACCCCCTCAAGTTGGTCGCACCTATTAATCAACACCCTGTATATGGCGGGGGAATCCTATGAGGTATGAATACTGACCTGATCTAGTAATGAAGAAACTTTAACACCCCGTATCTCGAAAACGAAACACTTGCGGACATATCTTTATATAGCAAAATATCATCATTTTTTCATGAAGAATCACCCCCTCAAGTTTGCCGCACTTAATAATCAACGCCCTGTATACGGCGTGGGGAATCCCATGAGGTACTTTAGAGGTATGAATACAGACCTGCGGAGCTGGGTATGGCGGCGTGGGGGCTCATAAAACCGCCCAATTTGGCGCTGTGATGGTACGAGCTCATGAACAACTCGCTCTGGTACTTGTAGCTGCCCGGATCGCTGGTGGCCGGTTGCGTGGCGGCGGCGAGGCCTTGGAAATCGAATTTGTAAGCGTACCGTTTACCGTGGACTTTCGTCATGATGTTCTTGTCGTAGTAATATCTGCAACAAAACGGGATCCGTTAGGCCGACCGCTCGCGGAGCAACTGTTTTGAAATAAATGTTGCAAACCAGTTGATCTTGCAACTATTTTGCAACCCAAATGAAACTAGTTTGCAACCCAAATGAAACTAGTTTGCGATGAATCATAAACCAGTTGTACCCGACCATTTCCCGCGGTCGCAGTTGCGTTTCAGTTTCGAGTCGCTTTAAATTCTTGCCAGTTTCTGGTGTGATTCATTCGATATTCGATAAATTACTATGGCAACTGATTGAAACTGTTTTATAATAGTCGCATCTGTGTGCGTACAGAAGTTTAATATTAGTTGTAAACTGGTTACAGACTAAACTAGATTGCAATCTTTTCCTAAGGCCTAAGCCCCACCGCTCGCGGAGCAACTGTCTTGAAATAAAGATTGCAATCTAGTTTAGTATGTAACCAGTTTACAACTAATATTAAACTTCTGTACGCACACAGATGCGACTATTATAAAATAGTTTCAATCAGTTGCCATAGTAATTTATCGAATGTCGAATGAATCACACCAGAAATTGGCAAGAATTTAAAGCGACTCGACTGCAAAGCGACTCCGACCGCGGGAAATGGTCGAGTACAACTGGTTTATGATTCATCGCAAACTAGTTTCATTTGGGTTGCAAACTAGTTTCATTTGGGTTGCAAACTAGTTTCATTTGGGTTGCAAACTAGTTTCATTTGGGTTGCAAACTAGTTTCATTTGGGTTGCAAAATAGTTGCAAGATCAACTGGTTTACAACATTTGTTTCAAAACAGTTGCTCCGCGAGCGGTGGGCCTTACCGGCCGGGCGATTGGTAATAAAAGTAGAGCGAAAACGGTTCGTCATATATATTCCAATCGTCCAATCGATTTGGTTGTGGAAATGCTCGATTTTCGGGGATTGTTTAGCTGTTCGATTGCGACGATGGGGTCGCGGGGGCGGAGTAATCGCATTGCTGCGGCAATTAACGATTCGATAACGGTCGTAATGCGTTTACCGATTCTTTTATATTTTCTTCTTTTTTTTTTCGTTCCTCCTGATTCGTACATACCGGCCGTGATTGTTTCGATAATGGGAAATTATTTTTCGAAATTGCGTTTTAGGACCCCCCGGTGGAGCGCTACGCGTAATTTATTTATGGCGTTGTTTTGTAGTTACATCTGTAGAGTAAATTCAGTAATACAATAGTCTAGAGTAGATTCAGAGTAGAGTAGTGTTATAGAGTAGATTTATAGTAGATTCAGAGTCGAGGAGTGTAGACAAGGTTTGGAAAGAGTAGTCTATAGAAGATTTAGTGTCGAGAAGTGCAGACAAGACTCAAAATAGAGTAGTTTAGAGTAGATTTAAAGTCCAGAAATGTAGACATGATTCAGAATAGAGTAGTCTTGAGTAGATTCAGAGTTGAGAAGTCTAGAGTAGATTCAGAGTCGAGGAGTGTAGAGAAGATTCAGTATAGATAGTGTAGGTATAGAGTAGAGTAGTTTAAAGTAGTGTAGATTCAGAGTAGAGTAGTGTAGAGTAGATTCAGAGTTGAGGAGTCTAGAGTAGATTCAGAATAGATAGTGTAGGTATAGAGTAGAGTAGTTTAAAGTAGAGTAGATTCAGAATAGAGTAGTCTAGAGTAGATTCAGAGTTGAGGAGTCTAGAGTAGATTCAGAATAGATAGTGTAGGTATAGAGTAGAGTAGTTTAAAGTAGAGTAGATTTAGAATAGAGTAGTCTAGAGTAGATTCAGAGTTGAGGAGTCTAGAGTAGATTCAGAATAGATAGTGTAGGTATAGAGTAGAGTAGTTTAAAGTAGAGTAGATTCAGAATAGATAGTGTAGGTATAGAGTAGAGTAGTTTAAAGTAGAGTAGATTCAGAGTAGAGTAGTGTAGAGTAGATTCCCAGAATACAGTAGTGTATAGAATAGATTCATAGTCGAGTAGTGTAGAGAAGATTCGGAATAGAGTAGTTTAGAGTGGAGTAGATTCAGGGTAGATAAGATTTATACAAATTGCGTCGAGTTTGGACGGAAAAGTTGTTTTCCAGGATAAAAGAAAAGTGAAATGTGAAATTTTATCGAATCGGTTCCTCCGCCAAAATTTGAAATGTTTTAAGGAACTTTTAAAGGAGACTTGGGCGTTCTTCTCGATTCTCTACAATGATTGAAAAATCTTTCGAAAAATCTAACTCTCTTAGTACCTATTTACCTCAATTTTCAATCAATCGAGCAACCACAACGTCTAATAATTCCTCCAAATTCGCCTCTATATCGAAGAGATATTTTCATTGTACTCACCGTAACGCCCTGGACAATTTATCGTAATTCATGTTCGGCTTGGACTTTCTCTCGCCCCACCGTCGGGCCACCTCGTCGGGATCGGTCAATTTGAACTCCCCGTTGGTGCCCTCCCACGTGATGCAGGCCGCGTTCGACGAGTCGCTCAGCAACTCCAGCAGGAACTGCCACAGCTGGATCTGACCCGAACCTGCGAAATCGCCAAAAATATTATCCTAATTCTCCCGCTAATAATTCGTGTATTAATTAAACGCGAGTGGTAGAATTAATGCTAATGATATGCGGACATGTGTCCCGAGTTTCCGAATCGCCAGGTGGTATTTAGGAAATAATGCTAGTAATAATAATAATGAATATATAAAAAAAACACACAACGGTTGTTAAATCGCATTTCGTAAATCATATCAACATGCGTTCGTTTCCTTCCGTCGCGGCGCTTATTTACAAGTTAAATGCCATTTGAAATTCTAATGAGGCCTTTGACAAAAACGTAATTACCGAATTATACGGTAGAAAACGCGAATATACCGGCAATCTATATTACTATACACTGTTCGTCAAAATTAGTGGTTCGCTATTTTTTTTGAAACCCTCGTACAATTAGCTATAGTTGAGTTAGAGACGTGAAATTTTCACTAGTTATTACTAAATATGTTAACTAAGTGTACACCAAGTAGCATTATCTCAACTCAATTTTAAGGGAACGAAATACTCATTTGAATGAGGCGATGTACAAACATGGAACTATTCAAAATACCTCTATCAAATAACCATTTAGAATTGAGTGGTGATGATGCTACTTGGTAGACTCGAAGATAAGATAGGGAGTTACATTTTGTAAAAATTTCACCTCTCTAGCTTGGCTGTAGCCAATATTACAGTGCTTCAAAAAAGCGAACCTCTTATTTTAACGAGCAGTGTATATAAAACCGAGCGACATTTTATTTTGTTCGGCTAATTAGTCGAAAATCGACGTGATCTATCATTCAATTAACATTTTCGTGATAAACTACAATTTTAATATCTACAGGGTAGCTCAAAAACTTCTAAAAAACGAACTTTTCCGTCGAAATCACAACAAAACCGAAGCAAATCATTTTTTAATTCGCCATTCATCGCATAATTATCTCCCCCTTATAGCAAACACACCGGCCCCCTTGCGGCGAACGGAGGAATTAACAACCATAAAAAGCGCCGGGGTCAAACGTGGGCGTGACCGCCAGATTTACAGGTAGAGCGAAAACAAAAAAAACAAAAAAATACCGAGAATAAAATTACCTAAACACTAAACTTAATGCATGTTTAATGACGACCCGCGGAATCCATTTGGCTTTTGTTTCACAAAGGGTGGCTGCTCACCCCTGAAACCGTTATCGCCGAGGCCGCGCAGGTCCGGACTGGCCCCCCCGTACAGGTGCACGACTACCGTATTTAAGCGGAGTTTACCGGGGGCGGAAATTCGTTAGAGCCGGTACTGGGCGTTGTGATATTCGCCCTTTCGAAATTCGAACTGCAATAACCGCGCCGATTGACATACGGCCCGACACGTGATCGCTTCGAAAAAGAAGATAATTATAATTTACCTGGGGCCGTAATTTTCTGGTTGATTTTTACGACGGTTCCGCACGCGATTCCGTCCTGATTTTTGCCCTTTTTCCCCCGTTTCGAGTGGTTCACACAATACGTGGGAAATTATCTACATATAATAGAGCAAATAGAACATTATAAATCCTTACCTGAACTGGCCAATCGGCTGCTCGTCGGTCCAAACATTTGATATGGATCTGGAATTAAAAACGATCGTTTGTGTTTGACGCTACATTCATCCAATTTTTCCGCGATACATCCCCGAAAATAAATCCCTCGTTTATCTACCGGTTCGGCCTAATGAACGATCCATCGTTCCCGGAATCTAATAAACCGTGACATTGTTCTTTTATTTTTTTCCTCTCTCTGCATTCTCTTCCCGACGCCCCGAGGCGGCCCCGAATCGTGTGCTACAGGGGGTTGAAAAACTCCCCGTTCATCTAATAACATCGTCGATCAAAAGCCGTATTCGATAATTACCTGATTATGCCCCCGTACTGATTCAATGATTGTCGCATTACGCCGGACGTGCTCCCTTTTCGTGCGTCATTTCCTCCCTCTGCAGGATTCCTTCCTCGTTTCGGCGCTCTTTTCCCGAAACGTAAAAGGCCAGCAATACGATAGAGTGGAGAGGATAGTTAGAGTGGAGTACTTTCAGCGTAGATGAGTGTAGAGAAGATTTAGAGTAGGGAAGTGTAGAGAAGATTTAGAGTAGAGTAGTGTAGAGTAGATTCAATTCAGAGTAGAGTAACAGCGTAAAGTAGAGTAGTTGTAGAGTAGATTTAGAGTAGAATAGGCAGTGTAGAGTAGATTCAGAATCAGAGTAGAGTACTTAGAGTAGAGTACTTTCAGCGTAGAAGAGTGTAGAGAAGATTTAGAGTAGGGAAGTGTAGAGATGATTCGGAATAGAGTAGTGTAGAGTAGATTCAGAGTAGAGTATAGTCTAATTCAGAGTAGATTCAATTCAGAGTAGAGTAACAGCGTAAAGTAGAGTAGTTGTAGAGTAGATTTAGAGTAGGGAAGTGTAGAGAAGATTCAGAATAGAGTAGTGTAGAGTATAGAGTAGAGTAGTTTATAGCAGAATAGATTCAGAGTATAGAGTAATGTAGAGTAGATTCAGAGTGGAGGAGTGTAGAGAAGTGTAGAGTAGATTCAGAATAGAGTAGTTTATAGCAGCATAGAATCATAGATTCAGAATATAGAGTAGTGTATAGTAGATTAAGAGAAAAGGAGTGTAGGTTCACAAAAGGTTTTCATTTCTCTTTTCCCGAAACGTAAAAGGCCAGCAATATGATTTTTTGATATTTAGGTATATAGGAAATTCATCGTATTAATAAAGGGTTGTTTGTCGTAAACGATTAGCAAGATGCGCTATTTTTGGAGTAGTATTTTTGTGGAGATCGAGTGTAATGTTTTCTTCGCCGTTTTCGGTTCCGGGTGAGATTACACGAGGAGATATTTTTGATGAAGTGGGAATGATCCGCACGAGTGGCTCCGAAGGCGCCACCGCATGACGGGGCCCGGCTGCCCGACTGGGGGGTTGAAATACTCTCGAAGGGTCGGGGATAAAATAAATTCTCCGGCAAACGCGACTGTTTTTAGATTTTCTGTTTTTGAACTGAAAGGCTTGGATGTAGAAGGACAAGTAGTTTGGTTTATTTTGAGAGATTCGGGTGTTGTAAGATCGTTTCTATATGTTTAATAATTAGGGAGATATATAAGAAACTTGTGGCAAAAGTTTCTTCGATTTCTCGGCGAATCGTGCGAATTTTCTCTCCACCTTTATACAGGAATATATGCAGAATATGACGGTGTATAAATAGTGTTGTAAGATCATTTCTAATATGTATAATAATTAGGGAGATATATAAGAAACTTGTGGCAAAAGTTTTCTTCGATTATCGGCGAATCGTGCGAATTTTCTCTCCACCTTTTATACAGGAATATATGCAGAATATGACGGTGTATAAATAGTGTTGTAAGAGCATTTCTAATATGTATAATAATTAGGGAGATATATATGAAACTTGTGGCAAAAGTTTCTTCGATTTCTCCGCGAATCGTGCGAATTTTCTCTCCACCTTTATACAGGAATATATTGCAGAATATGACGGTGTATAAATAGTGTTGTAAGATCATTTCTAATATGTATAATAATTAGGGAGATATATAAGAAACTTGTGGCAAAAGTTTCTTCGATTTCTCGGCGAATCGTGCGAATTTTCTCTCCACCTTTATACAGGAATATATGCAGAATATGACGGTGTATAAATAGTGTTGTAAGATCATTTCTAATATGTATAATAATTAGGGAGATATATAAGATACTTGTAGCAAAAGTTTCTTCGATTTCTCGGCGAATCGTGCGAATTTTCTCTCCACCTTTATACAGGAATATATGCAGAATATGACGGTGTATAAATAGTGTTGTAAGATCATTTCTAATATGTATAATAATTAGCGAGATATATAAAAAACTTGTGGCAAAAGTTTCTTCGATTTCTCGGCGAATCGTGCGAATTTTCTCTCCACCTTTATACAGGAATATATGCAGAATATGACGGTGTATAAATAGTGTTGTAAGATCATTTCTAATATGTATAATAATTAGGGAGATATATAAGATACTTGTGGCAAAAGTTTCTTCGATTTCTCGGCGAATCGTGCGAATTTTCTCTCCACCTTTATACAGGAATATATGCAGAATATGACGGTGTATAAATAGTGTTGTAAGATCATTTCTAATATGTATAATAATTAGCTAGATATATAAGAAACTTGTGGCAAAAGTTTCTTCGATTTCTCGGCGAATCGTGCGAATTTTCTCTCCACCTTTATACAGGAATATATGCAGAATATGACGGTGTATAAATAGTGTTGTAAGATCATTTCTAATATGTATAATAATTAGCGAGATATATAAAAAACTTGTGGCAAAAGTTTCTTCGATTTCTCGGCGAATCGTGCGAATTTTCTCTCCACCTTTATACAGGAATATATGCAGAATATGACGGTGTATAAATAGTGTTGTAAGATCATTTCTAATATGTATAATAATTAGCTAGATATATAAGAAACTTGTGGCGAAAGTTTCTTCGATTTCTCGGCGAATCGTGCGAATTTTCTCTCCACCTTTATACAGGAATATATGCAGAATATGACGGTGTATAAATAGTGTTGTAAGATCATTTCTAATATGTATAATAATTAGGGAGATATATAAGAAACTTGTGACAAAAGTTTCTTCGATTTCTCGGCGAATCGTGCGAATTTTCTCTCCACCTTTATACAGGAATATATGCAGAATATGACGGTGTATAAATAGTGTTGTAAGATCATTTCTAATATGTATAATAATTAGGGAGATATATAAGAAACTTGTGGCAAAAGTTTCTTCGATTTCTCGGCGAATCGTGCGAATTTTCTCTCCACCTTTATACAGGAATATATGCAGAATAGGACGGTGTAGGTATATAAAACGGTGTATATCGAGGGTTGGATCTCGCATGTCGAATAACGAACGGCAGACTGACTACTTGGTGTTGTGTAAAAGGGGATTTCGTAACAAAAACGATCGTTGTCTGACGAGTGTGGAATTCTCAACGCGCCCTTATCGGACCGATTCGATCTGACCGGGCGGTCGGCGGCGGTTCGAATGGCGTGCGGCGTTCGCGTTTTGACCGTGATTCAGCGGTCGATTGAAAAGTCGAATTTTCCTCGGTGTTGTGGGGGAAAGTTCGTTTGGAGAAGTTTCGATGGTGTGGAAGGTTCGTGGGACGGTGTTTTTTTGTAGATATCTCGGGGGTTGGGCGGGTGTTGGATATTTTTGATGGTTTGTAAATTGTGGAGGATGGTTTTTTCTGCAAAATGGAATAGAAGGGATGTTTTTATCTCGATTAGTTTGCGAGATAATAAGGATTTTTTATCGATTCGCAAAAGATTAGTAATTTCGAGGGAAAGTATAGAAAAACTCTAAATATCTTGGAAATTAAGTTGGTTTTGGAAATTTTTGATTCTTTATAAGTTGTGGAGTAATGTTTTTTCTGCAAAATGGAATAAAAGGGATGTTTTTATCTCGATTAGTTTGCGAGATAATAAGGATTTTTTACCGTTTCGCAAAAGATTAGTAATTTCGAGGGAAAGTATAGAAAAACTCTAAATATCTCGGAAATTAAGCGGGTTCTGAAAATTTTTGATTCTTTATAAGTTGTGGAGTAATGTTTTTTCTGCAAAATGGAATAAAATGGTTGTTTTTATCTCGATTAGTTTGCGAGATAATAAGGATTTTTTACCGTTTCGCAAAAGATTAGTAATTTCGAGGGAAAGTATAGAAAAACTCTAAATATCTCGGAAATTAAGCGGGTTCTGAAAATTTTTGATTCTTTATAAGTTGTGGAGAAATGTTTTTTCTGCAAAATGGAATAAAAGGGATGTTTTTATCTCGATTAGTTTGCGAGATAATAAGGATTTTTTACCGTTTCGCAAAAGATTAGTAATTTCGAGGGAAAGCATAGAAAAACTCAAAATATCTCGGAAATTAAGCGGGTTCTGAAAATTTTTGATTCTTTATAAGTTGTGGAGAAATGTTTTTTCTGCAAAATGGAATAAAAGGGATGTTTCTATCTCGATTAGTTTGCGAGATAATAAGGATTTTTTACCGTTTCGCAAAAGATTAGTAATTTCGATGGAAAGCATAGAAAAACTCAAAATATCTCGGAAATTAAGCGGGTTCTGAAAATTTTTGATTCTTTATAAGTTGTGGAGTAATGTTTTTTTTGCAAAATGGAATAAAATGGTTGTTTTTATCTCGATTAGTTTGCGAGATAATAAGGATTTTTTACCGTTTCGCAAAAGATTAGTAATTTCGAGGGAAAGTATAGAAAAACTCTAAATATCTCGGAAATTAAGCGGGTTCTGAAAATTTTTGATTCTTTATAAGTTGTGGAGAAATGTTTTTTCTGCAAAATGGAATAAAAGGGATGTTTTTATCTCGATTAGTTTGCGAGATAATAAGGATTTTTTACCGTTTCGCAAAAGATTAGTAATTTCGAGGGAAAGCATAGAAAAACTCAAAATATCTCGGAAATTAAGCGGGTTCTGAAAATTTTTGATTCTTTATAAGTTGTGGAGAAATGTTTTTTCTGCAAAATGGAATAAAAGGGATGTTTCTATCTCGATTAGTTTGCGAGATAATAAGGATTTTTTACCGTTTCGCAAAAGATTAGTAATTTCGATGGAAAGCATAGAAAAACTCAAAATATCTCGGAAATTAAGCGGGTTCTGAAAATTTTTGATTCTTTATAAGTTGTGGAGAAATGTTTTTTCTGCAAAATGGAATAAAAGGGATGTTTTTATCTCGATTAGTTTTAGAGATAATCGCGATTTTTTAACGATATGCAATAAAATTAGAAATTTCGACAGATTGTACAAAAACTCAAAATATCTCGGAAAATAACCGTTTTTCGAAAATTCCACATTCTTCAAAAATTACACAGAAACATTCCTTCTATACATCTAAGCAAACAGCTCGCTCCTATCCCAATTAATTATCCATACAACCCCGAATTTCCATCGAACCGCACAAAAAAACCTCAAACACAAACCCACAAAACCGATTCGCTTCCAAACAAAACCCAGCACTCGAATTAAAATATAGAATTACCTCGAAATCGACCCGAAAGAAAATCCCGTCGTTTCCGAACCAATAAATCCGCCATATCCTCGGCGCCCGGAACATCCCCAGCATCTTATTCGCTCCGGCGAATCGCGTAGAATACAAGAAAATACAAGAAAATACAAAAAAGAAAAACCCCAGACATCAAACGTTATATCGCGTTACATCCCCATACAACTTTTCCACCCTCCTATGCACCTCTATAGGTAATTATTATTAATATACAGAGTGTAAATTAATACATAAAGGAGTATTAAGTTGAAGAAAAAATCCATTGGAACGTTCTCCCTAGTTTAGATGGCGATAGAAAAAAAATAAAGGCATTTCGCAAATCAACGTTAAATTCGCCGGTGTTGACAAAGCAAAGTCGTGCATTACTGCAAGTAGTCCTATGTAAACAGAGAAGGACGTGTGGGCAAATAGAGGAGTCAATTCGGTTTAGTCATATGTGAACATTTCGAGCCCGGTCGATGGGCATTAAGAAAAAGTACCCTCGATTCATTAGGCTACCCGGTGATAGGAGAAATGAATCGCCGGAGAGATATTTCGACGTTTTGTTTGCACTTTACTGATGCATCGAATCTCTTTTGTAATTTTTACACTATTGCCAATTCGCTGTGGAATATAAAAGTAGGTCATATTAAATCGTTTTGTTACGGCGTATATATTTTATTCCGGAGTTTCTAACGATTGAAAGTCGCATGTTCAAAAGGGAAAATTGACTTTCTTTCGAGACCACATGTAACCTACGAGGAAAGGCAATAAAAACCCGCTGGAAATTTGGCCGTTTTTTTTCTACAAAATGAAATAAACTGGATGTTTTTATCGCGATTAGTTTTAGAGATAATTGCGATTTTTTATCGATTCGCAGAAGATTAGTAATTTCGAGGGAAAGTATATAAAAACTCTAAATATCTCGGAAATTAAGTGGGTTTTGAAAATTTTTGATTCTTTATAAGTTGTGGAGAAATGTTTTTTCTGCAAAATGGAATAAAAGAGATGTTTTTATCTCGATTAGTTTTCGAGATAATTATGATTTTTTACCGTTTCGCAAAAGATTAGTAATTTCGAGGGAAAGTATAGAAAAACTCAAAATATCTCGGAAATTAAGTGGGTTTTGAAAATTTTTGATTCTTTATAAGTTGTGGAGAAATGTTTTTTCTGCAAAATGGAATAAAAGGGATGTTTTTATCTCGATTAGATTTCGAAATAATTAAGGTTTTTTATCAACCTGCAATAAAATTAGTAATCTCGATAGATTGTAAAAAAACTCTAAATATCTCGGTAATTAAGTGGGTTTTGAAAATTTTCGATTCTTTATAAGTTGTGGAGAAATGTTTTTTCTGCAAAATGGAATAAAAGGGATGTTTTTACCTCGATTAGTTTGCGAGATAATAAGGATTTTTTATCGACTTGCAAAAGATTAGTAATTTCGAGCGAATGTACAGAAAAACTCAAAATATTTCGGATATTAAGCGAGTGTTAAAAATTTTTGTAGAATCTAAAAGTAGGTCATATTAAATTGCAAACGTTTTGTTACGACGTATATTTTATTCCGGACTTTCTAACGATTGAAAGTCGCATGTTCAAAAGGGAAAATTGACTTTCTTTCGAGACCACATGTAACCTACGAGGAAAGGCAATAAAAACCCGCTGGAAATTCGCCCGTTTTTTTTCTACAAAATGAAATAAACTGGATGTTTTTATCGCGATTAGTTTTAGAGATAATTACGATTTTTTTATCGATTCGCAGAAGATTAGTAATTTCGAGGGAAAGTATAGAAAAACTCAAAATATCTCGAAAATTAAGTGGGTTTTGAAAATTTTTGATTCTTTATAAGTTGTGGAGAAATGTTTTTTTCTGCAAAATGGAATAAAAGAGATGTTTTTATCTCGATTAGTTTTCGAGATAATTAGGATTTTTTACCGTTTCGCAAAAGATTAGTAATTTCGAGGGAAAGTATAGAAAAACTCAAAATATCTCGGAAATTAAGTGGGTTTTGAAAATTTTCGATTCTTTATAAGTTGTGGAGAAATGTTTTTTCTGCAAAATGGAATAAAAGGGATGTTTTTATCTCGATTAGTTTTCGAGATAATTATGATTTTTTACCGTTTCGCAAAAGATTAGTAATTTCGAGGGAAAGTATAGAAAAACTCAAAATATCTCGGAAATTAAGTGGGTTTTGAAAATTTTTGATTCTTTATAAGTTGTGGAGAAATGTTTTTTCTGCAAAATGGAATAAAAGAGATGTTTTTATCTCGATTAGTTTTCGAGATAATTAGGATTTTTTACCGTTTCGCAAAAGATTAGTAATATCGAGGGAAAGTATAGAAAAACTCAAAATATCTCGGAAATTAAGTGGGTTTTGAAAATTTTTGATTCTTTATAAGTTGTGGAGAAATGTTTTTTTTGCAAAATGGAATAAAAGGGATGTTTTTATCTCGATTAGATTTCGAAATAATTAAGGTTTTTTATCAACCTGCAATAAAATTAGTAATCTCGATAGATTGTAAAAAAAACTCTAAATATCTCGGTAATTAAGTGGGTTTTGAAAATTTTCGATTCTTTATAAGTTGTGGAGAAATGTTTTTTCTGCAAAATGGAATAAAAGGGATGTTTTTATCTCGATTAGTTTTCGAGATAATTAGGATTTTTCATCGATTCGCAAAAGATTAGTAATTTCGAGCGAATGTATACAGAAAAACTAAAAATATTTCGGATATTAAGCGAGTGTTAAAAATTTTTGTAGAACATAAAAGTAGGTCATATTAAATTGCAAACGTTTTGTTACGGCGTATATTTTATTTCGGACTTTCTAACGATTGAAAGTCGCATGTTCAAAAGGGAAAATTGACTTTCTTTCGAGACCACATATAACCTACGAGGAAAAGCAATAAAAATTCGCCCGTTTCTCAAATATTATAAAACAATTCGTAAATTTTTATTGTTCGCTTTATCGTCGAACAATCTTTACACGCGAACGTGCGCGCATATAAGTTCTTCCATTTCTCTCTTCCTTTTTTTTTTATTTAATCCTTAATCCGAACGGAATTTTCGTATAGCGATATACAATTTCCGACGGCGTGTTTATGCTAATTTCGACAGTTAATCATTTCATTCGCGCGAATTTCGAAACGAATTTGGTCTCACCTGGTTGTCGCAAATGACTGTGGGGGTCCAGCGAAGCCTTCGTCATCCCCGTGAGACTGTTTGTACCATAACCTGAAACAATAAATTATCATTTATGCACTCTAATATACTACGAAAAGAGGACCAAGAATACAAGTATTTTTAAGAAGAATATAGCCTATTTAAGAATTTTTAAGAAGAATATATAAGGAATGTATAAGACAATAATTTTCTGATTTTAATTGATTTACTTCATAGAAAAATTCGAATTTTATCTTGAACTATTCTACAGTTAGTTGAATTTATTCAACCTCTTCGATACACTTCGATCTCTGAAACAATTACACTAAATCTACTCCAAATCTACTCTGAAACTTTACATTAAAATCTACTTCAAATCTATTCTGAACCTGCTCTGAATCTGCTTTAAATCTACTCCAAATTTACTATAGAAATCTACTGATTATGTTCTCCATATCGAATCTGATTTTCAATCCACTCTAATATACTACGAAAAGAGCACCAAGAATAGAAGTATTTTTAAGAAGAAGAATATAGCCCGGAGTATGCAAGAACAATAGCAAATGAAAGTAATGTGAAGGAATTTATAAGACAATAATTTTCTGATTTTAATTGATCTGTTGCTGCAATTTCTTGATGTATTTCATATAGAAAAAATAGTCGAATTTTATCTTGAACTATTCCACAGTTAGTTGAATTTATTCAACATCTTCCACACACTTCAATCCTCTTTATTTACATCCCTTCACCTATACAGTATACACGCTTTTATACAAATTTACTTAACACATTTTCGAATATCTTCGGTTTAATGCAGAGTCGCGATAACATCCAAATTCCATTAAAATAAGCATCGATCCGAGCATTCTGTTCTCCTCAGCCACCCTCCATGGAAGTGTCAATCATGTTATTAAGATAATTTCGACTCGGTGTTCCCATATACCCGGCATTGTTCTCTTATTCCTCCCCGGAACATAGGCGTCCCGGGGAATAATCCTCCGCGAATTATTCCCGAAATATACAGAGCATCTCGAACGAGCGATTTTTTTGCATTCTCTATTCGAGCAATTCGCGCGAAAATCGCGAGATCAAAGGGAAATCAAAGGGGCGCCCCCGAAGGCTCTCTCTTTGATCGAAAACGGTGTTTAACAATCACGGCTGCGACGATTTTGTGCGTGGAATAACAATCGGATTGCGTGCAGTAGCTTTGATGGGGCCCTGTATATGGTGGCCCTTGATTGACCCCGGAATGTATACAAGAGAAATTTATGGTAATCGAATTGGATTTGATTGTTGTTATAGGCGATTGTTGGCGCTGGAAAATGGCGTGAAATCGAAGGTGTTTTTGTGAGATCAGTTTCACCTGAGCGAGTTTGTTTCGCGGGCCTTTAATATAGTCGCTTGGAAGTCAATTGGAAAGTATTTCTACTCTAAAAGAAATTTTGAATCTACTCGGAATTTAATAGGAATCTACTGAATATGTTCTCTATATCGAATCTGAATCTATCTTATTCGATCTACTCTAAATTTACTCCAAATCTACTCTGAAACTTTACATTAAATCAACTCCAAATCTACTCTGAACCTTTACAATGAATCTACTCTCAATCGGCTCTGAACTTACTGTAGGAATCTACTGAATATGTTCTCCATATCGAATCTGAATCTATTTTCTATCTACTCTAAATTTACTCCAAATATACTCTGAACCTGCCCTGAATCTGCTCTAAATTTACTCTGAATTTACTAGGAATCTACTGAATGTGCTCTCTATATCTAATCTAAATCTACTTTCAATCTACTCTAAATTTACTCCAAATCTACCCTGAAAATTTAAAGTAAATTTAGAGTAGATTGAAAGTAGATTTAGATTAAATATTGAGAACATATAACATATATAAATCTACTTTCAATCTACTCTAAATTTACTCCAAATCTACTCTGAACCTTTACACCGAATCTACTCTCAAGCTGATGCTCTGAATCTACTCTAAATCTATATTCGGAGAGATCTAAAGTTCAATGAATAAATATAGCACTCTGATCCTTGTACACCCGGTATATAAATTGTATATCATACATCGAGAAACCTGTCGGGCGGTGAAAAGAAAAGAGGAAAAAAAAAGAAGAAAAAAAAAAACGTCGACAAAAGGCAATACCGAAAGAATTTAGGAGAGGAAAATAGCGAAAGCCATCGAGCCGTGTTAGAGATAGCGCATAGTCGGAAAAGGACATTCGCTCCGGGAGTCCGGGAAGGAAGGACTCCTTCCTGTTCCGGCGACCCAATCAGACTACTGAAGAATAATTGATAACAACTATATAGGTGACTATAACTCTTTTCCGAGAGCCGCACAATCGAACTTCTTTATACGCAGGAAAACCGATTTCTAGTGCGGGGTTTCCCCCGAACCGAAATCGCCCGCTCGCGTTGGAACATAATAACGCGGGGAGATGCGAAATAAACAAAAAAATCGTACTTAACTCGGGCGAAATATCGGCTTTTCCAGCGACAGGGAGATAAACATTTACCTTCCGCCCGGCCGGTTTCATAAAGAGCTGAATAATAACCGAGCTGTCATATACAATATTAGAGATAGGAGCGCCGCCGGGCGTTTGGTTTTGTTATCCAAACTTAATAATGGCGACATCAAAGGGCCCCGTCGCCTACCGGGCGCCGGATCGCGCGACGCCTCGCCGCGTCCGCAGAGAAAACCGGGCGTCGGGGAGCCCCCGGGAGGCGCGAAATTTTCGATCGGCCGCGGGCTGTTTGCCGCGCTTTCCGGGCGCCGGGTTTTAATCCAGAACCGAACAACAAAGGCTAATAATGCCGATGCTGGTGAGCGGCGAGCTCGCCTGGATTGTTTCTGATTGACTTGAAACTCGAGTTTGGATAAGTTGGCTGGATGGCGAGGAAGTAAAAGATCGCTGAGATGAGATTGTTGTTAATGAGTTACATATTCTGTTGAATTTAGAGGAATTGTTAATGAGCGAAATTGCTTAAAATGTTCTATATAACGAGTAAATTTGAGTTTGTGTTTGTAATTGTGTGACATTCGTTTTGGCTGGGTTATTAATAAGTAAGAGGCTTCAAATGTCATTTTTTAACTAACTGTCAAACATATAGAAGGAAATTATATTTTCCACGTTGTCAAACGAGACTGGTAAAGAAAAGTATACTTATTTTAAGGTAAATTTCAGGTAACTAGCTTCAATGTAACTTTATGTATGAGTTAAATCGATAAAACAGTTACGTTTTTTGAATTTAAAACGATTTTCGTTCGGTTAAGTTTATATATAGGAGTCAGAGGACGTTGTTCATATGGCCCATTAGCTCAGTTGGTTAGAGCGTCGTGCTAATAACGCGAAGGTCGCGGGTTCGATCCCCCCATGGGCCAATTATTTTTTTTCTAATTCTTAGTAAATATCTCGTAGTAATTCAATATTTAATTAGTCATACCTATTTTCGGAAATTTTAGAAGCTTCCAATGAACATTTTAGTTATGTCATACTATATTTAAAATAACGCAAAGTTCATGATAACAGTGTGATAAATTTATACATAAGTATAGGTACTAAAAGATACCAATGATAATATTAATTGGCTATTTCCTTTAAAAATTCAAATATTTCCACACTTAAAAACTCTAAAAATATTTATAATCTGGTTAAATGGATGAAATTTCAAAAAGATTGTTGATGCAAGATATTCGATATTAATTATAACACTTGATAACAATTTTATTATGCAGTGTAGAGTATTAAATTTTATTGAAAACACGAATTTACGCAAATAGATATCCTCAAACTCCTAATAGAGAATTGATTAAAATTTTCCTGTAATACAAACGAGAATTTTCCGCGTGAAAAATTAGACTTTCGCACGAGAAACACCTATTTAAGCAACACACTTCGAACATGATCGAACGCGAAACACAAACGCCAAAAAAATAACAAAAAAAAACGGGAAAATATTGAAAAGCCGGGGGAAAATTCGATTCGGCGATAATTGAAAATTCCATTAGCGTCGCCAATCCGCTCCGGCGTTGATGATGAAAAACCCATTCGCAAAGGAAATGGAAATCCCGGCGCGACGGAAGAAAATGTAAAAATAAACGACGTCAAATCCGCTACACAAACCAGATAAAACCGAACGCGACAAATCGCCTAATACAAATTTCCCCCGTCCGAAATAAAATTGCGGATTTCGCGCGAATTTTCCACCGAATAGTTTACAAATAATTCATCGATCGCGAATCGATTTATTCGTGGAAATATTTATTTACCTTGCGATTGCGTTGATGCGTGAGAACTCCATGATCCTTTGTACGAAGTATCTGCAACAATAATACCAAAATTAATCAAAAATCCTCAATCTAACATTGATTTGGTGTGTGAGTTATGAAATATAATTACCAAATAACATGGAAAATTGCCCGAAAGTGGAATTCCTACTCAAATAGTCCGCACTAGGTTTGATATCCAACATCATTGCATAGACTCAAAAAAACAACCCACGGGAAAAAAAAACAAATCGGAAAAAAACTATACGAAAAACCGGAACACACACGTTCCAATTAGGCGCGCATTTTCCATCCAAATTCAAAACCACCCGACAACAAACAACCCCATTACTCATACGCGAATAGAAATCAACAATTTGCAGCCCAAACGACCCCAAAAAAAAATTTATTCAGTGACTGCAATCCGTCGAGTTTACGATCAAACTCCGACGGCTCTTTTTCCACGGCGAGGAGAAACCAACCCCCCCGGTAGAGGGCGGGCCCGGCGCCCCCTACCCCCCGGCGGAGCGGCCAATCGCGCGCCCCGTCCGCCCCTCCCCAGGGCGCCCCTCGCCCAAGGGGGCGACTTCCGTGTGTGATAGGTCCTCGCGTATTTACCTAAGGGTGTTCGATTAGTTTGCATAGGTGGTGGATTTGTTTTTCTCTTTTTTTTTCCCTGTTTTCCTCGAGGGTGTTATTACCGGGCGAAAGTTTCTCCGATTCCAGTGATTACCATACCAACTATTATAAGGGTGGTTGTTTCTTTACCTCGTTCTATACACTCAACTTATCGGTATATACAAGTTGCATTCTGTGAGAGTTTTTAATACACCGAAAGTAACTGGATATCGTGGAGTTTCCACGCGATTTATCATTCGATAATACTAAGGGGTGTAAATGGTCTTGTAGCATATACAATATGTTAATAATTCATCGAATGAACACTCAATTAAACCGTCCCTCTTATCCCACCTCCGTAATCAAAACAATCCACTGGGATCGTTTGAAATATGCTCGGCTCGGTTCCCACAGGACCGGCAACAAAGGTGGCGAGTTAGGCAATAAGGGGGTCGAATTCGCCACCCTCGGGGACGATTTTTTTGTATCTCTGTAGCGGGTGAAAGTGGTGAGAATGATGGGAATGTGTGTAAAGAAAGAATCGATTTTTTGGAATGATTTTTTGGTCGTTTCTGGAAGGGGTTTTGGATGGTTTATTGAAAGATTTTGAATAAGTGTTTAAGTAGTTCTTCAATGGTTTTTTTTGGGCAATTGAAATGTTTTTATTCGTTTCTGGCAAGATTTTTGACCATCTCCGGATGGGTTTTGGTAATTTTGGGTTTTTAGGCATTTCTTGAATGTTTTTGGTGATTTCAAGGTTCGATTTTGGATCATTAGTGGAAAAGTTTTTGTTCGTTGCTAGGGAAATACCTATTGGTCATTTTTAGAAGGGGTTTTTTGGTTGTTTCTGGAAGGTTTTCGGTCATTTCAATTAAGATTTTGGTCATTTTATGTGTTTAGTCAATTCTTGAATGTTTTTTTCTTTGGGTCACTTCAAGGTTCAGTTTTTAATCATTTCTGAAGAAGTTTTTTTCGTTGCTGGAATGATTTTAGACAATTTTTGGAAGCTTTTTTGGTAATTGTAGGATTTTAGGCATTTCTTGTATAATTTTGGTCGTTTCAAAGTTCGACGTTCGATAATTTTTGGAGAAGATTGTGTTCTTTGGCAGAAAAATACTTATTGGTCATTTTTAGAAGGATTTTTTGGTTGTTTCTGGAAGGTTTTCGGTCATTCCAAGTAAGATTTTGTTCATTGTAGGTGCTTCGGCATATCTAGAATATTTTTGGTAATTTCAACGTTCGATTTATAATCATTTTCACAAAAGTTTTTGGTCGTTCCTGGAAGGGTTTCGTTACTTATAGAAAATTTTTAATCGTTTTCGTAAACGGGTAGCTTTTACAACGTTTCGAGCCACTTCCGAGAGATTTTAGGCATCTCTGGATTGGTTTCGGTCAATTTAGGCATCTCTGGAATGGTTTCGGTCAATTTAGGCACACCTAGAATCGTTCCTGGAAATAATCCGGTCGCTTCTTGACACTTTTTCGCCGTTTCTCCAAACTCTCTAACAACCTTCCAAAACTTTCAACCAACATCTGCAAAAATTTGTAACCAAATCGCAACGAAGTAAGTAAATTTCTCGTCCGTCCGTCGACCGTACCGGGCCCACGGTGCCCATATCCTCCCATTCGGACGTGTATAGTCGTTTAAATTGCCAGCGTATGTCGATTGTCATCCCCGAAATAAAGCCATTGTAACTGACAAAAGAAGTGAACATCGGACGCGCGACCGCCGTGTGTGTGTGAAGATCCCGTTTACAAAACGAACTGGGGTGAGGAGGACACAGAGCATAGAACGAAAAAAAAAAAAAAAGGGATCATCGCAGAGTCGAGAGTTTTTATCCATTCCACTTGACTTTATGCGTGTACCGGGCGATTAATTGGCTCCGGCGAGAGGGCGAAAACAAACACGAAGGGAGCCTATATACAAGGTGCAGCGTATAATAAAAAATCGCGCTCTAATCGAGCAATTAAAAGAGCATCGAAACAAAAAAATTAATTAACCCCGCGCGTCTTTGTCTCGTCGAGTCGCGAAACGAATTTCGCGTATATATTTAGAGGAAAAGCGCGTTTTCCGGCGGGTGGCCCGGTCGTTAGTTGGCGGAACCGCCGCATCGGCGGCGCTGCTCGCCGGAAGCGTCGCCATGGCGACCCGGCGGGGCGCATCGATTGCCGCCGACGGGGGTTTCCTCGATGTAGAGCGAGCGGCGTAACGACCGGATACTTCGACGGCTAATTTTCATGCCGGATTCCCTACTTTTACACTTTAACTAGTTATTAGGCGACGCGGAAGAATCGGAGGAAGATGAGGAAAGAAATAGAAGCGATGGGAGTAGTTTCGAATGGCGCGCTTTAAGCTTGGAACTCTTCGAATGTATCTTAGTATGTATTAAATTTCATAAAAGTGAGAGTATTTTTTATTAGTTGATTGTGGTTCTCGGATTCTTTGATTCTGTTCAAATCTTCAGATATCTTCAGATTCGCGCTTCAAATTCTCTCTTCAAATTCTCTCTATACAGATTTTCACATTAGATTGTCTCTTCAGATTCTCTCTACAGATTCTCTCTTCAGAGTGTCTCTTCAGATTCTCCCTCTATACAGATTCTCTCTTCAGATTCGCGCTTCAAATTCTCTCTTCAGATTCTCTTTTCAGATTCTCTCTATACAGATTTTCACTTTAGATTGTCTCTTCAGATTCTCTCCGCAGATTCTCTCTTTAGATTCTCTCTATATATACAGATTATCTCTTCAGTTTCTCTCTTCAGTTTCTCTCTTCAGTTTCTCTCTTCAGATTGGCGTTTCAAATTCTCTCTTTAGCTTTTCTCTTCAGATTGTTTCTACAAATTATCTCTTCAGTTTCTCTCTATATATTACAAATTGTCTCTTTAGTTTCTCTCTTCAGATTCGCGCTTCAAATTCTCTCTTCAGATTCACTATTCAAATTTTCTCTCTAGTTTCTCCCTTCAGATTCCCTTTTCAAATTTTCTCTTCAGATTTTCTCTTCAGATTATCGCTTCAAATTCTCCCTTTAGATTCTCTCTATACAGATTCTCTCTATACAGATTCTCTATTTACAGATTCTCTCTTCAGATTCACTATTCAAATTTTCTCTCTAGTTTCTCGCTTCAGATTCCCACTTCAAATTTTTTCTTCAGATTTTCTCTTCAGATTCTCGCTTCAAATTCTACCTTTAGATTCTCTCTATACAGATTCTCTATTTACAGATTCTCTCTATAGATTCTCTCTACAGATTCTCTCTACAGATTCTTTCTACAGATTCTTTCTACAGATTCTCTCTATAGATTCTCTCTATAGATTCTCTCTACAGATTCTCTCTATAGATTCTTTCTATAGATTCTTTCTACAGATTCTTTCTACAAATTCTTTCTACAGATTCTTTCTACAGATTCTCTCTTCAGCTACTCTCTTCAGCTTCTGTCTACAGATTCTCCCTTCAGCTTCTCTCTTCAGATTCTTTCTACAGATTCCCTCTTCAGAATCTCTCTACAAAAACAATCCACGCTTAAGCTATAGGTATTTCACAAATTTCTTCTATAGTTATAGCACAAATCCATCTTCCCCATTCGGGACTCCTTCACTCCAACACATCGCGTGGTTCGTTCGTATATAACGTGCAAACACACGCTGAGTTATAGACCGGGGAAATATAGCGCTTGTGGTATATAGAATGTCCCACGGTCCGTCGATCGGAGCGCGACCTCTATAAATTTTAATGGTTTCTTTTTCTTTTTTTTTTGTTGAAAAGCGCGCGGGCCCCCGCCGGTTCCAGTCGGACGGGCCCGGTCGCGTGGCCGACGGGCCAGGGGCGGCGGCCCCCCGGGCGACCCCTGGCCCCGGCGATTTTCCGATCGGAATGGGGAAAAAAAAGGATTTGTGTTTGAGTGGTTTTAGGGCGGTGTGTAATGGGTTTTTTTGTAAGGTAGATTGGGGCAAATGTAAAAATGGGGTAAATGTAATATTTTTACCTATTATGTTAATGTTTTTTATTATTTTTATTGTTTTTTTTTGTGCATTAGATAGGGTTTGTTTCTTATTTTTTCTTTATTATTTTGTGGCTCTGTTATTTTTTGAAATAAATAAATAAATAAACAACATATCAAATTTTAGAGCAACCTAATATATGTATTTACAATTGTCCCATATGTTTTTCTATATAAGGTAGACTGGGACAAATGTAAAAATGGGGTAAATGTAATATTTTTACCTATTATGTTAATGTTTTTTATTATTTTTATTGTTTTTTTTTGTGCATTAGATAGGGTTTGTTTCTTATTTTTTCTTTATTATTTTGTGGCTCTGTTATTTTTTGAAATAAATAAATAAACAGCATATCAAATTTTAGAGTCAACATTTTAAAAATTATGTAAAATCGTTTTCTTCCTTTTTCAAAAAAAAAAACTTTTTAATACCTCGATTCT